TATCATTCCACTGGGTAAAGAGCTGGGGGGGTGGAAGAAAATACTACAACAAAATAAACCTGTGCCAGCCGGCTCTTCGGGCGGCCTCTTTCATGTGACGCTGTGCCGCATGAGCGCAAATTGCGTTCTCAGAAATATTTTCGAATCGGCCGTCCCTGGGTGCCTCTGTGTGTGTGCATTTAATTTCTTTTCCTGGAGGCGTTCCCCTCGCTCTATCCATGCGGAAGGATACGCTGAAAGAATTAAAGCGAAGGCCCGTATGCTTGTAGCCCATTACCTCAGAGAGTTGGAATGCCTGGCAGGGAGAATGTCAGCAATGAACAGCTGCTTCTCTGGCTACAGGGGCACTACACAAATAGGGGTTACAACAAATAGCAGGCAATCCTTGCTTTTTTTAATCATATGATCATTTATTTTAAGCCTTTCCAATTAAGGCAAATGTCTTACCAAAATTCTGTTGGTGTTGTTTTCATGCAGCTTGGAAATATTTTCAAGGTTTTAATCCCTGTGTGCTTTATCAAATGACCTATGCACATACATTTATGTCCTTGCAAAGCTTCAGCTGTTAGTGAGATACACAGAAAAAAAATGCAGACTAAAGGCTGATCTTTCAGCCTGTCTGGACTTAAAAACTCCCAAAGGTGTCAGTAGAAATTATACCCTTAAGAACAGCTGTCTTAGCAAGCTTTAAATGCGTATAAATTCAGGACTATTTGTAGTGTTTAACTAATACAAACACCACAAGAGGGGCTGTGCTCCAGTCTCACAAGTCTATGAAGACCTCCTTGTGTTTGTGTGCATGTGAAATCAACAATTGTTGTACACAATTTGGAATATTGGCTCTCCACATTGACTGCACTGGGCAAAAATTTATACAAATTTGGAACCAGTCAGGGATGAGGAAAAAGGTAAGTGAGTATGTGAATGCTGACTAATAACTGTAAAACCTAGAAAGTGTTTTGGTAATGTGAAGTGCACAAACATGCTACTGTCTGAGCAGGTCCAACCTGCAGGTCAACTATGCAAATAGCAAGCTGCTCACGAGGGCACTAATCTCAGCTGAAATATGTAGGTAATTTTGTACTAGAATGAATTCTTCTGAGTTATCCCTCCTGATCATCTTCTCTGAGATCAGAGTATCACTTTTTTATTCCCCTCCACACATCAGCCATAATTATGGTGAGCAGTCCTTAAGCAATATATAAACCATTAGTTGGGGGAATCTTATGTTGAGTAAAATAAACTAACCTTGAACTAACCCAAATAGATACTCTTTGCTAAAGGTGTCTGCTAGAGGACAGAACTGCAGTTACTTGCTGGAGAAAACTGACTGATACAATGTATGAAAAATCCAAGTCATGAAAATTCAGGTTTACAGAGGCAACCCCTCCTATTTCTAAACAATTCATACTGGAAACAAAGTCTCAGTTCTCATATCTGTCACATTTCCTATTCTAATTCTTCATCACACCCTTTTCCTGCCTGATCGCCTGCCTAGAAATTGCATTTATTAGACCTTCCCTGCCTTTCCACAGCTGCATTTTCCTTCTTTTCTTCTTCATTAAAGACAACACCTCATCTTAAAAGAGGCACCTATGACACTGTCAATATGTTCCTTTGCAGCTTACATCTCCTTTTGAAGCTCATCACATTTGTATTCACAAATATTTTTTTCTTCTGCTCTTTCCTTCTTATAACCCCAGTTTTTGCCAAAACTTTGTGGTTTTCCACACTTTCTCCATATTGCCCCACCTCATTTTTTTTAATCTCACCACCTCTGTATTACCTGCTTTGCTCCAACTATTAACTCTAATGAAAGGGACAGAGATAAAGGCATCCATGAACATGTTATGGACTCTGGTAAAGACACATCAATAAAATGTAGAGTGATTACCTGAGGGCACAGTTCGGAGCTTCTGCTTCCCCATTTAAGCCCCAGCCAACACTCACAACATTGGTGGTTCTTGACCTCATCTTTGCTGTACTCTTTATTCTGTTTTTGAAGTTTATGTGAGGAAATTAATAATATCCCAGAGCAGAATTTTGCACCCTTTTTTCTATAGGTGCAAGGGAAAGTTTCTGTCCACTGGGTTGAAGATAGCCTGCTACTTTTTTTTTTTTTCTCAGAAAAAAGAAGACATCCTCCCTTCTGGGACAGGTTTTTGGAGGGTTGGTTTGGTTTTTTTAACTTGGTTCAAACATGTGATTGCAGCTTGAATGTATCAGGCAATAGGTGGAAGTTGATGCAAATATTCCCCTTATTTCAATTCCACAGGAACTCTCCAGCATCTGGTCTTTGTATTGACTTAAAGTAAAACAGAAAGTTGGAAGCAAGCCAAACAGGAAGCAGAATCAGGCAGCCTCCAGGCAGAAAAGGGGTATGCAAGTATATACTCCTCAGCCTAGTGGAAAGCTACCCATTTGTGATAAAATTCCAGCAGGATAACCCGGAAACTGCTAGTTAAAGGGGCTTTCCCACAGTGCTGAAACAACGAAGAAGTCTTGTGGAAAAATATCTTAATTTACACCATGAAAAATAGTAATGTCATGAACTGAAAAGTCAAAATACCTCTAATTCTAAGTCTGAAAGCTGTTCTCTAAAGAAATTCACTTTATTCGTCATGTTTTGGTTCTGAAGCAGTCCTGTTTTTTCATCATTCTATTTCTTTGTGAGAAAGCAAGAGATGGCTAGGTCTTTATGCATCATTATATATTTTTGATGGTAGTAAAGAGGAGTGCTAGAAAAATGACCATACCATATGTCTATTACATGCTTGAAGCCTGCAATTTCATGTATACAAGATTCATGTATACAAGATTCATTTTTACTTAGAAGGCACTGTAAGGTGTTGAACATGTTCTACTAAGTAACTAATTAAGGTTATAGAATTTTCCTATTAGAAGAAAACATGCAGTTTTCCTACACAGAATGTAGTGCTGAACTTGAAGAAATGAGCTCCTGCTATTAGTTGCAAAGGAAACTTTCCTCAAACACAGTAGCTTTTTGTAGAGTAAATCCTTTACTGATTAAATAAAATTAATTCTTGTTTCTGTACTGCAATAATTATTTTTCTTTTTCCAATACTACAACACAGTACAACATAATTGAAATATTAAGAAAGCAAAATGTGTCTCTTAAAGGTTAAAATGGAATGGTGTAGTTAAACTGATTTGTTATTGGTTCTCTCGCGCTGTAACACCAGTGGAGTCAGGCAAACAGCTCAGATCATTAGCAATAATTAGTGTAAGCTATCTCTGTATGATGTTTGATTTATATTAGGAACAGTGATGTAGAAAGGGATTAATACAGCTGTTAACTACAATGCCTGGAGTTTATTTTAATCAGTGGAGTTACTTGGAAAAGACCCTTTATCTCTAGGCTGGGCTTTCTATAATACGACCACTCATTAAACCAGCTGAAATGAATCCAAGGCATTGGTGCAAAAGATAAATTGTTTGCCTCAAATATTACTTCTTTTTTGCTTACTATTATGCTTACCTTGTAGGCTTGTCATCACATCATTCTTCTCTCCTCTGTAACTAATCCCTTGTAGCAGTAAGAGATGCTTGTAGTGGGTGTAGATGTCTGTGCCGGGTGTGTGTGGTCGGTTTTGGCAGTGGAGAGGCTACAGGGGTGACTTCTGTGAGAAGCTGCTGGAAGCTTCCTCCATGTCTGATAAGGAAAATGTCAGCCAGCTCCAGGATGGACTCTCCACTGGCCAAGGCCAAGCCCATCAGTGGCCCTGGTAGCACCGCTGCGATGAAGGGTAGAAAAGTTATTGTGCACAAGCAAATTTCAGCCCGAGAGAGGAATGACAATATACGATAGGAACAGCTCTGCAGAGCCAAGGTCAGTGCAGAAGGAGGGGCAGGAGCTGCTCCGGGCACCAGAGCCAAGATTCCCCTGCAGCCCGTGGTGAACACCATGGTGAGGCAGCTGGGCCCCTGAATCCTATGGAGGTCAACAGGGGAGCAGAGATCCACCTGCAGCCCATGGAAGGAAGACCCCACGCAGGAGCACATGAATGCCTGGAGGCAGTGGATGTGTGGGAAGCCCGTGCTGGAGCAGCTCCCAGCAGGACCCATGGCCTTGTGAGAGATGAGCCCACGCTGGAGCAGGTTTGCCACAGGGACCAGTGACCCTGTGGGGGAACTGTGGGGACAGCCTGTTCCTGAAGGACAGACTGACTGTACCTGTGGGATAGGGACCCGTGGCGAGGCCATTTGTGAGGAACTGCAGCCCGTGAAGAGGATTCCCACAGCAGTGAGTATGCAGCCTGTGTGGCAGAGTGTTTCTGCTGGGAGCAGGGAGAAGGAAACAGTGTCAGAGCAAACAGGTGATGAACTGACCCCAACCCCCATTCCCCGGTGTTGGGGGGAGACAGGCAGGGAATCAGAAATAAAATTAAATGCAGGGAGAAGGAAGGGATGCCGGGAAAGTGTTTTAAGACTTGGGTTTATTTCTCATTATCCTACTCTGTTTTGATTGTTAATTAAACTAATTTCCCCAACTCTGTTTTATCCATGACAGTAATCAGTGAGTGAGGTCTCCTGTTCTTGATCTCTATACATGAGGCTTGTTGGTCTATTTTCTTCCTCCTGCCTTGATGGGGAAAGGAGGTGATAAGAGGTTGTGATGGGGACCAGGAAACCTATATAGCTGTCGTGTGACATTAAGAGTTACTTGAATACTTTTTATATAGCTATACCATAATTTATTAGTTTTTTAACAGATAACAGAGTATTCAATTTGTGTAATTCCCGAGAAAGAGCATAATATAGGAACAACCCCGCAGTTGTGTTCCGGCATTCAGAGTTACGCGCTTCCCTGTGGGGCGGCCCGGAGCCGGCCCTGCGACTCCTCAGCCCCGGCTCCGCCCGCCGCTCCCCCCGCGGCCCCGCCGCGCTGCGGCCGCCGCCCGCCAGGGGGCGGTGCCGGCGGAGGCCGCGCGCAGAGCCCGAGCGGCGCTCGGTACCCGCGCGGGCGGCGGTGGGAGCTGGGCCCGGGGCCGCGGGGATCTGGCCGGAACGGACGGGGGCGGCTCGCCGCGGCCATGGAGATCGGCACCGAGATCAGCCGCAAGATCCGGGTGAGACAGAAGCAGCCGGGTCGCTCCCTCCGCCCGCGGCAGGAGGCCGGGCCCGCGTGTGGGGCAGGCCCGGCCGGCGGCTGAGGCACCGGGCTCCGGCCGGCCCCCCCGTCACTGCTGCCGGCCGCGGGGTCCTTCGGCCTCGGGACTCCCCGGGAGGGCGGGAGCAGGAGAGTCGTTTTTGTGGGAAGCGGAGTGGGGGCACCCCTGTGCCCCGACGGGCAGCTGCCGGGTGCCGTCGGTGTCCCGGGGCTGCCGCTGTCGCCCTGCAGAGCCCGGCCGGCCCCGGGGCTGCCCGGGGGGCGCGCAGCTCGGCCGGGTGGGAGCCCCCGGTACCGGCAGGGCCTGTCAGCCGCTCACACTCGGCGGTCACCGTTTGGAAATCCCGGCAGGTTTCTGTTTCCCTGCTGAGCTGGGAATTACCTTTTATCAAATCAACTTAGATTTTTAGGTTTTTTTGCACTTTATGAGTCCGGGTGGTCTCTGCTCAAAAAAGGCCAGCTGGGACGCGGAGGTTGGATGGTAGCGCAGGCACTGGTCTGTACGGTAGAGAGAGTGAGATTCCGTTACTCTGCTGTCAGCCCCTCGCTGTTAGAACGTTCCTATCCTGAGAGTAGAGAGTAGGAAAAGTTTAACATGTTAAATTAGTATGCTCAAACAGTAAATGAAAGAAACTTTGCTAAGCCTCCCACATCTTTAAAGTTAGAAATACTTTGTTGATCCATCCCTTAAACAATATTTCATTATTTTTTAGGGTGCTATAAAAGGAAAGTTACAGGAGCTGGGGGCTTATGTTGGTAAGTTTTGCCATGTGTTCAGCAATCTTTAGATCATTTTTGTTATGTAGGAAAAAACCCAGCTTAGCTAATGGAACTTACTGTTACCTGTGTTATTGCATACAGAAGCCTTAAGCATGAGAAGAAATATCTGAAGTGCTGGACTAGTGAGAAAGAAAGACATATACTTGACAAAATATTATAGTAAGCATAAGAGGAAGCAGTAAGTGAACATCAGTATATGAAGAACTAAAAGAAAACAACTAAGAAGTCGGTCTAATAATCTTCCCTTTTATAAATGGTGGCAAGGGATTTGAAAGAAAAACAAACCATGATGTGAATATCTAAGGAAATTTCTTTGAAGCATTAGGAGAAACATTATATAAAGCAAGAGCCTTGGAAATACAGCAGCAGGTAGCTGTGACCACTCTGAGATGGAATCAGTCTTTCTTAGGCATATTTTTAACAGCTCTTGAATTCAGAGTGAGGTGTCTGTTGAAATTAGGAGGGAGGACAAAGATGAGTGAGTGGCTTAGGAAATTAAAAGGCCAGGTCAGAAACATTATGTGGGACAAACCTTTAAAATGAAAGAGCTGTGTTGAGCTAATTCTGTTGAAATACATGTATCTGAATCTTAGAGGCAGGGGGAGATTTTATTTTGGCTTGTGGCAGGAGGGGTGAGCCATGTGAACATCTGTGGTCTTATGGGTTTGTTTTTTCTGAACCTTGGAAGAAATGGGTGTTGCACTTCAGAGCAGCTCTTTTCTGCAGCAGTAGAAGTTGGTAACTTAACACAGCATTCTGTTGGAAACAAAATACCTCAGTCCTGAAACTGCATTGTTGTTGTCTGTCATGCTTCTTGGATTTCAGGTGAAGAAAAGGAATTGAAAGCATAATTTAGTGATCCTGTGAGTTGCAGGGCCAAGTTCAAAGTTTGTTTGAGCCCAAATTCATCTTCTTTCCTGTTTTAAGGGAGGCATTGTATTTATGGAAAAATTTATGGACAAATGTATTGGCTCCATAGAAGGGAGTTACCTATGAGCTGATATTCTGAACTCAGTTGGTGCCTAGGAACCATGTTTAGAACTTTTTAATTGTAAAATCATCTTTTTCACCATCTCAAAGCTTTTTAAGTAACTAATTTTTTGTTGTTTGGTTGGTTGGGGTTTTTACCATCATTCCAGGTTTCAGTTTCTCAGTCCTTGATTCTTTGCTTTCCTCTGTATTTCTGAAATAAAAGTCTTTCTTGTCTCTAATACTGAGATGCTGGTAGAATACTAGCCATGATTGATTCCAGCTGTGACTCTTCTTTCTTTGTTTGCCTTCTGTCTCTGTGTTCAGAGGACAGGTTTCCTGTATTCCCTGGACCAGCAGACAATGTCTGCAGTTTCTTCTCAGTCAGCTTCTGAACTTCTTTAAATAACTTTGTATTCTTTATTGCTAAGTCTGTCTTGCCTTGGCCTCTTTTTTCTTTTTAAACCACTGTTTCCAAACTTCTGTGATTTTTCAGGTTTCTTTTCTTGACTAGAGTATTTTGAACAACTTTTAAAGTAATCTTTTTCAAAAACTGTCCATGTCTTCTTTCAGGTAACCAGTAAAAAGTTGGTTCTCCATTATTCTAGCCTCTGCACAAGAACCATGCATTCTTTCTTTCTGTACCTGCTAATTCTTTTCTCTTGAAAACTCTTCTACAAAAAGATGTTTTGAAACTAACTTGCTGTGTAGAGCTTACAAAGGAAATATTCATGTATTTAAAGCAAGATGAAGTAAGTTAATTCTTCATCAGGTAGGAAATTTTTCAAAAGGCTGTAGTTCCACGTGCAGTTTAAGTTGGCATAAGCCAACTAAATTACTAAGTTTCCACAGTTACTGAGAAAGTAGTAACTTACAAAGTAGTAACCTCCTTCTTCTATCATACTGTTACAGGTAATTGTGCTAACTTATGCTTTTATCTATACTTAAAGTATCTTCTTTACTTTATCATGTGTTGAACCGCCTGAAGAACTTATGTTTAAAAGTAGCTTGGCCAGTAAATAAAATTCATTCTAAGGTCCTAGGTCTGAACATTGGTCCGCCTTGTGCAGCTTGTAGTTTGCAGTGAAAAAGAAACCCAAACACAAAGCAACAACAACAAAAACTGAAACAAACAAAAAGCCCCCAAAAAGAAGTGAGGGTTTAAGCTTGGAATGGGTTATGTTCAGCCAGTTGAGTAGTGGTAGTGCAGGTACAATGTGTGAATTGTGTTTTTGTAGTCTAGGGGAGAGGGAAATTATTTACAGTGTACATAGGTATAGAAGAAAGGCAATTCCTTTCATTTGGATTTTGATTTGTATTTTTCATTTTTTAGGTCTTTTTAGTGTTGTGTTCTGTCTTAGCTTGATTAAATAAGCACAGCTGTATCAGTACCTTGATTCAGATTCATAATTTGAGGTATTTCCCAGCTGTTTGCACTTACTATTGTTATGATCACATGATGCCATGGAGTGGGATTGGAGAGCATGAGATGTTTGATTAAACTAAATTGAAGTCAGTGCTCAAGAAGCACAACTAATGCCTTTGAGCAATAATTGTGGCAGAGGCCAGAGCTAGGCCAAAGCAAAATACCAAACACCAAACTCCCCATACCCTTAATGTGGTGATGTTGGGCTCTAAGCACCTTCCTGTGCATTCTGAGGAGTGGGAGTGCCTTGTATGCAAGGGAATGGATTTCTCACAGTGTATGAAATTGCATGTATTAGAGAGTAGAAGTTCAGTCTTGAGCTTGCTGGGATTTGTTTTATTTTTGTAGGTAGAAAATGTGGTAGTTAAATCTGGAAGTTAGTACAGTTTTGATTTGTTCAATGCACATATCAGAAATGGATATTTATTTGTTTAGTTTCTGTAACTAAAGGAAATTTAACAAGGGGAAGGTGCTGTATTTGGCAATATTTGAGGTGATGAATATTGTAGATTTTTTTAGTTTGCTGGTATTCAAGAAAAAGGATATAGGCAGCGGAATGGCTTTCTTTTATTTTGTTCTTCTTTCCATTCTGTTTACTCCCTTTTTAAATACACTGATCTTCAGCTTATGCTCTTGTGGAGCTGAGGGTCTTTTATTCCTTGCTTGTAGATGAGACTTGTATTGAATCTTATAGGAAATGGAAGACTTGTTAATTTGCTTCCCTAATCCTCTGCACAGTCTTTATAGTAAGATAGAAAGAAAATGGTTACTTGTTTAAAGATGTTTGTTATGTCTTCCATGATTTATTATACTTTAAAACAATGTGTTTCTCTTTCTATTAGATGAAGAGCTCCCTGATTATATTATGGTTATGGTGGCCAATAAGAAGAGTCAAGAGCAGATGACAGAAGACCTTTCCCTTTTCCTTGGAAACAATACTGTCAGGTTTACTGTCTGGTATGTTTGCAAGCTGCTTGTCACACTTCTTATCAGTAGTGCACGACTGCTTTCTATAAGTGACACCTGACATTTAAAAAAGTTATTTATCTTCCCATTATGTAATTTGTATTAATAATAACTTCTACTTTGCATGTCTAATAAGTACATTAGTTTTAGTCTGTCAGCAGTTAGGCTTTTGAGGTGATAGTTAGATGGAAAAGGGCTGGAGGACATTTTTGTTTATAGGCCAGTCAGATTTGTAAATAAAGTGCTCAGATAAGTAGGGGCTGTATGTTGACTTAAAATTATTCCTGCAAAAGCCCCTGTGAGCATGAGAGCATTGTTCACTGCAGTTAGATGTGAAGGACCAATCTGTTTGCTTTTATGCTAACAGTGCTTCAGGTTGCTGTGCATGGGAATTACTATATCAGGGCAGATGAGCAGTGGATCTAATTCTGTGTGCTGTCTTTGACAAGGCTTAGCACCAAATGCTTAGGTATTCCCACCTCTCAGGCTATTTATTTATTACCACCACCCAAATCCAAAACTCCAAAGTAGAACCTCAGAATTACTGTGAACAGGACAAGTTAGCAACACTTCAACTCTGCTGTCAGCTCCTGACAATGTAGATTAATTTATTCCATGTTGCATGACAAATTTAGGCATTATATTTCTCATGCATTTTCTAATACTGAATTTATTCTACAGTAGAAACCTGTAAGTAAATCCACATTTCAGACATTTGACTCTAGTGATTTTGTTGCTTTCAGAGTTATGTATTTTTTCAAGTTAATCTTATTTCTGAATCTCCTACCTGATAGAGCTTTGAAGGTCATTATTTGATTTTTGTGTACATGAGAAAAATACTACAATTTTTTCTCTTTTTCAGTTTGCTTTCTTTGACATATTCATACTGACATTACATTCTGTTCCAATATTTCTTCTATGTAATTGCTTCCTATGAGTTTTTCTGTTATTGAATAGCAGAGAGAAACATTTTAGAAGTTGGCTATGTTATGAAATCGTAAATACTGACAAAAAATGAAAAATAGTTCCAGCTATTACAATTCACTGTATTAGCTATTTAAACTGATGGATTTTCAGGTGATAATGTAACTTGTGTGGATGTAGTTTGATTTTACTTAGGTTTCATTTTTCTCCTGGCATTTGTCAAAAATATAATAGAGGAGTACAATTAAGCATGTACCTTTTTTTGAAAACTGCACTGGCATTTCTTTGCTGCCTCTTGTGGCCTGCCTAGGTGCAGCTTTTGGGTTTCAGCGTATCAGGAAATCATACAGTTGTCTTTCTCGTGGTAGTTTTGGGAATCAGATGAATGAAATTTACACAAGTGGATGAGGATGTAGCTCCTGTATTATGGTCTTGACTGAATCCTGATATACAGTAAAAAATAGTGTAGCAGAAAACACTTTCAGGGCTTTGTAAATGAAATGAAAAAATAATAAATATGTAGAGAAAGCAAATTTCATCAAAGAAATCAAGATCATTTTATATATTTATATTTTAAATGATGTATTGACTATATGCACATATACCACCAGCTGGTTCTGACACCTGCTTAAATTTTAAACATAGTGACTGTTTTAACCCTAAGTCAGTATTCTTCAGTATTCTTATTTTATATATATATATATATAAATACAGTGCTAAGACCTGTGAATAAGCTATAAGGGAACTGGTGGAAAAGTGTTACATAGCATTGTAACTGTGAGTTTTATATGCTTTTACTTCTTCTAAAGGCAACTCGGAATGTATATGTTCTTAAATGTTGGTGAAATGCAGTACTCAGCAAGATCTGCCTTCCTTGGTTTGTCTCTAGCTGGTAATTTTGGGCCGTCTGGCAAAAGTTTCACAGCAATTGTGACAAACCTGGCAATCCTGCTGGTTGGCCACCACTTCTTACCCTGACAAAGTGTCAGATCAGATATTCTGAGGTCAGTGTGAAAACTGATCTGCATCTCCAGAGCTCAGCTGACAAGTGTTCTGGTGAAAGCTCACAAGGAGAACAAGTATAAGCCTTCATTATACCCACATGCAGCCTTTGCAATTTGTTCTTGTCCCTTAGCTCATTTCAAATATTCAGCCAAAATTATAGACTTGCCCATTATCAGGTTTAAATTCCAAGTAAGATATGAGTTTAAGTGTTGAGGTTTTTTTCTTTCTTCTCACTGTAATACCTGTTTATTTTTGAGCAGCCTTATTGTATTAAAGCCACATAATTTTTTGTGTTACTTCAGCTTAGTGCCTTTTTCACAGGCAAAGGGCAGATTTGGTACTTGGCTGAGATATTTTTGCTCACCAGCACATCTCAGAGAGTATGTTGGTATATACAAAGCATGGTGGGAGAGTCCTGAGAATCTTACATACTATGTATATATATATGTATATATATATATATATAACAGTTATATACTGTTTGAGTTTGTATTTTCAATTATGTTTAACTCTACTGTGTAATTAAAGTTTCATATACAAAGTAAAATTTTAGGCTATGCTTTAGGCTTCTAACTTAGGTTTTTTGAATCAATCTTTTTGATACTTAACTCCATTGATTGTAGTGAAAAGTGGATAGTACTGGCTTTGAATAACTAAATGCCAAAAGTAGATGATGTGATGAATACTCTGCCTGCATGTGCATGACATATTGGAGGCAAGGTACTTCAAGCCTCCCTTTTGAGGTTAAACATACTGTGGTTGATGGAAAGTAAAGTCTTAAGGGTGGAAAGGCAGTGGGTTTCCAAAAAATGATCAGTTTCTGTCTATCTCTAGACAGATATCTCTGTCTTTATCAGTCTGAATGTAAGTTAAAGTTTTTTAATTCTCTTTTTTCTCTTTTGCTTCCTTCCCTGTCTGCTGTCTATTTCAGGCTCCATGGTGTTTTGGATAAGCTGCGATCTGTGACTACTGGTAAGTAAGAAAATTAAATTTTGAGTGAAGAGAGGCTTATTTTTTCTGTGCAGTATTATATGTCTGAGTTGTAAAAATATCTTGTCTGTTTCGTTATTTTTTTGGTTCTGTGGTTTAATGTAAAAGTGAAAGGTACCTGTCTCCACAGAACCAACCAGTGTAAAATCTTCAGAATCGAATATCTTTGAGAGCAACCTGCCTCCCAGCAAAAGCAGCTCATGTGTGAGTGATGAGAGGAGACGGGAGGATATCTTGCCCCCTCTTGCAGTGTCAAGCACTCGGACTGAAAGAAATGACTCCAGAGTTTCAACCAGCTCACAGGAGCAGAGGAATGCTGCTTCCAGGTGAGGCTGCTGGCTACTTCCTAATACACCTTCAGACACCAGTAGTTGTGTGAGTGTAATAGCCATTCTAAAGAGTACAGCCACTTGGAAAGATACAAGTAATTTTGAAGAGTGAAGCATTGCTACAATTTGTTGTACAAAGAAACATTAAATCAGAACTCAGTTCTTTAAGCAACGTAGCTCAAAGATTAGATTAGGGCTTAGATTAATTACCCAAACTGAAAAATATCAGTGTGTTAAATTTGTATAAACAGTACTACATTAATGATTCTTGATTAAAAGACAATTCTCATTTTCCAGGACTTGACTTGCAGATAATAGTTGGTGATTTCTTTTTTAATCAGGCAGTCTTGCGAAGATGGTTCTGCATCCCGCTTAACGTCTACGGTCAAGCCTCTGAGGGAATTGTCACCTTCTGAAGCTGTTATTGACATTAAACCTGAACCAGATGATCTAATTGATGAAGACCTAAACTTTGTGCAGGAGAATCCTTTGTCACGGAAGAAACCCATTGTGACTGTGACTTACGGTTCCTCTCGTCCCTCGGCCGAGATCTACCGGCCCCCAGCTGTCAGGAGTGCAGATGGAAACGTTCATGTGCCCAGATTGTCTCAGCAGGGCAGCCTGCAGGGGAGCCGCCAGTTAGACACACAAGGCTGCAGGTCTCTGGAAACAGGCCAGCTGTGCAATCCAGAAGCATTTGGCAGCTTAGCAGAAGGTCACAGACCCACCTCCAAACTCGGTGCTGATAAAGTGGGCAGTGAGGTTGGTACAACCTTAACTATTGCGAAACTCTATTCTTGTTAGGAACCTGAATTGCTATGTATGCTTCAGTAAAATCTTCACCTCAGAGAAATCAAAAGACTTCTGTCACTGGTACCAGGTTTGAGATTTCATCCTTTGAGTCCACTGGTAAAAAGAGATTGCATAATTTGACATCATTATCTGAGAGCTTGCTGCATTTCAGGGTTAATTACCATATTCATCTTCATGTCATCCTGACTTGGACTAACAGGTTAGCACATTATTGAGGTTCATATGATGAATCAGAAATTATAATTCTGATCTTAAGCTCATTGAATAAGCGATATGTATATAGCCCCAGCTTTACACAGTCTTGTAAATCAGGATTTTTGGCACGCTGTTTATTAACCCAGATACATTGATGATGATGAGGATTATTATTACTATTCTCTTTAGAACCATGTCAGTTAAGAATTCTTTGGGATGGATGTTGGACAAGGATAAACTAAAAGATGATTGCTGCCCTAAGTACTTTGGAGGCCAAGCTAAGCCAGTCAGGGTGGTAGTCCTAGCTGATAGACTATCTGTGTGAATGAAGAGCCTTTTTTGAGAGGAATGAAGATAGTTATGGCTACTAATGTTGTAATGATTTTACAAACCCTGTGTTGCAAGTGCATCTATGTTTATTGCAGCTCATAAAGTTCTCTGTCTTTGCCACTGCTTAATTCTGTATAAAGGATAATGAATTTTACTTGGAAATCTAGAATGCTTTACAAAGATACATTCTGGTGTCTTAGTTTTTGAGAATGGAGAAGAGCAAATGAGAATATAGTGATTTATTTAATGTACATAAATCATTGATCAATGTCAGGAACATCTCACCTTGGAAAGGTCTTGTGATACTTTTCTTCTGTTACTCTTGCATGAATAATGTCTAGAAGAGACAACAGGGACCTTGCACTATCTAAACTGGACCATTCTGACTGTGTGTAACAATTAGCATCCTTTGAAATATGTAGTTTTCTTGCTTAAAATGAGTCGTTACACCTGTCTGAAATTAGAGTTGATACAGAGGAAGAAAGTAATTTTTACTGATTGCACTTTCCTCTTTCAGTCTTTCAACATACTCATCAGATGAGTGCTATAAATTTCTTTGGAAAACCCTGGTTTCCTGTAGGCGTTGGATAATTTTTCTGTACTTGAGAGATTTTTTTCTTATTTTTTCCTAAGTGGTGTTTACACTTTCATTTCCAGTGAGATGTTTCAGTGTAAATGTGTCTGATTTTCACATTACCCAGAGCAGTCACTTGTCCAATTGGAAGGGAAGTTCTCCATCTCCTGGCTCCAGGTGGAATTGCAGTGCTTTCTTTGCTGGTTTCTACTAAATGAGCCGTTTTGCCTGCTCTGTGCGTTGTAGGAGGAAAACTCCAGGAAGAGACGGCTGCCTGTTGTAAGCTCGGTGGTCAAGGTGAAAAAGTTCTGTAATGATCGAGAAGATGAAGAGGAAGAGGAAGACTATGGATTGCGAACAGGAAGCATCTCCAGCAGTGTGTCTGTGCCTGCAAAGCCAGAAAGAAGGTACTGAAGATCTCAGTGTTTGAGTTTTCAAGAATTAATATAACAAATGAAAACTTTGTAAGTGGGGAAAATCAGTTTGCACTTTCAAAAATTGACAGACAAAATTTAGTAAACAATTTTAGTATTTTTTTTACTATCTCACAACTCTGTGGATGAGATGCCTGTTTATGCCTATGATTTTGTAACCTCTTTTCATTATTGCATGTAAGATGCAATAGAGTGTGATTTTTTACATTATTTGGGTGAAGCTTACTGGCAAAAGAACATGAATGTTGACATGTTTCATACCAGGTATTTATTGTGGTAAAATGATTTTTCAGTAATTTGATTTATTTTCAGGAATTTTTTTCAAACCAGTTATCACTTGTTCTTTAAGGTGATTTTAGCTTTTCAAACAGTCTTCAGAGGTTTTTCCCTTTTTTCTGCTCCCTAATTCTATCCAAATGTCAGGCATTAGTCAAAATACATACCTTTTGTATCTGATATTTAACAATAGAGTAAGAGCATATAAACTAGAGAAGAGATGGTTCTACTGACCTACAGTGATAGTTGCATAAGATTTATTGTAAGTTAATATACTGTATTTAATTTATCTTCAGTTCCACAGCACATTGGTCTGATTTAAGATTCCTTACTGTTGATGTTAAAGACAGGCAGAAAGCCTCTTTTTACAAATAATATGTTTTTGATAGAGTCATTCTAATTATGCAGCTGGATCATATTTCTCAGGATGGCTGCATAGTTATTGGTGCCAGCACAAACAGCAAGAGATAAGTGGTGGGCAGAGGTGGAAAGAAATTAGTACAGAGAGTGCCTTTCATATGTAGCATGGTTTTACAGCAGCTTGAGAGGTGAAATCACACATCTGGACTTCCATTTTTTAGAGCATTTTGTGGATCCTCATCTTCTGAGAAAATAGATTAACTGAAAACTGTTTTGGATAAAATAATTGTAGATGATTTCTGTTAATATATTCCTGTTGAAATAACTGTCTTTAACATGGATACTGTTGCTGTACAATCCGTGTCCAATTAATTTTTTTTATTTCCTTTAGGCCTTCGTTGCCGCCTTCAAAACAGGCCAATAAGAACTTAATACTGAAAGCAATCTCTGAAGCACAGGAATCAGTTACAAAAACAACCAATTATTCCACTGGTAATTAGCATTGATTTTGCTTGTGTTAATCTGTGATATTTCCAAATTCTCTTGTATAAATCCAAGCTAAAGAAAGCACTTGGAGATAAGACAGAATGCTAAATAGCAAGTCAGTTATACTTGAGGGATTTACTGTGTCCTGTTTCATTGCATTGATGTTCAGTGATGAATTATAAAAACATAAATGAGGGAGAGGGTCTTTTTGAACCTAAGTGATCCTATGAATCTGCTGCCATTTCTTTGTTCTATTCTATTTGCAAGCACTTCAGCAAAGGGTAGCTAGCATCATATGAAGAGACATATTGATGATCCATGATTATTTATATGAAAGATGGAAAAGTGATTTCAAAACTCTCAGAAAGTACCATGTTAATTATATGTAGAAGTGGATGACTGAATGCTTTGCTGTTGTCACTGTAATCCTTCTCATGCTGTTTTGTCTTACAAGTAGGAGTTCCGAGGTGCCACTCAAGGTGCTCTGTGCACATGCACAAATACACTTGAACAATAAAAATTTTACAGGTAGCCAAAGGTGCTTTTTGTGGAGACAGATGCTTGGGGATTTTGTGTGTGTGTAGGAATTTGTGAGAGTTATTTTAGCACAATATGTCTAAAAGCAGTACTATTGTGTGATCGGGTAGTATGTAAATGATTTACCATTGTTTCTCTATTTAAAGTTCCACAGAAACAGACTGTTCCAGTTGCACCGAGAACTCGAATTAGCCCAGAAGAATCACAGTTAGAAGTAATTCATGTGCAAAGCAGACTGCCTGTTCTGAGTTCTCAGCTTCAAGTAGAAGAGTCAAAGGAGCAGACGGTTGAAGAAATTCAAGGTCATCTGATAATATTTTTCAAGAATTTATACTAGGGAATATCATTTTACCAGCTGAGCAGAGAAAAGTAAAGGAATGCTTTTAATTTTTAAATCTGCATCAGAAGTTGCATGCAGAACTGCCCTGAAGACCATGCAGCTTTCAAAAGCATGGCTGTCAGATAGATCCATGTATCCAAACACACACACAGACAACCTCAGGGGATTTAATCAGTAAGCAAAGAATGTTACAGCTCTGTGGCATGTCACTGAAGAATAATTTTGCATAAGCACTTACATTTGGATAGCTTCTCTTTTCCTCATCCTTTGCATATTTTCCTTAGTATCTTGTAGGAGTAATTCTGTCACAAAGCTTAAGTGAGAGTGAAGATACTCCAGAGTATTTGGAACAATTTTCCAGCATATGAAGTCTTAAAAGATTCTTTCAACACATGGTTTCCACACAAATGGTTATAGTGTTTTATTTTTCAGTTTAAATATAAGAATACTCTATTTGCTCTTACAGGGCAGCTGATACCAGGCTAACTGTGTCAGCTTTGGTTTTTACTTCTGTTTTGAATTTCCTAAAGGGCATAATACTTAAAGGCAGTCAAAGTGCCTTTTCAGCATGGTTTTCTTATAGACGATGGGGGATTGTCTTCGTTAGTCACAAGGAATCATAGAAGTAAGGCAGGAGAAAAAATATTTCTGTAACAAGTACTTAGTTGATACTTGCTAACTGTTTAGATATTTGGATAATGAATCAAATTTGGTTTTGAGTAAGATTTTTGTTACATCATTCTATGATCATTGTAAAGGAACGGTAAATATTCATTATTTTAAAAAGATTTTTGCAGCTGCTTATTCCTAATATAAATGTATTTGGAATCTTTCTGCCACCTCAAAGTATGTGAGAAAAAGTTTTATCAGCCTTTGAATTAATGCACAGAAAATAATTATGCTAAATATTTTCACTCTTTTGCCATTGAAATGGAAATGGCAACTTGCTTAGGAAATGTACAGAAAGCAAAATTAAATTTTTAAGCCATATCTCAAATGTAGAACAGTGCTGCTCTGATTTGCTCTTTTAAGAAGATTATAAAGTAGTCCCTTGCTACTTGCTTTCCTCTGTGTGTGTTTTCTAAATGGCCAACTCTTCTACAAATGAGGAGGAGGAATTTGGCCTTCATCAGTTGCTGTGCCCACAGACCTCATTTGTACTGAGCAGCAATTATGGGAACGAGTAGTGTCCTACAGTGCTTAGATTTTGCCATGTTACTGTTCCTGAAACAGTGGGAAAAGGGTTCATCATAATAATGAAAATGACTTTTAAAATGTTAAAAGTGTGAATGTTTTTGTTGTTGATTTTTTTTATCAAAAGAATTAAGAGAGTGTGCCTCAATTCTCTAATCTATAGTTTCATGTTGACATGCTGTTAAATATGCTTCTTATTGCTGTTTTTTTTAGGAATTGAACAAAAGGAGCTCTCTTGTCGGCTTCAGATTGATCCTATGATTGAAGATGCCTTGCAAATGTCTCAGGGTTAAGTCTCGTTATCTTTTATTTTCAAACCTAATATTACTGGCCATTGAATGTTAAGATACTCCTTTTCAATTAATTATACTGATTTCTACAATTACCTAGTTTCTGCATCTCTAAGGAATGAGTGCATTACATTAGTAGCTGTTCAGAGGATGAGAGATTTAGAGGGGGAGGGGAGTTGTACCCTGTTCAATGCTGTTTCAGCATAGCCATTCCACTTATAAAATTTCCTGATCTGACCTAATATGGCTTATGACTTCTGTGGATCCACCCCTGTGAAATTAACAGGAAAGTAAAAATGTTTACTGGAAACTACTGGGAAAAAATTAAAACAAAGTAAGATTAGCTTCGTGACCATGTAAATTGATATTAGAAATATGCTATAAGAGTACAACTGCCACCTTATTTTACTCTTTTCTATGTAATGTTCTCCCAATGCAGATTACTGTGACCCAGAGTCTCTGGTGCACTCAGATACTCGCTCGTTCATCCTGAAGAAGCCCAGGCTGTCAGAGGAGATGGCGCCACAGATTCAGCAGCTGGGGAAGAAGGGCACAGAGGCCGTGCGAGTTCACTCAGCACGTCTCATACAGACACGGTGAAAAGCTACTGCATTTAGGAGGGTTGCTAGTCACATTGCTTGTTTGAGGTTTAGATGGAGCCATTTGGTCAGACTTGTGCTTTGTCAGGTCAGTCAGGAGGTGTGAAATCATGCAAAATGGATTGACTTTGAATAGTAGAAGAAAAAAAGCAGGGGCAAAAAGCCTCACAGGAATCCCTCTCTAGGAAAATAATTGTAGGGTCAACTGTAGCTTGAGCATGTCTGATTTGCAAGAAAGAAGAAGGAGCTGAAAGTACTGCTCTTCTGTTCTGATTTCTGAAATCTTAGTCAAGTAACCATTTTGCTTAAATTGCCTTTAGTTTTATACCTGTTTCACCCTTGGATTACATTTCTTAAGAAACATCTTTATTTAAACACAATATTGAGTGTGGTGAATCCTGGACAATGATTTAAGGCTCCTTACTGGAGAGTTTGACCAGGAGAAGCTTCAAGTTCATGTCAGCTTCAAACAAAGTTCCAGGTAACAAATAGTCCTACCTGTTACAAGTTAAAGCCACTCTGAACAGCATGATGAACTTCATCACCTGGGCTGCTGTGCTTGAGAATCTGCTGGTGTTTCCTTTCTGTGAGTGGCTTTCAGCAGCCTGTGTTAATTGAAAACAAAACCAGTACTGAGCCAACAAATCCAAAAGGATAACCTGGCAATATCACAATTGAAAGCTGTGACTGTGCTATAGGAGAGAGGTACATTTTTGTATGTGAATAGTCAGTTTCTGACTGCTTCAGTCTGAAAGTTCTAGCTCACGATGATATTCATGTTCTGGTTTCTGTCCTCTTAAAGGCATTCTACAGTGTAGTTGCTTTTAGCCTCACTTCATAGGGAAGCAAAGGTTATCCCATTGCTGGTTGTCCAAGATGAGAACTCCACAGTTCTCCAATTCTTAGAATCACTTGTCATTCAGGAAATCCTTCAGGTGAAATGGATGGGATGGTGAAAGACTGGAGAAAATGTATGTGTTCCCTGTTTTAATGCTGCTTCTTATCCATGCTGACTACAGATACAGGACGCTAGGCTATTGGTGTCTGACCTTTTAGTCTGGCTGAGTGTCAAGGTTCTTAGTCTCAGTATTGCAATTCTCTCATCCTAGTTCTAAAAACTTTTACACCACTTGTTTCATAATGTGCTTTTCAGTAATTTTGAGGAGACACGTTTGGTGTGTTAAAAGGTTTGTAATTCCAAGAGTGGTATTTGCTCTCTTTTTCTGCCTCAAAACTGCAAATTCCACAGGATTGACTGTTTGTAAATGAGTTTTTGGATCTGTCTGTTGAGCAGAATGCAGCTAACTGAACTTGTACCTAGAGCTGTAGTTCTTATTAGTGCCTCAAGGGAGACCAGAAGTCCAACTGCTAACTGGAGTGCATTACCAGTAATTGCTAAAAGAAGGTCTGTTACTGCTTGACTCCCCATTGATTAGCTTGTACTACTTTCACTCACTACCACAGCTCACATTCACTCAAATGTCTTGAGTCAGAAAATGTAAATTTACTGCATTTCTTTGTTTGACAGAGACCAGCTTGCACAGCCAGAGAAACCTGCTAGTCCCAAGTTCATTGTGACCCTGGATGGTGTGCCCAGTCCACCAGGATACCTCTCTGATCAGGAGGAGGAAGAGATGTGTCTAATGGAAGGATTGAGGCCAGTTACCCAGCACATGTGTGCTGGCAGAGGATTGAAAGGTCTTCGAGCACAGCACATGCAGATTGTAACCAGGCAGCTGGAGAACTGTGATGGTAATTACACTGACCAACAGGGTGTAACCTTGCCTGTTGCCTGAGCATGGCTACACCTCCTGGATATAGAAACCAAAGTGGTGGTGTTTATTCTTCAAATTAGAGCATTTTTTAGGCAAATGCAATCTGGGAGTTCATCTCTTCAGAAGCCTTTGTCTTGGAATATTAGAACAATTCGGCACATGGTAGTTCTTGACACATCTCAGTATTGGTAAAAATTTTGTTGGGTTTGTTTAGTTGGTTGGGTTTGTTTGTTTTGGGTTTGTTAGTTTGTTTGTTGTCTTTTTGGTTTTCTGCAAATGTAGTTGGTCTTCATTGTCAGAAATCTGCCCTTCTGGTTGACCTGTTATAATTTGTCCCTGTGATGTTACAGTTAACACACTGACAATGCCTTGAACCTTTAACTATATGTCAGATGGTATTCATGTTTCTGTCAAGGGTTGTGGCACCAGAAGGAGCCTGGTAGTGTAAGGTGTTGGTAGAGTCCAGTGGCTAGCACCTGAAAGAAGAACTTAACAGTGCGTGATTTTACAGATTTTTCTATATTTTCTTTCTATATTTCTTTTGAATAACATAGGAACTTGCTTGCTGAACCACATGCTTGAATTGTTTAGAATGCTGACATGGTGATAAAAAACACAGAGGCTACAGTTCTGTCATAGGCCTCTTGAATACATGCCTGAGGGCTGTGCTTGCATTCATGTTTTTTACTTAGCTTTCTTAAGAAAATAAGGATCTTTATTTAATGTAGTAGCAGTGTGTCCAAATTTCTGAACTAAATAACGAATACTGTTTGGTGCTGTACTGAGAACCCTTAAATTGCATGGATCCAGCTGTAAATGTGTAATGCAAATATGAGAGCACCATAGCAAAAGATCTTTTATGTCCTTTCAGTTCCCTGGCTGCAGAAGTACTGCACATATCAGGCAGCCTTAAAGATTAAGGGAATGTTGTGTATTCATGCACTTTACTGGCACAGAGAAACAGAGTACTTCTTGCAAATCCATGCTTTGCTGTGTGTAGCCTCAGACTCCTCACCAAAGCTATTTGGTAGAGGAGCGTGTTGCCAGCACAGTCCTAGCTCTTTTGAGGATTCCTGTGAATTTTCAGGGGTGGCACTGGAGCTCACACACAACCAGATCCTTGTGGAAGTGATCTGCATGAGCCAGTGTGGTCCTACTACAGGATGGCATTATTTGGCTGTGGTGGGTTGCAAGGAGAAGGCATAAATGAGGCTAAGGATGGAATGAAGCTGGAGCAATTTGTGTCATCAGTGGGATCAGAGAACGAAGTCTAGGCAGTGCTGGAAAACTTTGAAGAGCCAAAGGTTTAGGCAGATTTGGGAAAATAAGACAACAGCAACCTATGTACAATTGTCTGAATTTGGAGAATAAGGTTTTATAAGCAATTTAAATAGGAGAAAGTCAAAGTCCCATGTTCCTGTAAGGGTAGTGAAGGTGTGGAATGTTTCAGCTTAGAGTTTCTTAAAATACTTTTTGGATTAGAGTCTGGGTTCAGGTAACTGAAGTGTCTTAACAAATTACATAGAAGTGGTTCTCTTTCAGTATATGCCCCCATAATAATAAATCTGATTATCATAAAACTTGATTTTTAGCTTTCATCTCTTGAAATAATTTTCTAGAGTAAAAAATGTCTTGGAGAAACATGGCTATAATTAACTCATGCTCAGCAGAGCAGTCATAATTCAGGTTCAGTTGGGATCATTGCCTGTCTGTCCAAGTCTTAAAATCAAAATTCAGATTGAAAAGGAAAACTGATTTATTTTGCTTGTAAACAGTGCTAATTTGATCTTTTATGATCAAGCTGCCAAAAGGCAGCTGTCAGTCTAGTATTATGACTTTCCATTTTATAGTTTTGGAAATTTTCTTCAGAAATAATGATGTACTAAACTTTTACTGTCATAACTTTTTTGATTAAGAGAGAATAGAAGTACAGTGTATTTTGATTATGCTAGATTGTTTACACCAAGTTGCATGTAGAATTATAAAGGTCCCAGCTTAGGGTTGTTTTTTTTTCTTCTTTCTTACCATCCAGTGGAAATGGAAGACTTAAGTATGCTACAAAAGCAGGAGAAGGTGCTGGAGCGCTGCAAGTACTGGCCTGCCTGTAAAAATGGGGATGAATGTGTGTACCATCACCCCACACTACCTTGCAAGTGAGTAGTACAGAGCTCATCCACTTGCTATGCTATTTTGATTTTCATACCAGAGCTGCAGACTTCTGCTCTGTGTCAGAAATATTCCAAGGCAGCACAAACCTGTCAGGACAGGATCAGAGCTAGATTACCACACTGTTATTCCTTCTGTTTTCTGCCCCTCTCCCAAGTGTCAGGACACAGGGATGGCTGCTGACCCTTGCAGAAGAAAGCTTTAGTTTACAGTACAGGCTGGCGTTCATGAGTTGCTTGAAGATGCAGGAATTAGCATCTTAAAAGAATAGGCACTTTTCTGCCAGCTGTTACAGTGCTTTTGAAGGTTAGGTTATCTTAAGTAGTAATGCAGTGATTATGGGTTTTAAATTTGAAAGAGAAGGTGAACTCTTGAATGTGCCCTGTGCCTTTGACTTCTCTTCCATAAGCAGGAACAGTCCAGGAAAACAGTGCCTGTTTTGAGGTAACTCTTACCAGATTGGGTAACTTCAGTTACTTGGACAGATGAATTACCTTATAAATTCTGGTGTAACTCAATTCAAAATAAAACTCTTCAGAGAAAACTGAAGGAGACTGTGTTACTGGGGAACACTGCACCCCTCTCTGGGGAAGGTCTGATTTCACATTGCCTTTGCCACTCTGCCACACAGTTGGAGGGACATGTCCTGGCTTGCACCAAGGAGTTTGGGACCAAACTGCCCTGAGAGTGAGGTGGTTCAGTTGTTCACTGCATGGAGGGGGGGTCTGCAGGAAGAGCAGCTGAGTGCAGCTGGGTGGGTGCACAGCTTGTGCACTACACCCTGTGCCCCACTTGGGAAGGAACCAAGACATGCCCCAGCCCTGCTGCACCTCTGACTTTCATGTGCAAGAGATGTTCAGGGATTTTGCTCCAAGTATGAGGTTTTGACTCAATTTCTTTTCCCTCAGAGTTTTTCCTAACTGCAAATTTGCTGATAAATGTCTGTTCATCCATCCAAACTGTAAATACGACGCAAAGTGCACTAAGCCAGACTGTCCTTACACTCATGCCAGTCGACGAACCCCCCATCCATCTCCTAAACCAGGTGAGCACATCTTGTTTTCTGGGCTTTCAATGATAGTGCTGAAGGAACAACAGTATTTTTGGAAGCAGAAGCTGATAGTGATGAATTTTTTTTTTTTTCTTGAGTTAAAGTAATTTTCTTACAACTCTTAGTGCAAGATGAAGAATAATAATCCAGTGCTACTGCAAAAACTGTTACCAGAAAAATCCTCCAACGCTTTTATGCAGGAGTTCCTATGAGAGCTGTTCAAGGCCAAAGTGGTGACTTGCATAAGTTGTCTGTTTCTCTGAAGGGATTAGCCAGCACTGCAGTTTTGCTCAGATTTTTTTCTTAAATTGGACACATGTTGTACCAAGGCCTTGTGACACACACTGAAAACAGTCTCCTGCCTATGAACATTTTATTCTTTAATGCCAGTGTAGGAGTGAAGTTAGTGTAGTGATGAGATGACTTTTGGGATGAGGTTACTTGATGAAGGCAGTAGCTATGTTTGATATGGGTTGGTGTTGAGCCTTTGAACCATGCTGAGGTGCAAGGACTTTACTGCATGATCTTCTGGAAGTAATTTAGCCCCTAGTCACAGTTCATGCAGTTTGTAACCTTGCCAGACCCCAAGCACAATGTGCTTGTCTCCTGTATCATTTCCAGCAGCTCCTCCATATTCCTGGAAAGTGCAAAACTCTAACAGGCTTCCTGCTGTCTAAATTTAACATCTGAGATTCTCTGCCTACCAGAATCTCTGTGATGGGAAGAACTAAGTTAAATGATTACCTGATAGCCTTGTTTTACTCCAGGATCTCCTAACTGCATTGGGAAATGCTGTTTTTATTTCTTGCTGAATTTTGGTGTAATATAAGATGGAATTTTTAGCAGAAAGATTGATATATTTAAGGTTGTGCAGAGCTGTCTTGAAAAGGCAATTTATTCTGATCCAGACTCACTTCCTGTTCTTTTTGTTTCTGCTGTTAGCACCCCTGCCCACACTGTCCGTACCCTCCAGCAGTCCGCTGTGCAAGTTTTTTCCAGCTTGTAAGAAAATGGAGTGTCCATTTTACCACCCAAAAGTAAGATATATCTCCTGTCTTCCTTCCTTTCTAGAAAGAGACTTAAAACATGCTACTTTGGGACAGGAAATGTTACTAGGATTTAACACTTTTTTCTTTACTGTTCACATTTTGACTTTGCCTTATAAGAAGAATACACAAAAGTAGTGATTTAAGGAATTTGGAAAATTATACTTTCAGTTATCTTTCTACCAAATGCTGCTGGGGAGCTTCAAACAGGACAGAACTCTTCAAAATATACCCAGCCAGGATGCTGGGGGCAGAGAGGAGCCTTTTGGGAAGGAATATGTCTCAAGACTCTTGACTCTTCCTTCAGATATGCTGCAAAATACAAAAACTTTAAAGATTGCCCAGTTACCCTAAAATTTATTAATGTAATCTTTGTACCACAGGAGTCTATTACTTGGCTACTTGTATAGAATTGTGTCCCTGCATGTAATGCCAGGAGGTGTAGTGCTTTTTCCAGCCCTAATAATGCCAAAATACCCATGCTCAGATACTATTAGCCAGATACTCTGGCTTTTCTCCCCCCTCAGGTAATGCTGTGTCATGCTCCCAACTTGTACACAGAGATCAATTTAAGCTGAACTCTGTAAACTCTTGCGAGCAAAGGAATCTCCACCAGTCAGTGCAGTGGCAGTTTTGGAGCATGAAATTCATAGTTGGTCCTTCTTGAAAAGGATTTTTTGTCACTGGGTTGAGCTGGTTGCCCTGGTGGAGGCAGGTGTTGGCTCAGTTGCAGGTGAGAAGTGTGACACAGCAATACCAGGGTCACAGTGCAGCTCAGCATGTTCAGGAGTTCAGGCAGCCAGCACTGAGCAGCCTCTTCTGAAATACTTTTGGTTTCAGCATTGTAGGTTTAATACACAGTGTACAAGACCAGACTGCACTTTCTACCATCCCACTGTTGCTGTACCTCCACGCCATGCCTTGAAATGGACTCGAACTCAAGCCAGGTGAGAAATACTCTAAACCTAACCAAGAAAAATAAAAGGTATGTTATGGCATTACTAATGTAGTTTTTCTCACAGAAGTAATGTGTGAGAGGAACAGCAAAGATGTATGAAGAAACATACCCCTTATGGGCAGCTTTCTTTTGAAGACAGCCCTGTGCTGTTGTTTGGTAGTAGTTGTATAAACATTAACTAATGTGATGCAAGCCTGATAAACAGGTGCCCTGCAGCTGAGACACAGCAGTCACTGGAATCCTGACCTGGACAGGGCGGTGTTTTCTGAGTTGTAGCTGAATAAAGCTGAAGATCCTTTTACCATTGTTTGATCTTATGTCTAAGCTGTCTTTTCCACAACAGGTTCAGCTGTTTTCTTGGAGTGTTTCTGGCAGAGCAGCTCCTTCCTGTCCTCTGCCTGTGCTTTCATAAACAGTAGCGGACTTCCCAAAGCTGCAGCTATGGGCCTGCCATAAAGGCTCATGTGGTTTAATGGTCCAATCCCCTCTGCAAAGGTTTTAACCATTACAGGGATGGGGCATGGAGCAGTTCTCAAATCATCTTTACAGAGGGGCAGAATTGCTTCTTATGGAATTGTTTTTTTCTTCCTCCTCAGTGAGTGAATATGATACAGCCTGGGACTGAGCTTTGCCTCCTCTGGACAGTAGAGGACAGGAGGATCGACCACCAGGACACAGGATGCTAGGAAAGACTCATACATTTTGGACTTTGAATATACATTGTTTTCATAAAACGAGATTGATTGCATACTTGAAATGTCTCTAATTTTCCAAGTTTGTAAGTTTGGACAATTTTACATTTTTTTTACGCTGTAAGAAAAAAACATCTGTGTAAGAAAAGTTTTAAGTTCCATTAAAAACCTTCAAAGCACATTTTGTGTTCTGTTTGTGTAATGTTCCTTGTTTAAGGGTTGGTGTGTTGAAGAATAAAGTATGGCAGCAGAAGCACTTAGAAAGCTTATTCCTGTGTTGGGATTGTACTGGAAGTACTTTTTGAGCAAGTGTTTGGTACAGTGCACATGGCTGCACTGCTGTCCCAGCACCCAGGGACTGGGTAAAGACAAGTGCTTTGTCTTTTGGGTGTTGTTCAGTGCAGTGGTTTTGTCACAGTCCTTCTGCTCTTTAAAATGGGGACAAAAAGACAAGGGAAAAAAGCAGCTTTATAAGCCAGAACAATTAAAGAATTATTGATACTGTTCTCCACTTAAAAACCCTATGAATTGCCACTTCACTTGAAAATAGATACTCTGAGATGTCTCCATTTATACCCAGAAGAAAGAACCCTGAACTTCTAAGGAATTCTTTTTTCCTTCTGTGCACACTGTGGTTTTCTCCTTCTAGAAAAATAATGCACACACATGCCCATAAATACTGTTCAGTGTTATTAAAATGATGAAAAGTGTTGAACAGTAACATAAATGCACTTTTTTATTAAATCTTTTTTTATATTTTGGGGAACTACATTTTCACAAAAATATACAAAAGAATTTCTTTTTACAAATATTTACATTCAATATCAGAAAACAATGATAGCTACATATTTTAAACTTAAATTTGACAAATATAGTCTTGAATTCCGAAACTTAACACTCCAGGAAAAGTATTTTTAATTTTTTTTAAATAAAGTACTCAAAGTTCATATTCAAATTTTAAAAAATCTTAATTAATGCAAAAATCTGACATTTAATTTGTATATATATATATATATATATATACTTTAAATAAACATACAACATTGTTACAGGAATTAGATGTTCATGGTGGAAACCAAAATGGAGTACACTTAAACCCATGATCCATATAATATATGACCATACCTTTGGACTAGTTTAAAATACCTTTTTTTCTTTTTTTTTCTTGTTAAAGCAAGAGGGATTATCTGACACACTCCATAATGAAACAACAAATCTGAACAGACAACCGCATTTTAAGCTTAAAGAACTACAGTAAAATATTTTTGTGAGGTGACCTGACAGGGGGCTGGAGAGGAGAGGATGTGCTCTGCTGTTGCACAGAGCACTGCTGGAATGGGTTTCCAGATGAAAGACTGCAAAGAACATTATTTTTTCTACAGAATTTCCCAATGCCTTCCTTAGCTGTCCCTTGCAGAAACAGCTGCCACCATGAAGCTATTTTCCATGTGAGATGAGGAGACAATTTGTAAGGGCAGCAGAAGACCAGGACCATCTCCATTGCTGCATTTCCACTGCTGTGCTGGGCTGTCACCAACCCACAGTGTTCAGTGTGAGAAAAGCTTTTCCTCTGCTAAAAACAGTGAACAAACCAAGCTACAAAGCTAAACTTGCATTTTTTTTAAAAATTAAATGATTCTAATGCATTTACTTAGTTTGTTACATTTTCAAGTTATCATTTTGGGCTGGAGTGTATTCTAATATGGAATTTTACATTAAAAATGCTTTAGCTTGCTTCACAAATCAGTAATGCAGCTTTTCCATTACTTTATTCTGTATACCTGTAACTGAACTAAAAAGCAGAAATTAAGCTAATTACCAGATACTGCTTAAAAAAAAAAAATCAAGCTATTTTGCACCTGAAACCACAACACTAGGGTACATAGTAGCAAGAAAAGGAAAAACAGACCAGAAATGTGTGAAGTACTACCCAACAGCACCATTTCACAAAAGTACAGGAAACCATTTTTATTTCATGCAATGTGTGTCTGTGTTCATGCCTGGAGTTCCTTTAGAAAGGATATTTACTGGATTCCAGAAGAATACAGTGTCACACATGTCCTGGGTGCAAATGGTGGTTGAAAAAATCATGGTGTTATGGCAGTACCACTTCCAGCTCCATTGCATGGAGAGGTCCATGGAATGGATCCAGTGGATTCCCCCTTCTCCCCTGTCTCAAGAATTTGCAATTAAGTTAATAGAAAATTAATTTTCAGCAACAGAATGCTCAGGATTGGCTTTAGTCATTACAAATGACCACCAGCAAATCTGTGGTTAAAGTTGGCCTTCTCAGCCACTGCATTGGAAAAATAAACTTATTTGGTGGCTGGGAGGGGGGAGCTGGGACAGGGGCTTCTGTGGGAAGGAGGCAGAGTAGTAAGAGCCAAAGCTAATGAAGGAATAATGGAGGATATTACATAAACATGTCCTTTTTTACCCTAAAGGCTTACAATCCTGCAGAGGACTGAAACTAAAATACCCCTCCACTACAGCCCTTTTTCAGTATCCACCAATGCAACGGTTAGCTACAATAATTTACATTTTATTCTTATGGCCTCATCCTCTTCCTCGGCCTCACTGAGAGCAGCTGAAGGCAGCACCAGCTTTATGAGCACCACACACAATGGGACAGTGGCAATTGTCCCTTCATCTTAGAAAACTGCTAAAGCACAACTGGCCTTAATCCTCTTGTTTCACACACCCATTATGTGGGTGCCACTTAGTAGTTAAGTGGATACAACCTGCTTTCCTTTACAAAAAGTGTGAGTCATACAGATCACATCACTGGAACATGACAATACTTTGGGGGATAGCATTATAAAACAAAAAACATTTGAGGTTTTGGTTTCTTTCTGTTTTTCAATAAGCCCTCACATGACATCACTGCCCAAACTAAGCAAGATATGTGCTGGAAAGGGCAAAATCACTTTGTAGGGTCTTGAAGGTATCCCACAAACAGCAATAGAAACAAAGGAAACACCTACGATGGCTTCTGGAAGAGAAACCAAAACATACCAAGCAATAGGAACATCCTGCCTCTCATGTCCCAAACACAACTGCCCTCTTGCAAGTGGAGAAGGATCAGTCCTACTATTCATGCACAAATTTTGTGTTTCTTACAAAGAGTTGCTGTAAGTCCAGTTGTCTAACCAGCACCTATAATGGGCTTGGATTGTTTTTTACATGAAGTTTACCATAATTATTTCCCTTTTTAATAATGGTTTACTATGGGATAAAATAAAAAATTTTGTACTGATTTATTTCTCTGATATATACTGATTTATATACTCAGATGTATTTGTTGGGTCTAATTACATTCACCTGACTACCTCTATATTTGAATGCCCATGGCATGGAACCACTGAAGGAAAATTTGGCTCAGGTAGGATCTGAACCACCCTCTGCAGATTCCTCTGGCTGTCACACCTTGAGTTAAATGTAGAGCCCACAGCTTTCATGTCTGTCATCTTAAATGTTGTGAATACCTGGGAACTGAATCAAGAACTGCTGAATAGGAAAGAAATGAGAGGCATTAATTGCAACAGCTTGGTTAAGAAGAGTTTTCTGAAGTATAATGTTTCTTTGGTTTAATATTTTTTATTTGAATAACATTTCCAGAAGAGGCCTATTAAAACAATCCAGGTTTGGTTTAGGTAGAAAGATAAGTAGCCTTTTAAAATACATCCTTCAACTCTTTTGCCTGAGCTCTCAGTACTACAGAGCACTTCTGTCTTTACAGCACTTTCTTTGTTCCACTGTATCCAGTGCAGCTGTGGGTAACTTGTGCTTTGCTGCTGCACCTCAGCTCTGAACAGGAGTCCCACAGGTAAGGGAGTGGGAGTGGCTGCATCTTCCCAAAAACAGAGCAACCAAAATTCCCTGCAGCCTTTCCCTGAGCACTCTGCTGCTCTCCAGCCCTTACACTTCCCAAGCAGCCACTGGATGCTTCCCACCTGAAACAAGATGTTGGCCACTCACCACCACCCATGTCACTTCTTCCATCTTTTGCCTTTGCCTATTTTTGAGTGTTCCTTTCTCTGCTTTCCTTTCTTCTGCCTTTTCTCCATGTTTGTTCACTGGTTTCCTGTTACTGCTTCTTCCACCCTATGTTTACTGGTTTCCTGTTACTGCTTCTTCCACCCTATGTTCCATAATTCCAAAAATCAGAGGAAATTATAAGCATTATGGAAATTAGAAGAATTGCTGACTGTCGTCATGCTAAGACCTTATGCCTTTTGTTGTTTTGTTTTAAACAGAAGGGTGGAGAAGAGAACACACATTCTGTGATTTTTTTCCACTTCCTTTCCAAAGAAGTAGTGAATGAGTTGGATTGCTGATTTCACACTTAACAAAAAAAACAGGTCAAGGTATCAAGGTTGTGACGGGTTTACTGATAGTAAACGGAGAAAAGTATGGTGAGTGTTGACCTGTTCTAGCATCAAATAGACTGAGAAAACCATCTAATACTTCTTAGATGCAAATGATTTTGGCAAGGAACCTTATTGTGGCTTTTATGCATATTAGACACCTAAAACTATTCTGTTTGTATTTCTAAAAGGAGATATCTCGAGTTTAAGTCTGAAGTCAAAGCTAAGTGAAGAGCAGAAGGCAGGACCAACAAAATAAATGGGTTTGGTGTAATCACCCAACAGTGAATGGCATGAAGAATGACAGCAGGCTTTGGCAAGCACATGGACCTATCCACATGAGGAGAAATCAAATGCTGCTAAAAATTTTAGAAAAACAGAGCCAGTTGCAAGGAAGCATAAAAAACCACTCAGAACAAAAAAGCACACAAATGCAATGCAATTAGGGGTGTTTACATCACTGATGTGGCAATTCACTTTGTGATTTGCAGTGTTACTTCCCCTTCTGTAGGGTCTACAGGATGCTCCTCTTTGTCCAAAACATTGACAAGATGACTTCTCTATAGCTTATGTTAACAGAATTATTAAAAAAAACCACTTTCAGGATTAAGGCTGGTGACTGACACTGACAATGAAACAGGGAACATGCCACCTTGCCCAATTAAATGCTGTATTTGAAGCCAAGATCCTTTGCTGGTGACACTCTTACAGCTTGCCCAGCACACTCAGCCCTGGGCAGGACCCCAGGGCAGGGGAGGTGCTGCATGGCCGTGCTCAGGGTGGCTCAGGGGCACTGGGGCTCTTGGCAAACTTTCCTTCAGCTCAAACAGTGGGCTCAGGTGCTTCAGGCAGCAGCTGAGAGAACTGGATCATGGTTTTAAACTAAGCCACTCCTGAATGCTATCCAAGTCCTGCTCTTGGTACTGAAGTCCTTTGTTTTGGTCTTGTTTAAGACTGAGGAGATGTCTCACCTGCTGGACCTGCTTTCTGATGGCACAAGTGCAGGTTAGCATTAACCTGATTGCACTATGGCAACTTTCAGTTCTAAATGTGTTTATTTTTTGTATTTCCTTGCTCCTAGGGGCTGTATTTTCATTATTATCTTTTTTTTTTCTAATTATGTTTATTAGCTTTAAGTGCATAATTATTTTATTAACTGAAATGTTATTTTTACTCAGTTCTCCAGTTAATATATTTTATTACCAAAAATATTGCTGACTAAAGATCCCAAAGATGTACGTTTGCTGCTAACCAAAAAGACAAGCTACAGTAAAAAATCATCCACTGTAAGTTATTAAATTATACGAAGACCTTTTCCTTCCCCTTCCCTGGTGCAGAAGAGGTTTTCTCCAGCTTCAGGCAAAGCCCTCCTGCTCTCAGTTCTCTCTGATGCTTCCACATGAAAGGCTGTCACTGGTCCCTCCACATTCCAGCTTCTTCCCTGACCTATTCTACAGGGTTCTGTCCTTCTCTGACTTCTCAGTGGAGCATTCAGCCTCGAGATCCAGTGCCTATCAGAACAGGCAGCCTGTCCCCATGTACACATGCTTCAAGCATGGGTGGCAACAATTAGCAAGTTACTACAGTAGCATTTAATGTAAACAGCAAATGAGGCACAGTAGCAAGCACCATCACAGACAAAAAGACCAAAACCACCATAAAGCTGCCAGCTTGGGCCATGCTGACAGCCAGCTCTTCCCTTCAGCAGAGAATCACAGCTACAGTATGCTCCAAACTGCGACCGAGGCTCTGCTCACTCTCCTCAGCATTTGTGACCATTCCCAGCTGGCTGCCCCCATTTTTACCCGGCAAACCACAGAGCAGTTTTACCAGGGAAAACACTGGCTACCAATGCAGGCTGCAGGAGGAGGAGAAACAATGCTGGCAGTTTAGTTTTTAAAGAGCTCCTAAGCTTCCAGCTCCCATGCCAGCCCTTTAGAGCAGCGGTGAGGTTTGGAGGAGAGTGAAGCAGGGAGACCTGGAGGCTGCAGCCCTCAGCCCGGTCCCTCCCACCCCTTGCTGCTCATCTTCAGCTCTGGTGTGGCCTTTGGGATTCCTCAGGGGAAAAGCACCAATGGACAAATTATCAGTGGAGAGGCACAGCATTCATGAAGGACATAGCGGGAGGGAGGAGAAGAGGATCAGTGACAGGGATTGGAGGAACAAACCCTCTCGATCCACACACCTCCTTCACTGGGGGAAGGCCTACAGAAGAGCTCGCAGAGCCTAGGGTTTTGTGGGGAAAACTCAGACAGAAAAATATGGACTTTGATCTGGCAGTCTGAGCAGGACAGACTATGAGTGAGCTCTTGAAGGTCATCCATCTTGATCCAACAAAAGGCAACTTTAAAATAGAGGCAGGACAAATCTTACTTCAAGTGCGAAAGTCCTGCGCAGATGTGTTTAATAAGGGATAGAATCACAGCCATAAAAGAGCACACTGCAAACAATTTCCCTAGTAAAGAGAAGATATAAACACCAGAGACTAATTTTCACGTACAACAGACAGACAGGAAACAAGGTTATGAGACACATCAGGTCTAATCACAATTCTCATATGCAATTCCCCTAAACTCAAAAACATTACTGCCAAAATCTCCCTGTATACTCATGACCAAATCCTCAGAGTTTTTGCTCCTGTAGAATAGCAGCTGCATGACTGGCAAGACTTTGCTAAGAACCAGCATGCTGAGAAACCTGATAACTGTTTAGTTCATCAACTTCTTTAAAATAAATATTCACTATAGATTGATATATAAAATATATTACCTAAGACAGTTGGGTAACCAGTTTTGTATAGCACATAACAAGGAGAGCACAAAAGTTTGGCTCTGTAACTTTTCTCCTCCTTCTCTTCTACCTGCAAGCCCTCCCATTCCTTCTGTAACCAACATGCACACAAGATGATTACAAGAAGAAATGAGGCTTAATTCTTTTTCATCTGGCATAAGAAAATGCAAGAGTTGAAAAACACCAAAGCCTCTTGACTGACCTAAACAAGTGCCACTGTCAAAGCAATGCTGGCTTACACAGAAAGTTTTCTGTGCACAGCAGAATGCCACAATGGAAGCAGTGCTGATAATTAGTGATTTTTGATCCCTGCTATATTGCATGAAAATTAACTATCTGTAATGTTTCTCTATGGCATGATTTAGACAAACAGTTGATGAAACCTTCCTCACTTGTACCCAAAACACAGCTTTGTTCAGGATTTTATTATCACTGAAATGTTTTTCCAACTTAGAATCTCAGTTATGTTGCAGGATAGAATAAATGCTCGAGGCGACAGCAGGTCCATTCAAAGAAGCAGATGATTGGACATTTTTACAGTCAGAAGAGAAATCTGAATAGAGACATCTCCCAGCTAGTCCTAACTCTATTAAAAGTTCAAATGTATAAAATATAATGCTCAGAAAGTTCTCTCTGAATCTCCCCTATGATGCTGAGAAAATAAAATCAATTCATATTGCTCTGAAATTCTATTTTTGCCACTGCTGACATCCCAAACTTTATCGACAAGAAGACTACAAAATCCTCACCCTGGTCCTCATTTCCAGCAGAGAGGCTCACAGCCCAGTCAAGTAACACAGCAATAATCTCTCTTCCACTGAGAATACTTTTATTCACAAGGCAAAAATTGGAGTTAGACTTTTAGGTAGTGGGCAAGGCACTCGCAAAGTGAGCAAATCTATTTTTGCTCATAGAACTAATTTAATGTTTAAGTGCAACAAAAACACTAAATTAGCCATGAAGATCATGCATATCCAACGGCTTTCACCAGACATGACTGTGACCCAGGCCTCTAAATACAGAAATATTTCAGTCACAAGGAATCAACTCTATTATTTTCTGCTTCATCAGATATGATGTTTCCCTTTGACCAGCCATAGAAATATAATTTCTATTATAATAATTAAACATTTATTAAAATACTATATATTTAAGAGTTAATATATGGTCTCTCTCTGTAATAAAATATGGAATACTCTTTTTATCTATGCTATTTAGATCTCAAAACTTAAAGGAAAAACATTCATGCTGAAAATAGATCAATGTACAGCACTAGGTCAGAAATAGCATCTCTTGATTAAAACCCCAAGAACTTGCTGTGAAACTGTACATTGATTAACAATTCGCTTTTCCCTTTCATCCACATATTTTGTTTTCAACATCTGGCAGTGAGTGGAATACAAACCCAGATTATCTGACACTGAAGCAAAACTAGCAGCCTCAGTGTGTCCATCCTTCTGGCAGACTCCAGGTCCCGTCTGTCAGAGACAGACTGCTCTGTGTCTCGGGTCATTTCTTACACATGCAGGGCACAGCAGAATGTCACATTGCAATCCTGGGTGTTTCATGCCTGGTACTTCATGCAGTTTCCTCTTTGCAAGTCTCCATGTCTCTGTCAATGAGGCATATGCACACACTTCCAAACAAATAAGCTGTGTTTTCAAAAAGATATTAAATATGAGATATAGAAGACTACAGTGTTCTTAAAAGAAATGGCTGACACAGCCAAAAGAAATTCCTATTAAAAGTATGATGTTCTGAATATTCATGTGAACATTCTAACTTATTAAATATTAGCTGTTCATATTAACATTTGGTATATTTATTTTGTCACAAATATGTTTTCCTCTGTGTATGAACAGGAAAGCAAGCACATGGACAAAAGGTTGAAGGCTGAATTCAGCTTTGCACTGCTGGAGACTGTCCACGTGCAGTGCTGAGCAGATTGTGGCAGCCATGGCTGGAACACCTACCTGCAGTCGTCCCCTCCAGCACTGACCACGTATCTGTCTCCACTTGTGAATCGAATATTCGTTAAGTGGGCAGAGTGACCTAAAAATCGTTTGTGTTTTGCCTGGAAAAAAACCCAAACAACAGAATGAGAGAGTCTTAAATATTCTGTACCCTCCTAAATCAGAACAGGCATGCATGTTTTCATCTACCTTTTTATTTCATCACATACTTATAATGTTCAAAAGTTATATAGGTTAGCAAATGTGAAAAATCTCCTGAAGGAGAACTACCATTGAGCTATAATGCAGATTAAACTGTCAGCCAATAAGAGAACAATTGCAAATTGGAAAGAATGCTCAAGATAACAAAAAAATATTAAATATATCTTGTCACATGACTAACTAATTGTTTTTCAGTTTTAGGAATTTTACACAAAACTTGGAAAAGTTTTGTGTAAAATTCCTGACACTGAAAAACAATTATTTTCATTGCAACTCTGTGAGCAGTTTACCCTGTGCAGTCTCAAATCCTGATAACTAACAGTGAAAACAAATTTAAAAACCATTATAAATTAAAATTATAAAAACCAGTGAAACAATTCAACAGTGTTAGTGAAAAATATGTAAACTTTTCATCCATGAAGATCCACAGATGGGACTAAAATCACCATCTATCTTCCTCATCTATCAAATGGATCAGAGATGTGGAAATTACTAAGGGCTTTGAGACTTTTCCTTAGGCAGGCACTATGCTAAAGCAGACTGGCAGACAATATCAACACCTTCAAGAGGTTATAGCAAGAGCTCCTGCACAAAATGGTGGGGAAACTCTGATGTGGAGCATGCCATGAGACTGTGGAGATAAGGAGGTACTAAAAAGCTACAAATTTAGAGAAGAAAATATTTCCATCATATGTCTTTTAGAGAAACAAGACAAGATCCTAATATCAACAGTATGTGTAACCATGCAAAAACAAGTTCTTACAAATTTTTCAGGACATGGAAAGTCAAACAGTTTGACCATGCCAAAATCATCGCCTGTTACGAGATTGATTCCCGAGTGAGAGACACAAGCACAGTTCACATCAGCTTTTTCAGCATGCCTGGACCAGATTCCAATTACTTCATCCCCAAGAACACTGAAACAGAAGACCAAGAAATTATTTTGAAAACCACTGCAAAAACAAGAGTCAGGTAATAGAAATCAGATCTCATATTCTAACTGGTTCTATAAAAATGCAACGTTTACATTTTATTTTCACACATGCATACCTTACATAGCTTTTATTCTGTAATTAATTTTTGAATAATTCCATAATTGCCCCCCTGTGTACTGAGGGAATGTGCTCTGTACTGCCTTTTGCTGTGCTGCATTTAGGGAGCTGCTGCCAGAGCAGATGGGTGAGTTAAAAGAAAACATCTGACTGAAGGGATTAAATATACTTTTAAATAGTAGGTGCTTCTCCTGGAAGTTCCAGGTGTTCTAACAGGTGTAAATACATGAATCATTTACCTTGTCCAAGTAGCCCAAGTTATTCTGTCAATCACAGCCTGGTCCACAAGCTGCTTTCCTGAAGGCACTTCATACACTTGCCTTTTGTAAGACCCCGTAGAGACCTTTGAGGTGACCACAGAGAATTTACAATACATTAACTTGTTTCAAGAGATGAAAATATAATTCCAGAGGGTTTTGAAAAGCATTTTTGTGACAGTTACTTTTTACTCCATAGAGTAACAGCTATCAAGAAAACTTAGTCAATGAGTTGAAAAATCTCAAAAATCTATACAAGCAGAAAGCAATAGTGAGAAAGCATAAGGGATCTTAACATTTAAATGTCTAATTAGTAAAAGATAACTGAAACAACTCACATTTTGCATGTATGTGTTAGTGCATTAGTATATACAAATAAGGCAAAATAAATTCCTATCTTTAAAACTGACACACAGGTGTTTTCGTCTCAGGCTGTAAATATTGATTTGATAATAAGAGAAGCTTATTTCTCTTTTCCGATGCAGATAAAATATAAAAGGTATATTATATTTAGTTTGCTTTTATTTTAAGAAATGTCTTCAGCCCTCCTATAGCTGGAATTTGTAACACCATGACTTTGGTGCTGCTCCACAAAGTCTAGCACTAAAATACCTGTAATGCCATCATTGCTGGTCAGAGAGACAAAGAATTTATAGATCCTCAGGCCCTGCAGAATGACAGACTGTATCCTTTCTCTTGTAAGATAGCCCATCAGCATCAGATGTTAAAAAGCAGGGAGACACATCACAGGAGGTTTGAAACCTGGCTCTCATTTCTTGGCTTATTTTCTGTATTTGATCTCCAGGAAAACTGTTCAAAACTAAAAGCATCCACTTACCACTACAACCAAGTAAGTCTAGTGGCAGCAGCATACTCCAACACTTAGCTACAAAACTTAGAAGTTGTCAAAGGAGAATATTTGCAGAGTATCTGTCACAGGTATGTTTCCCATTCAGTACCTTGAACCATTAATGACTGATACCTGGAGATAAGAGCTATCAGCAGAGAAGTCCATCTGGATCACAAAACTTGGGATATCCTTGCAATAGCTGATCCGATTTAGCGTGGGACCCAAAGTCAGATCATAAAAATCCACTGCATTCTCACTGGAACCAACTGCCAGGTAATGGGAATCTGGGCTAAACCTGAACAGATAAAAGGGTTTCATGAGCAGAGGCTGGCACTTACAACAGATTAGAATATTTGAGAAGCGCAGAAATTTGCATTTCAAGTCTCTGCTATCCAGAACTGGAGGGATGCAGAGCATTCAGTCTGCTAAGCAAAATAACTTTTGAAATTAAATTTTCAGAGAATGCATATCCAGCAGAAGGTGGCAATAATTTTGGTACAGATTACACACATAAGTGAACTGGTAACATCTCTTGAAAAACTCTGTTCATGATCTGATTTCATGACCCCCTCATGGTCTAACAACTGGTGACATCTCCCTGATGACTCTGACTCCCTTATGCTATACTTACAAAGTTAAAAAATGGAAAACTGAAGTGCTCTAACTGAAGAAAAGTCAGAACTTCTAGATGAAATGTACTGAATAAAAAGATGTAAATTAAACCTTTTGTTTCCCCAATGTAGCTTTGCACACTGGTTTCTTTCTTCCAGTTTTTCTTTCTAGTTCTGAAACTCTGAAACTCAGTTCCTGAGCTGAACAAATCCCTCACAGCCACTTGTGTTACTGAGGAAGTTTTATTTCTATTGTCTCTGAAACATACCTTGGGACAGGTGTTCAACTCCAGCAACCCCCTGACTCCTAGCAGAGCTCTCCTGCAAGGTCTCTCTTTGCTTGCATTTCTCTCCTATCACACTTTGCTCTCCAAAACTTTCCTTAGCTGATTACAACCAATTTATCTCATACAAGAAACAGCCTTTTCCTCCACACAGGAAACAGAAACAAAATTTTACTTCTAACTACTGTCTAACAAACACAACAAAGTGCAAACTGACAGACTGGCATTTCCATTATCTCACAATCCAGTCTTCATCTCTAAGTGTCTGATCTCATTTTACCTCCTAGGAGTCCCTTCCCTCAAGCATGTGGATCACACCATACCCTCACAGTGTCACTGGCAAACCTGCTGAGGGACTCAATCCCACTGTCCCTGCTGCCACCAAGATGTCCAACAGTGCCCATCACCCCTGGGGAACACCACTCCACTCTAGAGTCCACACCCCTTGTTGTTTTGACTGATGCTATCTCTTATCTCCATGTACCTCCTCCCCTTTCTTTTTTATTCCCGGTATAATCCCACAAACTCCACAATTCACTCATTGATTCCAGCTCTCTGAAATATCATTGCAATGTTTCCCAGAACACAGAGTTGAATTTTTAAAAAGCAAAGTATTAGAGATTTCTAGCATACTACAATAGACCAGGAATAACATTTTCTGACCTGATATCTTGAATTGCTGATCTTCTGTCCCTTTTCTTCCCCCAAATTTTTAGAGAGGTGACAAGCAGGATAATAAATTCTCCATTTTTCATGCCAATAGCTACCATATCACCTTCTGGGCTGTAACAAACAGTACGAGCTGCATGTCCTAAGCTGACTTTGTTCAGCATCTTCTGTGAAGAAATAAAAACCCAGAATAGCAACTGTTACTATTTGTCCATATTTTAAAAGCATCTTCTGCTAATAGCTTGTTAACATGCTAACAGCATTACATGGATAATTTTCAGAATACAATAAAAAACAAGTTTCAAGTCTGCAACAGCATCACAAATCTATTTTTTTCTCTCTAAACAAGTATTCTCTAACACCTACCTTTTCAGCAATATCCCAGAGTCTTACAGTGCCATCTTCTGCAGCAGAAAGGAAAAAGTCTCTGGATGGATGTGTTGCTAGGCCCCAGATGGGTCCATCCATATGACCATTAATTAGAATGTTACATGCAGCATTTTTCTCTCCAACTTCAATTATTTCAGCATTTCTTGTCCCAACAAGAATTTTGCCCTTAAACAATAGTGAAAGAATTATCTCCGATCAAATACATTAACATCTCATGATGAACAGTAATTAAAATATTATCTAGAGCTTTAGTTCTGTCAAGAAAGTTTCCTTAAGTCAAGTTATTAAATATTCAAAGAAAATTTATTTTTTAAATTCCTCTGAGTTATTAAAGTACAGAGCTCTGTAGATATCATGATGCTGGCTGAGTTAGTGCTTGTCATTTGATATTTGATATCAAAGTGTGAAAAGAAAATAGAAAATAAATTCTTAATTAGTCTTCAATAAAAATATATATGGAATATTATCCTAAGAATGAATTAGGTCTCACAAACTAGATGTTTTTCTGCCACAATACCAGTTGCAGACACCTTCGAGCTTAGCCTTTAATTTCAAATGCTAGCTAAAAGAGAAAGCAGAACTAATTTATGTGATACTCAGAAATCCACCCCAAATGATGAGCTGTACTTTCCAGCCAGGCAGTTTGCTTACCTTGCCCCTGCAAACAGAGCGAACGCAGTCTGTCAATTGTCCTGTCTCTAGTCTGAAGGCACGACATCGTTTCAGCTCCTGGTCCCACAGCTTGACTGCTCCTCCTTCCTTTGAACTGTGAAGACATCAGGAAGAACCATGAGTACAACAGCTGCCACAAAAAGGACAATTAATGGATGAAAGAACTACATTATTTAATGCACTGCACTGCAAATGAGGCATTTTAGTACATTTTAAATTGTTAAAAGACTCTGTTTGCCTGAACAGTTGATGTTAACATGCTGAGCCTCACAGCTCAGAAAAAAAAAAAAAGATTCCAAATCCTCACTATTCTACTTTATAGAACAAGTTGAAAGATGGGTGCTGTTCAGCTTAGTCTGAATGAGTAGCTCTGAGGGAATCTGTCTAGCCAGAACAGTTAAGCAGTTATCTTATAGTCAGACAGGCAGAGATTTTCAACTTAGAGCTGAGAGAAACATAAAAGGTATGTATTTTTCTTCTGTGAAATAAATGACAGATTATTTTCACTTCTGTGAAAATGTCACTGTTTTCACTGCTGCAAAATAAATTACCCAGATATAGCAGATACAACTGGTAGGTATTAATTATGCAAACACTAAATATATTTCCCTCCCACTTGCAAAAAAACTCCTTGTATTTCAGTACAGAAAACAATGAAATTATAAAAGTTTCTAAAAAGAAGATAATGTTTCTTGAAGCAGTGATAAATCTGGCATCTTTAGTTGAGCTGGGACATGTCTTGTCTGTCTTCAATCTCCCCTAACAGAAACAGAAAAACAGAAAAACAATGTTCCACAATATCAAGCTGCTTCTGTTACAGCTTTGATTACTGAATAATCTTACTAAAGAACTTCAGAATGTTTAATCACAATTACTGATTTGTACTATTATTACTATTATTATTATTATTAAAAGAACTATAATGAATTATAAATTGGTACTCCTGGCAGTAGTATATTCTTTGCTTCCCACTAGCACTGTTTTGACACATGATTGATCATTATACTCAGCACGAAGATTTTGCCAAAATAGGCTGGTGAACTGCAACTAAGGCAGGAAAAAGCATACAGTGCTCCTAAATGAAAATTTGTTTTCCATACTGTCAATACTTCTTTTTCCCACAAGAGATGAATTCTGGGTTCTTGTTGTTATTCAATACTATTTGTTTCAGGTCAAATATCAATGATTAAGAGCCTCTGAAGCTAAGTGGTAGAGAGAATACCCTCCAAATAAAATCACAACAACATTTATAAATAGTAGAAGGAAATATTTCAAGCACAGAAGTAAGTTTTTAGTTGGGTCTGAAAATATAAGTGGCCTGTGTCCTGCCAAATGGGGCACTATCATGTCATCAGATGGACTGTATTACAGCTGAAGCTTTTGCTTATCACTAGGAAGGCATAAAAAAAATTTAAATGCTTGAGGAGATATTTTGCTTGCAAGCCCAGAAAGAAAGAATCTTGCTATATCTTAGATTTGAGAGAGGACAGCTTGCCTCTGCCATCATAACTAAGCAGATATTTCCTTTGAAAGAAGTTGTGCATCACACTGCTATAAAATTTATGACTCATATATTCAATCACAACTGTGCAAATCCCTTGGGTTAACAACCTCAGTACATCTTCAGTGAAAGAAGTAACCCACAAGGACTAGGTAACTTTCTAATGCTTAAAGCTAAATGGCTGCTGGAGCTAGAACATCTATAAGAAAATCTAGAAAGTCTAACCATTCTATGATTCTAAATTTCAGACTAAATGCTTTCTCTTATAATAAATGGGGAAAATAGCTGAGTTGAAGCTCATATGGGATTACCTCCACTTTGGAGGTGGTGGCTGCTCTTTTCTTAATACCTATCAGGATCTGAAAGGGACTACTCTCTACCTTTAATATCTCAAATAGTGTTGATGGGATGAATCCAAACCATTTTTAAAGTGAAAATATGCATGCAGAAAAAAAAGAAAAAAGAAGACTCACGGCCTTTCCTTGCCTCCTGTAACAATCAAGCCATCCCTCAGGGTGGTGTACATGGTGAACACAGGTCCATTGTGAGCCTTGGCCACAATTCGTATCAACACATGATCCTTCCAAACACAAACATCTCCACTGATAGTACCTGTAAATGTCAAGTTATTCTGAAAAGGGGAAAAACATACTCATCATCTGATTCTGAGCAAGGTAGGAAGAAAAACATTAAGAAATCAATACCATTTGCATTTAGAGGCTAAATTGCTTTTATTTGCTGCTGCAGAAGAGGAAACTGTGGGGCTGAACAAGCTTCTTCTGAGACAAAATCAAGAAGAGAACTCCCAGAACTGCTCCCTACAGAAATATGGAAAACCCCCCAGGTTTGGCTTTATTCACTTTGCACAGCTTTTCACAAAACCCCTGGAAGCTCTGCATCCTCCAACCTCACACCAAACTTCAGGCCACGCAGCATACAGCCTGTCTCTTCCTAAGAAAGTTTACAGAGGTTTCCCAAACCCCTGACTAATGCCTGGGTTGGGCACCAATAAGTTATCATTTGGAAAATATCTTAGTTTTTTGTAAGACCTTCATATAAATCAGAGAGACACCACTGTGTAAAAGAGATACTGTAGCAAAATAAGGCAACCATAGCCCAGTTAGAGTTTCAAAGATCAAAATCAGTGTAAATTCAGTTTGGACCAAACAGTCAGATGGTCAAACAGGACAGAAATGCAGACAATCAAAGCAAAGGACCACTTCACAAAAGGAATCTGTGCCTTTCTGCCCAGCTGAAGATATGAGTACTGCTCATGCAGAGCAACTCCAGACACAGCAGTGCTGTGGAACTTTGCAAGATGGCCTGCACATGCCCCAAAACCCCCAAAGCAAAAGAAACCTCTAATGCAGTTGCCTAACAGCATCTGACATTAATGAATGCCCCAGGACAGTGCTGCTCTCTAATCACCCATGAGTAGTAGCACATACAAATGACAAAACCGTCACTTTTGGGTGGGCAGAAAATCAACCTCATTTCTACTGTTTGGTTCTTGCACTCTAAACTCAGTTTTGTTTTACCTGGATTAAATAACAAGCAGTTTGTTATCAGTTCAAGGCATCTGTGGTTTTTTTCTAGAAAACATACAAACCTGTAGCCTTTTCTACTATAAAGAAAGCTGGTAAGTATTAGGAATGCTCAACTGAGTTTAGTAAAATAATTTATATACTCATTAACCAGGTTATAAAATCTCACTGAACTGAATAAAGGCAGAAGGGTAAAAAAAGTTTGGTTCCATGCATTTTCAAGTGGTTTGTTGAAGTACGTACCGCTCCAAAAGCTACAGACAGCATGGTCTGCATGCGGGCATCTTCTATGGAGCTCAGCAGCCCTTTTTTACTGAGGAGAGCTCTTCCAGCCAGTGTCCAGAACCTTACATGTTTTACTCCCACAGAAACAAACTGTGTATCTGAATCTGGCCTGAATTCTGCTACAAATATACGCTGGTTATGACCAGCTCGGCTGGCAATTTTGGCACCTGGCAGAAAGAAAATGGACATTTTGACTTTGCTGAGAAAAATACACATTTCTGGTTAAAAATATTAAAATAATTTTGACCCATATGAAGATTCCTCAGTTGGGATCCTTAGCTGCCATTGTGAATGTGTATCAACCCTTAAAGATGAACACAGGTATGTTCTGACCACACATCCTTCATCCTACCTAAGATTGTATAAGATGGACATTGCATCCATCCCCACAGGATCTATTAGACAAGCTATGAAAGATCACTTGTTATTAACTTAATAGCTGATATTTAAAATTCTGACAGTCACTAGTTATCAACAGCAATCCCCAAAGAGAGAGGAAGTAAACCTCTAAGACTAGAGAATCAGCTCCATAATCTGGGCATGGCTTTGTCAGGCAGAAAGGAGACAAGGAAAGGAGCTCAAATCTCTTTAGCCTAAATCAGAAATATAGATCAAAGCTGATCTGAAAACATGTAGCATAGCTTAAGGCAATCATTATATAAAATGCACAGAGGAGTTATCCTGGCACCCTATCTCTGCAATTTGCAACTTTTGGGAATAATTTCAGGAGTATGACAACCTAGGCAGTAATCAGACTTTAGAGAAGAATAAAGTAGTAGTGATAATAATGATGATGATGACAGTTTTCAAGAAATCCCTACATTATTCTTACTGGAAATCAGTGAACTATCCTGATCTTTACACAATAGTTTCAAAGGAGATATATTCAGCAGTCACTAGAAAGGGTAAACACATCTATTTGAGATCTTGTTGTACAGAGCATAGTGCACAGCATTTATTTAATAATTTTTGATCGGCTGATGCTTTAAAGTTACACTTGCTCTTGACTCAAGCCAACATACCTCTAACAATGTAAACACCCTCTGCAAAAGCAGTATCTTTCCTACCTTCCTGCCACTTCCAAATGGTAATGGTGTGTTCAGGATCCAGCCCTACGGACAGCAGCAGTTTGCCAGTGGCACTGAAGCTGACGGAGCAAACGCCCTTGGAATGGTAGCACCGCAGCACCGACAGCGTCTGCTTGTTCATTGCATCCCACACGTGAATAGAAGGAGCTGTAGCTACACAAATAGAAAAACACGCCATTAGTAGTCATTTTGAAAATGTGTAATGATTTACTTATTGAAGCAGTTAATACTTTTTTATAAGACAAAATTGCTGTGATCAGATGGGGGAAAAGATAGGAAAGAAAAGAGATTTTGGCCTCCATTTGGAAAACAATTTATGACAAACAGGATCATTATGTAGGATGAACAAGTTGGCTTTATTACATTACCAGAGATGCTAATTTGTTGCTTAACTTGTTATGGGACTTGTGAAGCACAGCAGAAGTTTTAAAAGCAAGAGCTGTCTTCTGTTTTTCTCTTATTAAAACATAGAGCACCATGCTAACTCAAAAACCTTCATAAATAAAGCTGCTCATCAAGAATGTAACCTCTCCACAGGGCTTTTGGACAACTGATGGCTACAGAGAAATCAGTTTACAGTGCAGGGCCAAAATCTCCTTTCTACAAAATGGCCACCTGTCCAAAAGTCTTGCCTTCTTAGGAGAACATCAGCTGAATCGTCAGCTTGCTTACTGACATAGAACTATGGTATTGAGTCTGCATTGTTTAGACTGCGAGCTCTCTGAGTAAAAAATGTCTTTCCATGCTACTAATGTATGTGATCATCTCTAACATGATGACAGCTGGCTTTTCCCAAATGCAATGCCTGCTCAAAAGATCTTGCCATCCACATATATAGTTTACAACCTCTGAGCAGCATCTAAGGCATTTCCAGCATAGTAAGATTCTCAAACTTCTTCACTTCTGATCTCTAATATATTTGACTGCAGAGTCCTAAGGTTACTGGTTCTTGCCATAGATCCAGATTTACATAAACTAAATTCGCTTTTGGATTAATGCTTTGTGTTTCTAATAGATGAATCTAGGCCCTCAAAGGCATACATGTGATGGGAAACATTAGGCACAGGGACTTAGGCAAAATTTCAGCCACATGAAACTCAGTTTTTGAGCACAATTCCACAGCTGTTCTGAAACAGTCTGAGAACATACTTCTGAGAAAATAGTTCCTCATTTCTTTTATTTCCCATTTGAATTTCCTCTCATGGCAGCAACAAGATGTTATCATTACCTTTCGAGAGGTACCACAGCATAGTATGGCCATGCCATTAAAACAGAAAGGGCAGGAGTTGACAGCAACTAGCACTTCCCAAGAATTGTCAGCACACTCCTTGCTGTTCTTACAGGAAGCTGAGGGAAGGGAAAGCTTTATTATGGCTCTGAACGGTTTTTCACTCTTCAACCCTCCTCTTGGTAAAATTCTCTATTACCCTTGAATAGTGCACCTGCTGTATAACCTTGGCCAGAAGTTTTCTTTTGGGTGGCAGATAGAAATTCTCACCAAGTTTTTCTGAATAAGATCTGACAAAATCATTCAGAGCAAGATCTGCAAGACAGAGAACATGGACTCTGAGGTCCTTCCATGTGATAGAGTCCTTCTGAAAGGACTCTGTCCTGACACTGAATCCTGCCTGTGTACTCAACACTTTCATAACAGAGATGTTCTAAGGCATCATCTCCTTCTGGGAGCAGTTAGACAAAGCTACCATGGGCTGGCAGGACAGAAAAAATCTTTAGTAAGGTGGACCAAATCTACACCAAATAATTAGGAAACCTTAATTACCATTCCAGCCTAGTACAAACACTACTGCTACAAGAAAACCTGCATCACTGTAGACAACTGAAAATTTGAACTAGAAAAGCAAAAGTTGTTGGCAAGGATGCCAAAAGCCATCAATAAATTTTAAGTAAAATTATTCAACTTTCCAATGAAAGCAGGCAGCAGCTTGGATTCCAGACTAATGGTTCCAGAAAGAAGAAAAAATTTAAGAGTGCTCGTTTCAGGCATTAACAACAGAATTTAGTAATATACACAAGCTCAAACTGAAGTTGCAGAAGGAAGAAGGCACATGAGACAGGGAAAGTGTCCAGCCACCCTAAACAGTACTATAGATGTTCTTTCATATAAATATCCATATCATCATTGCTTTTTTAAAATACAGGCTAGAAGTGTGAGAAAAAGTACCTATACTCTTCCTGCCATCCTTAGAGCAAGCACCATTTGCCATATTTAAGAAAGTCAACACACATTAAAGATGTCAATGTACATTTGTTCTTACAGAACACGCTTTAGATCCACATAAAGATTATTACACTTTCTATTACACATGACCACATTTATGCATCTCTGAAGATTCTTCACAAGACAATTATGGCTACTCAACAATGAACTCATTCGCACATGATGGTGATGAGTTTTAGAAATCACAGTTGAAAAAAAACATATTAATAAAAAATATCTCAGTCAAGACTGTCAAAATGTCAAAGATCCAAAATGATAGAGGAAAAATTAAATTGACATCACAAAAAGCATTCTGGATCAATGGTAATAACTGCATGACAATTGTACATAAATGTGAAAGGTGATTTGTTTTTTCACTCAGTCACCTAGGCCTCCTCAGTAGAATTTAGCTTAGAAATGCATGTTTAAAATTACACTCAATTGAAGGACTAAACCAAATATTGTCAGCCCCAACATGTCTACAAAACTGGCAAGCATACCCAGGAATGCTACAGCAGCAGTATGTATTAGAACTCACTAATCACTAAGCAGCAAGAAGGGAATATGCTTCAACAAGACTAGTTTTTAAGCGTGCTCTAACATTTTTAATTTTTCTATATTTACAGTATGCTGAGCTGTTTTGACTTCTATTCAGTGCTGACAGTAATATGACTGATACATGGGATTTAATAAACTAAAAATGAATTCACACCACTTATGGATCTAAAAAGCTGCAGATGGCTACTAGATAGACTAACTACACCTGAAGATGTCAAAATTTTGTTTCCCTTACCTGACATATCTGCTGAGTCTCCTGTAATGGAAAAGCAGCAGAAAAATAATTAGATCAGAAATAAGATAAGTGCTAAAGAAAATATATGCCACATTCAGTGTAATTTCTGAACACACACCTTGATGTCATCTTTTTGCATTGCAGCAGCACCAATATTGCTGTTAAAGATGAGTAATTACTGATAAAAGGAGGTCACATCAGAAATAAATCATAGAATGAATATATTGAATGAATGAATATCTTTTGATTTCCATTTCAAGCTACAACACAAAAATCTAGTTTTGGTGTATGTTAGGTCGCTCTCAGCCAAAATAAATGAAAAACATATTTTTTCATGTCATTGATATTTGAAAAAAATAAGTGAGAAAAAATATTAAGAAGTAGCATGTGCGTACCTGAAGCTTCAATAAATCTTTTTAAATCATGATGGTGACACAATTTGTGCCAACCATATGAGTAGGAAAAGTAGCAGCAGTTCTTTATAGAGTCTATACACTCCTCAACATCCCTTCAAAATCAGAATATAAGTGCTGTTTTAAGATATTTCACTTCCATTTAATTTTCTGCTTAAAAGTATATGTAATTTCTAAGTGTCATCTGCCTCTGATTGGTATGCCTTAATCCACATTACAAAACAGTTAATAATTATTCTACTGCTAATTGATGTAGAAATGATTAGGAAAATAAAAAAAGGATTAAGTCCTGTGTTTTGTCTCAGGTAAGATGAACACTGTAGAAGAAAAGTTTTCACATTCCTCCACTACAGAAAGGCAAACAGGGACGGATTAAGAAATATGATGAAAAAGCAAATTCTTAAAGGCAATAAAAGGTTTGTAATTCTGCAAATGTTCAAACCATAGACAAATATCTGCTAATGATTTTTTCCATTTAAATAATCTCCATTAAAAATTTGTTTTAAATTATGTGAGGCAAGAAACTCACCAGGAAAGAAAGTTATTTTAGCTAAGAGGCTACTATTATCAATGAGTCAATTTTAATGAGACAGGCACCTAAAAATCCAAAAGACACAGAAAAGCAGGTAATAAACTCTGCAGAACTGATTTTATTTATATGAAACTTCTAAAACAGACCTAAAGGAAAGAAAAAGTTATTTAAGTTATTTTGGCTGAAATCAAATGAGAGGTTTTTTTTGTATTCTATGCTGTGAAGAAAATAACGTGGGTTTGAATCTGCCGAAAACCAACAGAAGATATGAAAACTACAACCAGATTGTAGGGCTACAAAAATCACTTCTACAAAATCTAGAAACAGCAATTTCTACCAGCTATGCCAATGCAAAATGTGGGGATTTTTGTTCTTTTTTTTTTTTTTAACCTGGTTAGTTCATAGACCTTTATGTCACTATGAAATATATGTACCTTTTCCCTCTATATCTCAGTTTATCTGTAGGGAACCCCATTAGGGTTTTGGTTCTGCCTTTAATATTACAGCTATAACATATCCAACCACCAAGTAGGTATTATAAATCTATCTGATGAGGTAAAACCTACATAAGACTGACATGTATTCTAAGAAATGAAGGTTAGCTCTATTCAGCTTCTTTGGAAGGGCAGTGACTCTTTGGAAGGTCTAACACAAGCTGATAGTTCAATACAACCAGACTAATCTAATGGGGCTTAAGATTTCTGAAAAAATAGTTTTGATAATACTCCAAACAAAAGATAAGTTTAATCTTTCATGCCTCAATATTTTTTGTCATCTTCATTCAATTACACTCAAAGGAGCATATATAAAGAGGACAGGTAACTGAGTAACACTCATACAAACGGAGATAGCATAATCAAATATTTTATGATTTATCATGAATTTACAAGGTCCTGATTGCATGCTGTTAATTCTTTTTACAAAAATACAAACATACCTACTTGGCCAGTTGCCACTATGTTGGTAAACTTGGGGTGCTGATTCACAGTGAGGCACAAAATATCATCATTGTGTTCCTGGTAAAATGACTGAGAGCCTAAAAATAAGAAAAAAATAAATCAAACCATAGCTCAACTTTAATTAAAACATTTATAGACACATAGACATGGCTAATGTTTGAAAATTTCATAGTATTTGTTAGAAAACAGCATTATGGTCATGTTGCATTTTGAAGCTTAAAACCAGAAAACAGAAACTCCACATTATTTATCTGAACTTCAACACACAGCCCTCAGTAACTCCAGACATTTCCCTCAAGTTTTCCACATGAAGTTGCTTAACTATCTTCAAATGGCATTGTGTACTTTTTTAAAGGTCTAAGCTATCTTAACTAACTGGGTTATTGTGAAAGAATATACATGATACAGATGACTGAAAAGAAAACCAAATCAAAACGTTAACTTGTTCTTAGAAAAAAAAATTACAATTATTCCATTGTTTAGCTCTTTTTGTTTCTGTGATCATTTCAACATGCAAATTTCAGAAAGCTAATACCAAAAAACCCAAATCTTCACTTCCTTAAAGCTCAGCCTCCAGGAACATTTCAGTACACTTTTTTGTTTATATAGCTATTATGAATATTCTCTACAGACTGAAATTTTAGGAACAAATAAATTTTTTTTCACATACTTTTACAATAATTGAAGTATATTAATTACTTTATAAACTGTAACTCCATGAGTGTGAAGAAACATTTTCCCTCCAGTGGGTTTTCTCCTACCTGTTGCCACATTATACAAGATGCCAACAGATGCAGTGTGATAAATTACATCAGCACCATCATTCAAATAGTGCACGTTGTTTCTGCAGTCCTTGCCTCGGTACCCAAATACCAGCTCCAAAATTAGGTCCTAAAAAGATATTCACATCAGTAGATTGAGCAAACCTTAAAGCAATTATGAATTTCTTAAAGCAGTTATGAATTTCACATTCTTCTGTATGATTTAATTTTTTTAATTATGTCCTTTTGAAGTAAGTGACATTCAAGGCAACAGAAACTGGGCTGGTGCCTCCCCTGTCAGTTTACAGAGCTGCTCATTCTTGTCACACACAGCTGTGTCACCCTTTTCCCCTCTCAGGGGGATGCTGCAGAATGTGCATATAGTACTCACAGCCATATATATACACTGAAAGAGATACTCATACACATGAACATAAATAAAATGCAGTGAAGAATAAAGTTATTTTAATGCAGAAGACACTAAGAAACAAAGAATGACAAACACTGGTCCACAATTTAATTCCAGCCAGCAACTAGAAACCCAAATTACAATCTAAAACTTCTAGAGCACTGATGTCAAAAAGCCGTTTATTATGCTACACCAAATATTTTGCAGAATCAACAATATTTGGATTGGTAAAGAACGGCAAGGTTAGATGAAATTTTCACTTCAGATTAATCAAAAATTGGTATGTTTATTTGCAACTGCCATGTAATGAAAAAACAGGTGCCAAAGCTAAACTCATCATTAATAGAATTTTTAAAATTATTCTTAAAATCTTATCATGATGAATTTAAATGGAAGTTTTCAAATAAATTCTAAGAAGATTGGAATTTAAAAATGCTTAGTTTTATTAGCAACAATACACCCTTTAACAATCCAGTTATTTATACAAGGCACCCTGCTTTCTATAGCCAGTTCTAAGATTTCATGATTACTAAGAACTGAGTTATACTCCATTTTATTTGCAAGAAAAAGAAATAGTCTTTTTTTTTATTCACAAGAAAAAATTATTCCCCACTTTTTCTACTCTTTACCTACTATTCAGTATTTCCACCTTTGATATATTTAGAATAAAACAATCATTTAATGCGTTCACAGGTGTGTCAGTTTCTGGCAAAACAAAATCCTAAAGGAAGAAGAGAAAAGCACCCTTTTTCTTACCTCTATGGGTCTCTTTTTTTTCCCCACATTGTTTGTCTGCAGTTTCTCCGGCTGAGGCAATGCCCTACTAACTGGAGGTCTGAAACAAAGAACTGTGAATAAGAGAAGGCTGTCCGTCACCCATTCCATGCTAACAGCAACCTTCCAACCTGCTAAGGCTTTGGGAAATCTTACAGCCTGTCCTACTCAACTCATATGCATATTCATCTTCAAAACAGAAATGTCTGTCAAAGGAGAAGGACAAAACCTAAAAATCCCCTGTTTAACATGCTAGGTTCTCTAATTCTTCAACAATCCATGGGGCTAATGCAAAAGCTTGTTTTAAAATGACTGAGCACTTTTAGAATCTTCTTCACTTTTTCAAACTATGTTTTTAAGGTACTTTCATCTTCTCTGCAGCAATTTTGCTGAAGAGAGGCATGGCTGATTAATCTAATAATGCCTGTTCCCACATGCCTTCAGCAGACCCGTAAGTTTTCCTATTTTTGTAATAATTTGTAAAGAACTCTAGAGGCACCTGCCCATCCACTCCTACATCAACTGAGATGTGATGTTTATCAAAGCTTAGGTGGAAAATATTTTCCAGAAGAAACCAAGACCATGCAAATGCAGGAGTAACTACCACAACCTATGTTCCACTGCTCTGAATAGCCCAGATTTAATTAAGATATGTTTAACAAATATTAGATATGTTTAACAAATATTCATAACATCTCTCACATTACATTCAACTGTACCTGTACAAAGAAAAACAAACAAATAAGCTTTATTTATTAAATATATTCAGCTATTCCTAGTAATTTGCAGGAGCATTGATTATTGATTCCATAGATACAGTATTTGTGGCTGTGATAACAATCCTTTCAGCTTGATCTTTAAGAGGAACAATTTAGTTTAAAATAAATTCTATGTATAATTCAGTGATATCCAGACTAATTAGTCCAGTAGGCAGTGTGATACACTAATATCAAACATGAAGCAACAGGTTGCTATTTCCTTTTTAGTATGAAGTACTTCTATTCCTTTTTAATATGAAGTACTTCTAATTTCATCTCTGATCTTGAGTGATGACTTTGATTCAAAATAATGACTGTATTTTCTCAGAATGATAGAACATGATTTGTTTGTACACTGTGTAGTTTGAAGGACACGTGAAAAGCATTTTTTCAGTTATTCTAATAAAATACCATTTTCTTGGATTTATTTCTTCATTGTTTCTGCCTAACTTTAGAACAAATGTCAGGCATTTGTTCATTTGATCACTCCAGCGTAGACGTCTTTGAAAGACTTTATGTTTTTAATTTCTCATTTGTCATGGACAATTCTGCAACAGTCTCATCACTATTCCTCTAGAAATTACCAAAACATAGCATTAAAAGCCCTTCTTCCACTTGTCAGCCTCATACTTGACACAGAGCACTCAAACCTCATCTCTTTCCTCTTCTCCTACCCTGGCCCTAATTAACTTCTGTCCCTGAAACAAAGAGGGAAAAATGAGTTGGAGGGAAAAAAAGGGAAAAAAATTAAATACAGCAGAAGAACATATTTGAGATTTGATGAAAGCAGTAGAAATTGAAAGGACATGATTCCTCTTATAGAGGTTTACTTTACTGGAACTTAATATTTCCCTGCTGTTTGGTTCTAAAATATGACATTTTTTTTTAACATTTGCTGTCTGTAAATCCCTTGTGATAGAAAGGGAGAAGAGGTAAAACAATCTCACATTTCACAACTGCCTGAGAAGACCATCTATACTTAAAGGCTCTACAAATACAAATAAACACAGGTTGATATCATCCTTAAGTAATCATGAGAGTACCTTCATACATTACCACTCAACAGAATAAAGTGAATGTATATAGGTCAGGAAAGCTTGAGAACTTTCACTCAGCTGCATTATCTCACAGGTCACCTAAACAATTTCTCTAAGGATCTGGCCAGGAAAGGGTAATTCTGTACTGATCGAGAACAGTGGAACTGGACTGCAAATTACAAGCATATATGGACTCTCTCCCCAGTTAAGTTTCAAGATAACAACTTCAGGATTGAAAAACAGGAATGCTGAAGGATATGAGAATACGTTTTCCAAGTAATTTTTTGAATGTGTGAGAGCTGAAAATATTTTTAATTTGTTGTGTAATGTGCAGCAAAGTGACTAATGGCATATAGAACACACAGTGGTCATACACCTGCATGCATAACTTGCTGCATGCTCAAAAACTGTGTGGAAAAGATGGGAAAGAGAGCATGAATAACATGTTGGGATGAATTCAGGTATGGATAGGGTCAGCTTTAGCATGGGGAAGGAGAATTCCAGCCATCTATCATAGGGGAAATAAATACCTCAATATTGGCAATTTATTTTCAAAATTAATATATATTTGGTGTATGTATTTTAATATTTCTTGTTATGAAACTATAAAAATCAAGTACAAGCGTTTTGAAGTAGTTTCTGAAACAAAAAAGTATCTTGTTCACAGTTTTAGACATAGCTTAAATATTACTGCCCATTTTTGTATGATGTATTTCATTCCATATTTTCCTTGTTGTTACTGAGTATCTAAAGTTACTAAGAGAACAAGGAATGATTTTTTTGCTATACAGCATATGTAAATTACCACCAATTATTTTAGTTCTGTGGTAATTTATAACAGTGTGATTTACAATATTTATTTCTGTTTTAAAAACACAAGTATTATTTTGGGCACTATTTGATAGGGCAAATTACAGTAGTTGGCAAAAAAGAAAAAAAAGTCCCTTCCTGTGCAGGGCAACAGAATTCCACTTCATACTTAGGGGGACTTGCAGAGAACTTAGCAATTGATTTTGCACTCTTCAGCATGAAGTGTCTTACTCTGCCCTCCCCAAAAGGTGTTGACAAGCATGAAGTAGAAAATTAATTTTAAGAGCAAGGAGGAATTCTTTCCATTTCTCTTGGCAAGTTCTTCAAAGTCATTTGTGAAGCTTCACACAGGTCTGGTTTCCATTAGAAGACAATGAAGGCTGGTAGTTTTTAAGTACTGCTTCTGGACAAAAAAATGACTTATAATTATTTCATGTGTTCTGTGAGCAGTAAGAGCCAGTTTACACTCACTAATGCAGACAGGGAATCTGACGCTCAAACAATTCAGTAACACATGCACCTTGGCAAATCAGGTGAGTGTCAAATCATCACATATAAAACAGTTGCCCACCAGGGGGCTGGAAAAAGTACTAATCTTTGTACTTTAATAAGTATTACTGAAGAATACTACTTGTGAAACATTGGAAAGTATAATAGTGCATGGAGTTGGAGTTCATATTAGTAGGTAAAATGAGCATCTAGCTCATTGTATGAAATAGAACTACAATGCATATATTTATATATCAGATTTTTCATACAGCAATATTCTGAAGAGTGATAGGTGCATGTTATGGCACCCAACATGACAGATGGCTTTTTAAGGAAAATGGGAGGTGGCAGTAAAAGATGAACTAGATAGGAAAATAAAAGCATTACCTGGAACCTCTTTTCAGCAGCAGATGGGAAAGAGAAAAGGATTACTTATACAAGTTTGGCTAAAAGTTAGGTGCCAGTGAATTATTTGTATAGATAATTATTGCTGACTTCCTGGTTTGTATACTCCGTTTTACAAGGGGATGAGTCACTTCATAGACTAGATAAATCTATTATTTGTATATAAAACTCCCATTCACTTAAATGGGAATTACGAACATGTGTTGGCATGAGAATATAATTCTTTGGGATAACTCTGCTGTAAATAGAGAAAAAAAGCAGAAGTAGAAAAAAAATCCCTCTGAACTATACCAAGTGTTCAGAGTCAGCAAACACAACACCTGAATAACTCAAAGAAAGGCTGTGCAGGTTTAACTTCCTGAAATAAGCTGATGGATGGAACAGTCAACTTGCTATTAAAGACAGATGTCCAAGTTTAGTCACAAAAATACATTAATTTATACTAAAATAAAATTATCTCAGCTAACCAGAACATGTGGGGTACTGAGCACTACTGATATGTACTATTTTTTCATACTTAATTCAGTTTATGTTTATTGAAGACACTTTGCACTGGATAGGTTTCCTCAGTCATGTATGATGGAATACTCCTATTATTTGGCCAGCCAAAACCCCTTATTAATAATTAAAGCATATGGGCATGTACAGATTATTTCCTAATATTTGTAGTATGCATGGGTACCTTACAAGAGTTTGATTAGCTGGTACACTTCCACTGGTTTGAGAAGCTCTTTCTTTAAGAGCCACTAAACAACTTCACTAGGTGAACACTAGGTTAGTTTTTCTCACTTATAAATTAAGCAAAATAATTTAGGGAATTATTTAGGGAAAAAAATCCTGAAAATTAAGAACACAATGTTAACAACTCACCAATTTACAGATTGATTTTTTTCCCATTCTGAAAACAATGGATTTTACTGGATGTCTTCTAATTAGTTTGAACTTTATTTTTCAGTGCAAGATTGATGCACTATTTATTCATATAGGAAACAGCTAAACCTTTCCCACAATAAAATCCAAATGTAGCTTGAACAGGCTTTGCAGTCAATAGCATGCAATTCTTCAAATTAAAATACTTCCAGATATTTTTCACAGTAAAACAGTGAAAAATAAACTGAAAATTTATTTAAAATTAACTGAAATTTCTGGTTATTTAATTTTGAGATCTCTTGGTACAGCCATTTTTCTGTAAGGTACATTAAACACAGCATTGCCCCTTTCACAGGCACAAATAGCCAGCTTCAGGCAGTATAAGAACAGAGTAAGAATGGAGCATTATCCTCCAGAGGCATCTCCCAACCTTCAGTGCTGTGCAGTTCAGGGAGCAGCAGAGTCAGAAGCACTTTCAAAATCAACCATGATAGACTTTTTTCTGAGTAATTTACCTAGCACAAAAACATACTAGGAAAGAACACTTAGCAAAGGATAGAAACAGTTTTCAAGTGTGTTTTGTGCTGCTGAGTAGCCATAATGTTATTACACAACCAAATTAGACACACAGTACACATCTTTTCACATTAAAATATTACCTGTAAACATTATTATTCAGAAATGATAAATAATTCAAATTACCAACCTAAGTGCTGCCTCACAGCAGTGCCATTTTGTGTTTCCAGCAGAACTTAAAATAAGTACTGCAATTTCAATGATATAGCTGGTAATTTCACTGCTAGAGAATACTATATCATTAGTAGAGCGGGCAGTTAGCACTGCAAGCAAACCTTAAACCAATTGAAATAAATCTGGAGTTCCAGTCACAGAGGCAGCTCATTCTGCAGGTCTGAAGGGTGGTCTGACAGCCTAAGGATTTATTGTGCTGCCAATTTAACAGCATGTTTTTGCATGTGCACATGGTGTAAACAGAGCAGGTGCAGAAGTTGATAACCTCATGCAGGCACCTACACCAGAGCCTGCTGCATGAGCAGGATGGGGAGCCAGCAGCTCAGACCCTCAAGCAGCACGGGTGCACTGCCAAAACGCTGCAGCCAAGGCAGGGGTGCTCCCTGCACCCCTGAAGCTCCATCAGCTCCAGCCGGGTGCTGCTCTCACAGAGTGCAATGTGCTCACTGCTCTGCTCCAGCCTGAACCTCCAAGTGTGTGCTGCAGACATCCACAAACCCCTGGGCAACACCTCTGGCTCTGGCTAAGGGAAGTCAAGCTGTTCCTTAGCCTCCCCCAAAATATTGAGGAAAGGAGGATGAGCTTTGATCACCTCCTCCAAGAACACTCTACTCTTCACTCACATCAACTCAGAGTGAGAGTGCACTTATGTTTTGTCCCTTAACCCTCTTCTACTTATTGACATGCTACTATTTAATAGTAAAGAGGTAAATCCCTCACTTCTGTTGCAAATTGTAACTACTTTTCCAAGCAGCTGAAGTTATTAAAATCCATTTAATCCTGGACTTCAAGTACATGAACTTACCTTACTACCCCCTGCCTTCATGGGAAGCAAAAATAGAGAGTAGCAGAAATAAAATAAAAATTAGTGTCTATGACAGATTTCTGAAACATTTACCAATCTTATACAATATTAACATCAGAACAGAAGTCAAAATACATACAGTAGCCACAGTCTGGTTTTATTGTTCACCAAAAAGAAGTCTTTGAAGTTTTAAGGCTCCAAACTTTTCAACAATGCAGGTAATGGAATTCTTTTATGATCTTTTTTTGCATTCTGAATCACAATTTAATTACCTTACTACAGAATTAATTCTCTTAGTAATTTATCTGAAACTGAAAAACACAATTCACTCAGCTTCCAGAAACAGCTTTTGAAAGAAACACAAGAGGCTTACAATTTCATTAAAAGAAAAAAAAAATCTTTAATCAAAGCTTTCATGCCATGCACATTATTTCTTTTTGATTTCCACATCAAGTACAACTAATTAAAAAAGAGAGACCATTTCTCATAAATGCAAGACAGGGAACCACAGCTTTATACTGTGGTTATCCCTGGTTTATCCCTGGTTATCCCTGGTTTATCCCCCCTACAGTAACACAACTTAAAAACAAAAAATGATATGAAACTCCCACCAAAGTCACACTGCATTTCTCAACAGGGGTATCACAGACCTGCCCAGCTTCACTGTGGAAAGAGGCTTGAGCATTGCCACAGAACTCCTCACATTCCTGCAAAACTTTCCACTTCCCCATTTCCCCTGATCCTCTCACCCCCTTATACCCTGCTGTTTTCCTCACTTCCCCATCTTCAGTATCAGCATTCCCCAAATGCTGTATTAGGAATTCCTCCTTCCTTTTTCCTCACATATACTGTCCACATCAATTTGGTGGACAACAAACAACTTTCAGGGTCCCATGCTCAGCTGCAGATTCTACAACAGATAACATGCTAGAGGTTATAAATTGTTTCTGTCATTTTGCATCTACTTTATTTTCTGGGTTTATTGCAGTCTGCTCCCCACCCTATTCTCTTCCAAAGCATACAACAGTGAACCAAGATCTAAAACTAATACTCTAAAGCAACCAATTCCATTTTCCAAGATTCATTAACAAAAACTGCAGAACCACTGTGGACAGAACTTTTCAAAGAAAGGTAGAAGTTAAGTGAAAACTGAAGCAATGCAAGGAGCAATTAGAATTTAATTCAGAGCTGTTCTTGGCAGAACCAAAAACATTAGAGCTGTCCTTCACTAAAACAATTGTACAGGTTCATGCCTATAATGCCATCACTAACTACCATTCCGTATTTCAGTTTCAAAAAAACATATTATTAAACACCAGCAAATAAGTCAATCATCTCAAGGAACTCCCCAAACATAAAAATATGCATACATAGTTTTTAGTCTTTTGTGCTGTATGAAAAGAGGTTCAGCCTAGTCCTTTGGGTCACCTTTCCTTTTTTCTTCAAAGAAGTATTTAGATTCTTTTTATACATATACTTTTAAGTTGAGAATCATATATTCCAATATAATTTTGTTCTACTATTGTATTTTCACATTGATTTCTTGGCTAGAATTGTAATTTAGTAATTACCTTTCATCTAACGTTGGCTCCTTTTGCTGCAGATGAGGCTTAATTCCAAACATTGGTCTAATGTTTGTTGATAAGGCTTTGATGGTGTAATTAATTTCATTTTCCCTTGTCACATCACTGTCATAACCTAACAAAACCAGAGGGAAGAGTAGCAAACCAAAACAAGGTACAAGAACAACCACTTAATTTGTGCAGATTTCAACAATGTACTAGATTACAAAAACAATTATAGCATCGATTATTAATAACATAAATACACAACAGAAAGAAAGTAGCTGGGAATCATGAACATTGTTAATAAAAGGCATTCAAAGAAAAAGAATTCCCTACCATATCTTTGTGGAAAAAAAATTATTAATGAGTCAAGGGACTTCAAAAGCTACCCCATTTCTGCTTGGTTGGCCTTAACTACAGTCACTAACAAAGAACCTCACTACCTGACACCTGCTCTTAAGACCTGTAAGATTCAGTGCCTGGTTGTTCTCAATTTCAGGATCCATCCATTACCATGGAATCTATAGGTCTGCACGAGGTTCCTACACAATGCTAAGGGCCAGCAAGCCACATCAGGATGATGTTTACTATAGCAAAATAAACATGTTGGAAAAGTTAAGTTGTGACAGGGCTGTTAATTACTCTCCATTACTTTGTTTTTCCAAAGATCAAAACTACCAATGCCAACAATGTGATGGTGAATACTTCTTAACTCTAACTGAATTAATAGCAATTGACCTAGAGAAACTTTTGTGGATAAAGATGTCAATGTCTTTTCTTGTAAATCTTCACACATCTCGCTCTCTTTTAGAGTACTTTTGAACCCACAGCTTAAGAGGGCTCTGCGTAAAGCAGCAGAGGCTTGGGGAGATCATAGGGCTAAGATGTTCTAACAGGTCTCAAGCAGAGGCTGAACAGAAAGTCTGAAGATGGCAATTTTTGACTAAGAAAGTTAAAAGCTGACAAGTCCTCCTATAGGCAATTAAATTACTCTGTGTATTCTTCAGTACTTTTGAGAAGAAATACAGTGATTAAAAATTCTTTTCCAATGAATGTTTAATATGTCTTTAATATTTAATGTATTTCTTTGGTCATTTATCTCGTTTTAGTGACAGCTGAAGTTAATTTATTACACAGAACTATTTAATGAGTAGCAGTGATAGTTTAAAAATTCTTGAACACTGAGGAATTGACAAGGACGAAATGCACACTTGGGAGAAAACAAGTCTGGAGGCCATAAATTCTTGGAATAGTAACATGAAAAAGAAAACATAAGTATGGAAAAACCAGCAGAAGTTAATGCTACAAAATAGAATTAACACTTTATAACTACTGATATTGTGACCTTGAAATAGGTACATAAACATCAGTCTACTTCAGTGTCCTATGTCTCCATGTTATGGAAGCAGATGCTACAACATCAACTATGGTCTCACATTATACAGATTTCAATATAATTTCTTAAGAATTGGTGACCAAATTCCAACTGTGATGATTCTATTTTAAACATAGATTTTGGGTAGCTATGTATAATTGATGCTTAATATTCTTCATTTAGAAGATATCAAGAGTTTCTTTATGTACTCTGATTCAAAGCAGTAACTCAAACACTTCATTATCATTTTCTTCACAGCAGTTTATCAAAACCAAATTTTATTTAACATTTTTGAAGAGTATTTGCTACTTAAGATAGAAGCAATCCATAAATTATTTCTAAATTTTCAGCTTTCCATTAATAAAGTCTTCTTGAAATAGCACAATCCAGCTAGTTGTGTAAATTATTACTGACCTCCATCTTCTTCAGAATCCAGATCAGACTCCTCACTGTCACACTGCCTGCTGTCCCGATGTCCTTCCATCTCATAAGTCCACAGCATCAGGGAGGTGTCAGCTCCCCCCACAGTGACCAACAAACTGTCGTCGTAGGTCCAGCGCACGTTTGTCACATGGGTGCTGTGAGCAACATACCGCTTAAATTTCCCAAACTTCCCCTGGAAAGGGGAAAAAGAAGGCAAAGAGCAAATTTACCCAGTCTGCCAGACAAAACTGAAATAAATTGCCTGCACAATGGCATCATCTTAACTTCTTCGCAGTTCCTGCTTCAGCTGTTTTGTAGTTCACATGATTTTAACACATGATTTGCCAAGTGCCCCTCCTACAGCAACTTCATGAAATGTTAACTTTATCTTCATGTCAAGCATGAAAGAGTTAGTCTATAAACATATTCCAGCAATAAACACTGGATCACTTTTTCTAAGAGAGACAATAATCTGAGCTGGAATAAAATTCACATAGAATATTTTGAGTCAATACTTGTGCACTGTTACTATCCTTAGCATAGCAACATTTCAAAATTGAAGACACATTTTCCACCAAATATACAGGAGAACAGGAGGTACTTGAAGAGCAGTAAAAACACAATGTACTTCTGGAATGGCTTTTCTATGATGTGTGATTGAATACTATTAAAGGTCTTTGTCTTAGAAAAAAAATTGCTAATATTGGAAAGAATTAAGGTCCTTAAAATCAAAAATGCAATGTAGGTGAAAAATACATGTTGATTGCCTTCCAAAGCATTCTCATTCTTAAAGTTGTTCCTATTCATTTGTCACAGTCAGCAGCAGGACACTGCATGAGATGGCTCTGCAGTCTGACCTGGAATGATCATTCTTACTCACTGGAAGTTTCATGCACTGCAAACTGCAATGTAACACTAAATGCTTTCTTTGATCAAAATGAGAAAAATATTAAAGCATTATTTTCTTCTGAGTGATGAATTTTCGCAGTTTTAAAAAGGCAGATTTATTAATAAATACTTTCCATAAACAGCTGAAAATTACTTACTTTAGCAGGGTATCGAAACAGTTTCACAAATCCAAAATCATCTCCTGTGGCTAATACTTTACTGTCACTAGTGAGGCATGAAGCAGTTACATCTGTGACTTCACCAATTATTGGCCAGATCCCTTCACAGCAAGAGCCCAAAACACTTGTCCATGATGCCCAGCCAATCTTTTCTACCTACAAAAATGACACATTTGAGACAAAGAATACTTCTTAGGCATTTTTCTTCCACATCCAATTTCAAGAAAAATTCCTTGCATTGAAAGATACATCACATCTAAAAGACAGTATTTAAATATATTAATCAGTTATTTTTTTGCCATTCAGAATTTCATCTGAGACCTGTAATTTTACCTCTATGAACTTTCAATTCCAAAACTTAAATAAGTATTTTGAAAATTTTTACCTTAGCTGCCCTTTCAGGCTAAAGAAAACAAATTATGTTTTCCAACACTGCCTTTCAATGCCATGGAAAATATAACTTGGAAATTATAAATTTTTGCTCTCTGCCCTATGACAATGCTCTGTATCTGAGAAAACAAAAGAATTAAAATATACTAGTCTTGCCTATATGTATTATGTAAACTGTATTTCATTGTTCTATAAAAACAAACATGAAGTTTTCTATAGCAAGGTTTAGTAATCTGCAATAGGTTTTCAAAGGTGTTTAGGTACCAGAAAAGACACACAGAAGTCTAGTGAGATGTTCATTACTAAATCAGCCAAATGTCTGCTTCTTAATAGAAGAGAAAAATGTGAAATCCTCTACATATTATATTATTTTAAAAGTTTAAAATTACAGTTTTATGCATCATTCCCTCTTATGTAGTATAGGTGGCTGCATAATAAGTTTAATTTGCAAGCAAGTTAAGAAGGCAGTACAGTTCCTCACCTCCAAACTTGGGATAGTCTGCTTTTTCCCCCGAGGGGCTTCAAAAAACAGCTGCTCTTTAGCACCAGTGTTGACTTGCAAAAGTTTCCCTATAAAACATATGACATAGATATTGTCTGTTAACATAGGAGATTCCATTTTGCAGAAGGAAGAAAGAAAAGTTAGCTTAAATTTTTTATTGCTAACAGCATTACATCAATTATTTGTTTCTATTGGAAAAAACTGCACACATAAATAATGGATCTGGAAGTATGGTCTTCTAAAGAAATCTAAGTCCTTTGGCCCCTTAAATTCACAACCCTTTCTCCTCTCTTTGAAAACTCTATGAATGCATCACTTTTCTCTCCTTGTTATGGCTGTCCCATCAGATGGTAGACAAAATGCACTGGATGTAGTTCAAAGCTTGTTTATGATTACTGGCTGCTGATGCTCTTGGGATGGAGCAGCACAGATGCTGCCTGGCCACAGGCTGATCCCAAGCAGATGACTTCTTTACAGCTTTTTACTACTTCATTTCTGAGGAAAATTCTCACCAATGCTTTTCAAAATCCTCAAAGGAAGCTAACTTACAACATTCTTTCAAAATAAATCAGACTCTGTCAGAAGTTTTTATATAGAGGAATAAGAACATGAACAAATAGATTGCACAATTGCACAGCCTTGCCTTTTAATGAAACAGGACTAAATTTAGCTTTTTAATTAATCACATATTAATACCCTGGAACAGAGGAAATCCAGTATTTTTGCTATGTGACAAGGATATGTACTCCTGAGCTACAACCACATTGTAAAGTATTTTATTAAAGGAGTAGAAACATGGAATCATAGAATGTTTGGGGTTGGAAAGGACTTTAGAGACCACCTAGTTCCACCCTCCTGCCACTAGACCAGGTTGCTCAGAGTCCCATCCAGCCTGGCCTTGACCACCTTCAGGGATGGGGCATCCACAGCCTCTCTGAGCAGCCATTTCCAGCGCCTCACCACACTTACAGTAATGAATTTCTTCCTTGTATCCAATCTAAACATGCCCTCCTTTAACTTAAGGCCTTTCTCTCTTGTTCTATCACTAACTGCCCTTGTGAAGTCAAAAGATAAACAGGAAGGATTTTTTTAAAATCCAAACAAACCAATAAATAGAGACAAACCATTTTACTTCAAATTGTAAAATTTCTAAATATGTGGCAGTAAAAACCACATACAAAAATATGTATGTGGCAGTAAAAACCATGGGTTTAATATTTATTTGGATGCTGTCAGAGCATACTCATAAGCTGAAAAATCAAATCTGCCAGTGATAACACAAATCCATACTATACATGCTCTTAATTAGTCTATAATATAATCAGTCTTCCAGTTCTTTTTACAATGAATGCAGCTTACCTCTTATGTCCCAGTCCATGTGTGTGATATAGCTGGAAGCTCCCTTGCAGATTCCTACTCTTTTACTGCTCATTACATTGTAAATATCTACAAAGTTGTCACAGGATGCCACAGCTAAGTACTTTCCAGCCCCTAAAACACATCAGTACAAGCACAAAATATTTTTAAAAAATTTTAGTGATCTTTGTATTAAACACAAGTAAATTCTGGAATTTAGCCCTACGCAGTTTCAAATTCTTTGATATCAGCTTGCTAATCTATACATATTCTCTGGCAAACTGATTTTCATATCACATAATGAAACATAAAACTATGGTATCATTACATTTTCAAACAATAAAAACCATTTGCTGAAATTTTAAGCATTTATGGTATTCAGAGAATGATAAAGCTTAGGGAACCAGAAAGTAATGTTGTAGGGGAATTGGTATCAGTAATTTGCATCAAATTTCTCCAACAGATGAGTATTTTAACTAAAGTAGGCTATGCATTTTGAGTTCCTAAAATATGAGATATAATGATGGGAAAAAATACCTAGCCTCACTGAGAGTGCTAAGGGGGGAAAAATAGAAAAAAAAAAGTTGCAAGATGTTTTTGACACATCAGTTTCAAGTATTCTTATTAGATAAGAGAAACATCAGTGATGTGCCAAACTTACGCAGGTTATAAAGAGTAATCCTAGGGAGCTGCTGGATATTCACTATTTCAAACTGGCTGTTGTATTCAGGAGGTCACTATAGGCAAACATATTCCAATAATCTCATCCTTACACAAGCAACACAGGACTTCACACCATGGTCTTTTAAAATGTTGGTATTAGTTTTACTGATCTATTTTTTACATCTAAAAGTACTACAAATCTTCACTCCTTTTATCTCTTATGTGATAAGTCTTACTTGAACAACCTTGGTATTAAAATTTTCATTTAAAAAAGAAATCACTCACCAGGAGAAAATCTGATTTCTGAAATAACATCTTTCCTATGCTGGAAAGAGACCAAATCCTCCAGGGTATCTGCATTAACTATCAAAAAACTTCCATCATTGAGACCAACAGCTAATGCTTTTCCATCAGGAGAAAAGCAGCAACATCTGCCTCCTATGAGAAATAAAGAAATTGCATTCAGATACATTTACAGTGCATTATCCTTCTTTCAGATCCATCTTTCCATTAGTAAAGAAAAGCTAATATTATCCTAGAAAACTTCCAAGGAAGCTTTCCATATGCTGCCAAAATAATTTCCAAGCTGTGACAGCACACAAACAGGTACACAGGCCCAGAATGTTAGAATTTTCATCTTAATAGATATCTGCTCTACATCAGTAATACAGATTAATCACTATGGTCTGTATATTTCTAACTTGATCTCCTTCCTTGTATCTGGTGCTGCCTGATTGTTACCATTTGCTCTGATAAGGAGAACAGGAGAACACAGCTGGAAAAGACCATCTGGATTCATAGAATTCAGTCATTTGCTATCACAAACAAGACAATAAGTCATAGAATCCTTCCAATAAACACGTCAGTGTTGTTTGAAAAACAGTTTTATTTCCAATTTAAATTTATGTATGGTCAACTTATATAGATTTGTTCTTGTGCCAGAATTTTCTGTTAACTTACATATTTTCCCCTGCTATTTGTTCGTCTGATTAACCTGTAGACAGCAATCCTTTACTTAGATGGCTTCACCACAAGGCTTTGCATTCATTATCCTGTAGTTCCTTTCACCATTTTCAACTTTTAGCTTAATTGCATTCAGCTGAACACAGATGAGAATTGCACACCAAAAATATCCTGATTTTTGTCTTGTAATTTACATGAATATTGCACCATGTCTTGGGGAAAATACCTCACTATCACATGTAATTGTCATTCAACAAGATGCTGAGCCTTCTGTTCAAGTTACCCCTGACCTACACAGACATTTTTCTCACTGTCACTGATCTGCCTTTTATCATTAACAAGTTGTATTTCAATTCCATTAGTCTGCAAAAGCATACATCTTTTTCTGTACAGTACACAGGAACTTTTTAAGATTGCCAAAACATCTCAAAATGTGTATCATCAGCAAATAGTCATCAGAGACTTTTTTTGCCAAAAGTACTCAAACATATTAAGAAATATCAACTTTAAGACTTGAGCAGAGTTCACCAACTAGAAACTTTCTTGTTTAATCCCTGCTTATGTGAGCTTGTAACTCTTCTACATTCACTTTGCCAATCTAAATAATCTTCAATTAAGCTTCCCATTATGTTTGAATCAAATTGCTGAATGCCTAAGAGATAAAGCCCACTGTATTCTTTTATCTAGCAAAGCATACATAGAATTAGAAGCTTGTCAGGGCCAGTCTCATCTAATCCTGAAAAATCACCTTATATGAGGTCACTTAAAACAGATTTTCTATCTGTCAAAATAGAATTTATTTATATCCTAAACAACAAGTGAAAATTTTATGATTTCTCTTTTCTTGACATTCCAGATCCTTCAAACATTCACAAAGAAAATTACAAACATTTATTCTAAGATTTCTTCCAAAAAATTCTACATTCAAAGTCTTAAAAAAGCCTTGGAATATTATAAGCAACATAGCATTTATGTAATTGACTCAATTTTATTGTTAATTCACTGACTTAAACAAGTTGCAATTGCAAATAATCTAAATAATCTTCAGAACAGCACTACATAGAATTATTTGTGCAGATTCATTAGCTTAAGGGCTACATAACTAGTGAAGATAGCATTAATAAAAAAATTTGAGCAAAGAAAGGAATTTATTCTGTTCTCAAGTCCTGTTTTCAAAACATTCATAATGCTTGTAAATGTCAATTGCATCAGTAAATATTTTTTCATACTAAGCATCTTACCCTTTTTCAATTTGCGAACAGCTAACATACAATGGCTAGGAGATAAATCCCATATTCTTAAGGTTTTGTCATCACTTACAGTGGCACAAATGGGTAAATGAGGATGAGTAGCTAGACCCCAAACTTCCCCCTCCATGTGACCCTGAAAAAACACAATTAATCAGATTTCTTTTTATTTTAAATTGAAATATTAAAGTTAAAAAAAAAAGAGAGAAAGAATATGCATTTTTTAGAGGATAATAAATATCTGAATAAAACCATAGAACACCTGGAAAAATTCACTCTGCTACTTGTGCAAAATTTTAGTAATTTGTGCTACAGAAAGCTTCTGCAAAATAATCCTCATACACATGTCAGTGGCAGGGACAGTGGGACTGGGGGCACCCTCAGCAGGTTTGCAGGTGACACTGTGTTGAGTGGAGCGCCCAGCAAGCTGCAGGGAGGGCATCCCACCCAGAGGGGCCTGGGCAGGCTGGCAGGTGGACCCCTGCCATGGAGCCCACCAGGGCCAAGTGCAAGGTCCTGCATGTGGGTCAGGGCAACCCCAAGCACAAACATAAACTGGACACAGAATGGACTGAGAGCAGCCCTGATGAGAACTTGGAGGTTTTGGTGGGCAACAAACAGGACATGAGCTGGCACTGTGCACTTGCAACCCAGAAAGCAAATTGGATCCTGGGCTGAATCAAAAGAAACAGCAGCAGCTCAAAGGAGATGATTCTGTCCTTCTATCCCACTCTGGTCAGACTCCAGTTCTGCGTCTGTCTCTGGAGTCCGCAGCACAGGAGAACATGGACCTGTTGGGATGGCTCCAGAAGAGGGCCACAGAAAGGGTGAAAGGGCTGGAGCACCTCTCCCATGAAGTCAGGCTGAGAGAGGAGGGGGTGCTCAGTCTAGAGAAGGCTTCAGGGAGGTCTTGTCTCAGCCTCTTCTTAAAGGGGGCTGATGAGAAATAGGGGAACACTTTTTAGTTAGGTTTAGTAAGGTGACAGGACAAGGGGTAATGAGTTTAAAGTAGAAGAGGGTAGATTCAGACTAGATAGAAGAAAGAAATTTTTTATGACGAGGGCAGTAAAACTGGAAGTGCTTGCCCAAAGATGTTGCAGATGCCCCATCCCCAGAAACACCCAAGGTCAGATTGGATGGGGTTCTGAACAATCTGATCTATTTGAAGATGTCCTTGCTTACTGCAGGGGGCTTGGACAAGATGACCTTTAAAGGTCCCTTCCAACTCAAACTATTCTGTGAACAAGTTTTTTTCTTTATATTAGGTTCTAACATTTTCTTTAAAAAAATACAGTTCTTTAAGTATTGCACTGGCCACTTAGAAAGGAGAAAGGAGAGAGTCCAGAGATTTTTACTTAACTATGAAAGACAAAAAATATGTTGATGCGATGTAAAAATCTGTTTTAAAAATGCAGTTATTTGGTATGACAATTTTTTTTTACATAATTACAAGTAAAATCTCAAAACAAACAACAAGGAGACAACTTTTATTTAGTACTCAAGAGAAGTTAATAATGAATTTGGAGGAAGATCCACTATTTCAGACAGTTTTCTTATTTTTTCAAAAAATATCTATAATCTTGGTCTGTTTGGAAGGATAAACCCATTGAACAAACTAATAATGAAATTCTGTGTTCTGTCTGGCTCATTAAGGAGTCCTACTGATCTAGTCTAACTAAAAGTGATAGTAACTTATTAACTTCATTAATAGTTATAGTGCACAAGTCTTCACTTGAGAAATAAATCATATTAGTGGTATGACATATTTGAGTGCTATTTAACACATACCTGAACCAGCAGAGTTATTGGTCCACTCTTATCTACCTCCAATATTTCACCATTCTTTGTGCCCACTAGAATATGACCGTGTCCTAACGATATGGCACGTATAGAAGGATTATCTTCTAAGAGGAGACCTAGAACATTAAAATGTTAGAAGATAGGATTCTCAATTATGTCTCAAAGAGGATTTTTCACACTTATGCACAATAAAATCTCACTGTAGAAAAATCTCACTGTAGAAAAATCTACTTTCTTACTGTAGAAAACATTGCTGTAAAAAACAACATCTGGATTCAAGTGTGAGGAATCAGCAATACATCAAGAAGTTTAACATGCCTGACTCTGTACATGTTAGTTACCAACTATAACACTATTTACCTCCAATTTTGGTACCTCCAATTCTAGCTTCTTGTAAACAAGCTATGAGAATAAGACGCAAATCTCATTCTCATAATGAGAATTTCATAAAGAAAATCTCATTCTCTTCCATCTCATAAGGGAAGGAGATGGAAGAGAAAAAACTATCCAGAATGAAAATACAGGGAACTGTAAATTAGCATTAAGATCAAAAATAAGTGGTAGAAATGGGAAAAATAGGAATGAAAATGTTCTTTAATTATTTCAAAAGACATATGCGTTTACAGAAAATTAGCTACTCACACCTTGCAAAACTAACCATAATTCCGAATTCCTTCCCTTTTCCCAACCAAAAAAGATCAGACAAGATAGGTCATGATCAGAAATATAAGAGGCTTTTTGCTTACCACTTTAATAAAACAAATCAAAGCAAGAAAACATCTGCATGATAAGAAACAGCTAGATCAACTAATTTAGGCTAATAATAAACTAAATATTATGACCTGAACCCACCAAATGTGCAAACTGACACCCCAAACACACAACTCCAGTCCCAACAGAAGAATTACTTATTAAGAATCAATAAAGCTTAAAAAAATTTATTTTAGTATTCATTATGTCAAATGTGGATTACCTCTTACTGTGGAAAGCAATTTCACAAAGATTTCTAAAGAATGTACTTTAAAAATAGAACAAAACATAGGATAAAGTCTGTGTTACCTTTGGATCCAGGAGCCAGAGCAGCCCTTTTGATGGCATAGGTTTTGAGACAGCGTTCAAAGGTATCATCCCAGAGAGCCACCACCCCATCCTTTCCTCCAGTGACAAATCCCTGGGGGAAAAGAAATAAAGATCACTGGTTATATTTGATTATTATCTTTCCTTACTTTTTCAGAGATTTCTGCCAATACTGAAAATGGTCTATATACAACACTGCAATGCACAGAGGTACAGATGTTAGAGATGAAAGGAACAGGAGCAACAGAATGAGTGATTTCTCCTCCTGATGAAGGCGCCACAGTTCTGTACAGTGCATGTACATGGGCTGGATTTAGAAGTTCTAGCCTGTATGCTTCTACCATTCTAGAAAAATAAGAACCAACATATTATAGTATTTTTCCTTGATATTTAGCCTCCATATCCCTTTGGCATTTCTTCTCATTGCTCAAAACAAAACTTAGTACTGCAAAAATTTGATTGGCAGTTATAATTTTGAAATATATGTGCATTTGAGCCATTCTGTCCTCAAAAATTATATACAGGTATTTAACAAAGCAACGGGTATGGTTAATACTGAAATCATTAGTTCTCTCCTTTGGAGCACTCAGCTCTTGTAGTATGAATAACACATACTGTACAATGCTACTTTTCTGAAATGCAAATATTGGAAGGTTGAGTGACTTGGTCTAACACAGTATAACACCAACATAACATTAAAGACACATAACATTAAAGAAAAAAATAATCTAACTGGAACACTCATGCATATTTAAGTACATGCTTAAAGTTTTTCCTGGGCTAAAAAGAAGCCAAGAATCTGGAGAAAGTACTTAATGATTTGCAGAACGAATTTATCTATTGGTACACAATAATTACACTACAAAATAGTACAAGTATGATCTTCCTCTCTCACAAGCTCACATATTCCATTGGACATACTGATGCTTAAATCAATTCCTGCCATTTTTTTAGTAAGAGCTTATGAAAATTACTGAATAAGGTGTCACTGACCACAGGGGTTTGAGAAACAGCATGCTACATAACAAGAATAAGAAACTGCATAAACACTATTTTGCACTAATGCATAAAACACTGTTTTGAATCTGGACCACACAAGGCTTTTCTGTAATGAAAATAAGGACATGGACTCCTGGATCTGGGAAAGATTTAGCTTTATCATAAACTCTTTGTCCAGACATAAAAAAAAGCAATGAGCAGTTTATTTACTTTTTCCAATGCGTGCATGCTGAACACAGGACCATCATGTGCTTTGACAGTTTTTATGAGAAACACATCTCTCCAAATACACACATCCCCCGTGGAGGTTCCAGAGAATGCCATCTCTTCTGTCCAGCCATACACTGCACACATCATTGTGTCAGTTCTTCCCAATGCACCTATGCAGCCCTTTCTCCCAATTAGTCCTCCTCCTGGTTCAGACCAAAAACAACTCATTAGACATCTGCTTGGAACTATAGCACAAGAACTACATAACCACACCCACAGCAACAAGTCCTTTTCTTTTAGTCCACCCATGCTCCCCAAAAAAATGAGATACAATACTATAGTAAACAGTTATACTGTCAGTAACAGAATATGCTCTAATTCTGAAAAGTGTTCTTACCTGCTCTCCGCCAGAATTTCATGTGTTTAATTCCAACTGTAATCAATTTATCAGGCATGTAAGGATTAATCTTAACAACAAAAATCTTATCTTTGCTTCCCCTGAAATGCAAAGCAAAATCATTTAAATATAAGTGTAACTCTTAATATTTTTAAATAGGGTTGGGAGCAGTTTTTTGTTTTATTTTTATGTATACCTCCTCTATCTTGCTAAGATTTACTTTCAAATCATTACTAATAGTTTATAATGAGGAAGTAGAAAACTAAAGAAGCAACATACTGTGTCCTGTTCTATTTTCATGACTTTTCAGTTTCCAAGGCAGGTGAGTAATTATGTTACTTCAAAGAGGCACAAGGAGGCATTTTCTTTGCAAAAGAAAATGTATTTGCATTAAGTTTGGGTATATGGCATCTAGATCTTTGACAGCTCATGATACTTAAAGGAGTGAAGTCAAAAATCTTATTTTAAGTTTGTTTACCTTGGAAACAAACTGCCACTGTCATTCGCCATTTAGCTGATTTTTTCTGTTTTTGTTAGAAAAAAATTATGCTGCTATTACATATTTGATGGAAATTACAGTTAGTTCTAAAAATGTTAAAACCTTGTGTGTTCTAGATTTCTTACTACGCTTCTATAAAACTAATGCTTTGCTTCAGTCCTACAGTTTGAAAAGCACCTTTCAACTATGTTTGCCATCCATGCAAAGCAATCCTTATAGATTGTTTTTCTTTACTTAAAATGCAGAAGAGCACCCAATCCCTAATTTTTGCTCCTTGTTCAAAAGGGGCAATAATCTTTTATTTTCTGTCCTTTCAGACCACTAGATGAACTAGTAGCTGAATGCATTAAACAGTTTCTTTCCAAACTCACAGTCATCTTTAAAGTACAGATGCTGTTCTCAAAAATTCTAATCAATTCCTTCAATTTGTGAGCGGGAGAATTGAAAAAAAAATAAATTAGGTGAAAGGCAGATAAATATCTTCAGAGAAGCCAAGCTGCCTGGGCTTTGGACAAGTAAGTGGGAATGGAATATCCTTCTTTATCTACATCATCTATTCAGAATTATCATTCTTTAGTGGATAAGAAATTCAACATGTGTTTAAAAATAAAATGGGAGTCAATTAAATTAAACAGTAATAATGGTAGAAAGGGAAGCTGAGACTTTTTTAACTGTACTGCAGAGAGTAATAAATCTTTTTAAAATCTACCTAGAACAATGTTTAGAGTATAAGCACTGAATCCAGACAGAATGGAACAAAACCCACTCACACTACAGCTTTATCTAAAGCAATAGATCCTTAGGAGAAAAGAAAAAGTCAAAGGTTTAAATAACATTACTCACAATTAGAAATAGGATCCTATATTGTAGATTAAAACTATTTAATAAACACATATTAAATAATCTGCATAGAAACAAAGAAACTTTTGAAACATTTAACCTTTGGATGTTACTTAGACTAATTTCCTGTTCAAAGCAGAGCTGAATTCTAAGTTAGATTAGGCTGATCAGGACCCAGGAAGAAAATGGAAGGAACCCTCAAGAAAAAAGAACTCTGCAAAGCAACTGCAAATGACTATTCCAAGAAAGGTGTAACCTCTGATGAAAAAGATCTGAACATGCCATATATCGCCATCTTTAAGAGGGCAAACACAATTGCATAGAGTTTTAAAGAATATTTCAGAACACAGCAATGTATCCTGTGCCATCTTTCCTCACCAGTTGAGCACTGTAATAGTTCTTGTTGACTATCAGACCTTCATTTACTTCTTCCACAGAAAGTTTTTAACATGACATAAATGCTTTTGCCTGCATCAATTAGGTAACAGGAAATGCTAATTTATTAGAGAACTCATATTTTTAAATGAATATATTTTTCTTACTGACATTTGATAGTAAATCTAGGTACAGATTTTAAAACATAGTTAAATTCCTACCTTACTGCTGAAAGTTTTTCTCCTTTCTTCCAATCCCAGAGTACAATAGTGTGATTATCATCTATGCCAACAGAAGCCAACCGTTTCCCATCCGCTAGAATAATACATTTATTATTAAGAGAGTAGATAGATAACTATGTTGCAATAAAAAGAAACCATATTAAAAATATTATAACTTCACAAATATTATAAGAATGTACAAACAAGTAAATAAGCATATGATGTTTTTAGAGGCATGCTTTTTCATACATTTGCTTTTAAACTTGGATGAAGTGTAGCACTTTAAATTATCCTGTCTCAAATTTGAATTTAGAAGCTCTGTGCTCATATTAAATCCCTTGTTCTGTTAGCTGGTGACATAGCTGCACAAAAACGTTCACTACAGGTTGTTCTTGTGAAAATTTCATGTTCACTCTGAAAATCTCTGTTCATTTCTGAACAGGAAAGCACTGAAGCCATATCATGAAATTTGTGAAATGCCCTTAAACTTAGTAGTACTATGAAGTCTTGGAAAAGTTTGACACATATTCTACATAAACTTTCAATAAACAAGCTGTTTGTGCTCACTCTAGATCAATGACTTTCTGACATGTATCCGTTTTTGGAATTGCTATATATCCATGCCAGAATTTGAGAAATGAGATTCATATCTTGAAAAAGGAGAAACCAAAGAAAGAGGCATCAAAAACCTCAAACCATTCATCTTTGCGATCTCACATTGTCGCTGTGAGTTCAGAGATTTTATCCAGGAAATCCAAGCAATTAAAGAATTAATAGAAGTTAGTGGAGCAGAGGAAATTTAATATTGGTAGTGGAATTCAGTGTAGGGGGTGTAAAAATCTCAAGGGATTTAACTGATAGTCTTATGTTAGTTTAAGGCGGAGACAGAGCCTGTGTTTCTGACCAGAACTCCCTGACTGGACTTCCTGAATGTACCAGTGTGCTTTCAACATGGCTTTCAAGATTTCATTTTAAAAGGAAAAAACTGCACACCCAATCAATTTGCTCAAAAAAGCTTCTTACACAGTTGTAAAGCAGACACCACACTCCAGATCTGGGCATCTGCCCTATGCAACCAAACCAAATTCTGAAGTGCTCAGCTCAGCTGTTAAACAGGACAGTAGCTGTTCTTGCATTTCCTATGTGCAAGACTCCAAAGGAGGTTTTTCTAATGAATGTTCATTATAACACAGCATCTCTCTTTTGACATTGAACACTGGAGAATATTTTTAATACAAAATTTGCAGTGTAAAGGAACCCCCAGTTTCTCAGTAGAACTGATTATCTTGTATTTTCACACAGAAAAGGAAAAGTGTAAATAAATAAATAAATAAATAAATACTTATTACCTGAAAAATCAACAGCACAAACACCATACTGGTGATAGCCCTTTAATACTGAGAGTGGCTTTATTGTTTCTGTATCCCAAATGTGTATCGAGGAATCTCGACCAACCTGAAAGTATACATATTCATAGCCATTTTTTTCATTTCTCAGTTATTTTACACAGTTTTTAAAAAAGTATTAAGAATACTTCAAAAAGTATTTGAAAAAACATTACAGTGATAGAATTTTCCTAGTATTACTGTTGTCTGGATGGCAGGATATTATTCCTTTTGCTGCTTCCCAAAGACCATTTCCCAGTTGACTTAGGCACATTAATCACACTTAACTGAAGTCCTCCTATGGTGGGGGAGGGGAGAAAAAAAGCCCTTCATTGATTGCAGTGTAGCATATTTATTCCATCAATTTTTCATCAATCATTCCCTGTCTAAAAATAAAAGGCTATTTTTATTGCTAGTATGTCAGCTTCTCTACGTTTCAGAAATCAAGGTGACTTCTGCTGCTCTCAGGTGTCATTACAAGGCAGATTCTAACACACTGATACCTGTGGCACAAAAATGCACTAGTGTAGGCAACAAACCTGGTAAGAAACACAATATAACTTATTATTTTCAACTATGTACAAAAGCACTATTGGCCAGCCCTTAAAAGATTATTTGCTACTCCAAGGGTTTTGCACCCCACTGCATAAATAAAAGGGTTGCAAAACCAGAATAAAACTCTCTTGCATTAAGGCTCAGCAAAACTAGGATCTATTTCTGGTTTTGTCACAAACTTAACATTAAGTATTTGTAAAGTTTTTCAGAATATCCACTATCAGGAAGCTCTGAACCAGGGTGGTATGAGGAATTTGATTACTGCATTACTTAGTTTCCTCATGTAACATAGTACACAACAATATGGAATGTGTATGTAGAGAACAGCGTACAATGGAGTGTATCTTTCTGCTGATAGCATAAGTTATTGTAAATTCAGGGACGTTTTTATTCACAGCCTTTACTACTCCAAAATTAAATCAACACAATTCTTATATTTAGGACTAATTTCTTAACTGATCCACAGAGTTATGTTAATCTCAACATTTTTCTAGAAATCAGAAGCGTAATAAACAAAAGTTTATTTCTAGTAAAAAATTCAGTTCACGTTTTCCAATTTATTATACAATAACAAGAGCAACAGTGATAAAAATGATAAGCATAAATAAAAAACCATGAAATATCAGCTCAAACCTTCAAGTCCTAGTGTATAAATATTTACCAGAAGAATTGTTTGTTTGAAAACATGACTGAAAATAATTTATCCAAAATACCTATCTAGCAAAAGACAAAATTAACTATTATTAGTATTATAAAATGAATTCAAGCAACATACACTCCTTTGTTGTATGCACAATCAGTACACAGTTTGTGTAAGGAGATGATGAAAAACATAATGCATTAAAATGGAATGCCAGACTGTAACAACAACTGCTCACTTCATACTGTAAAATAGTGAATGAATGCAATGTTAATATAGATAACTTCACAAAGCAAATGCTAAAAAAATACATTTTATCTGCACATTTCCTCCACCTGTTATCAAGAAGCTGCAACATAATGCCGAATAAAATTATTAATCTATTCTTAGTTTTAAATGATTTTCAGAAAAACTATGGAGAATATACTCTTACCATGATACAAATAAATGTAAAAAACACTTCTGCATCAGTATTTTACCACTATTCCATCTGCAACAGAAATGCAGTCCTTCATCCGAATAAATGTAGACTGGATGCTCTTTCCCCAAGACCTTTCTAAATTCAGTAGCAACAACTCAGGATCGTTATTGCAGACAAACATGAGTCCCACCTGGCCTGTTGCCACGTAGTCCTTCAGGGGATGGATGGCAAGGCAGAGGATGTCGTCGTCATGGCCCAGGTAGAAGCGCTGCGTGTTCTGCTGCCGGTTGTACACCACCCCCACGGCTGCCACGTGGTACACGATCTCGCCCGTCTGCGTGTAGAACAGGTTGCTCCGGCAGTCGTAACCCCTGTAACTGAGGCAACAAAAAAGGTTTGTGCACCAAAGCCGTAAACATCTATACTGAAACTGACATAAAGTCATGATGGTGAATTTTGTGCGTGTAAAACTCACGTTACTTACCAATTACCATTTTAGGGTTATAAAATTATGAATATGCTTTCCCATTCTTAAAGGGACACCAATTTATCAATCTAATTTACTACTCAGATGCCAGTACTACAAGCACTAGTTTAAAAGTGGCACTTAATTGTTACTTTCCACAGCTAGTTTAGAACAGAAAGTAATAGCTAGCAATTTTTTCAGACCACATGGAGAAGTTGGGCATGCAAGTTAAGTAAAGTAGAGAATGTCTAAAGTATTAGTTTTGGGTACTTCCTACTGCTCAAAAATCAGGCAGCAAAACATGACAGCTTCTGGAAACTTGATAAGAGTTAAAAAACCCTTTTTTTTACGTAACAGTTTCTTTTTCTGAAGGAAAACCTTTCTGCTTTCATAGTGGTACAGGAACTGGCATGAGTAAGCCAATTCCCAACTAAGGTCTGTACACACTATCTCAGTACACTCATTTCTTCCTAGGTGTGACTAAGACCATGAAGTTACATCCATCTTTCCTTATGTACACAGTGCAACCATATGCACTGGGGAAGTAATGAATCCATAAGGCAGCTGACCAACTTCAGTTTAATGAATATTCCAAATACCACAAATCCATGTTTGTAAACACTAGATCTGTGCATCACTGGAAAACAACAGAGCACATACTTGGAACAGATTTGAATATAATGTATTTCAGTTGGTTCACCTACATTACACACAGTGGTGTTTATGTCATTGCATGTGATTAGAGAAAAATTACTAAGATCAACACACAAAGTTCTTAAACAGTCCAGGTCCACTGCTCCCTAGAAGAAGAATATTGTATTTCATGAACTTGCATCTCAGACTTTTGGAAGATCACGTAATTCCTCCCTGCCCAGTTCTAACCTGTCCAGGTCCCTCCAGATGGCAGCACAGCCATCGGGTCTGCCAGCCTCTCCTCCCAGCTTTGTACTGCCTGCCATACTGTGAAGTCCAAAGTTGGATCTCATTAGATCACAAAAAAAGAGAAGTGAACTTCTTAAACCGGTGAAAACTGTGATAGCATAGAAATAAAGCATTTAAATAGGACTCCCTTCAACTCACTGTTTAGATTGGTATTCACGGGCAGATTCTTAATTACAGATTTGGTCCTAGTCCAGCAACTTTTCAGCAGCTCCTGAATTACTGTCCCTTCAAGGTCTCCAGCAGAATCTCTCCCCACAGTTGATCTGAGGCTCAGCTATGTCTGCTGCCTGCTCTTCTCAAAGTGACCAAAAATTTAGACTCAGAATACAACTGCAGGCTCTTCAGTCCTGCTGTGCCCTTCCTCCACCTACATCCTTCACTAACACCCTTCCCTCACAGCAGCATGTGCAGATGTTGGGAAGCTGATTTCTGCCTAACCCAGAGTGCTGTCTGCTTGCAGCCTTCTCAGATATACAGCCACTAGGTTTTTGAGGAGCAGAATTTTTTCAGACCACATGGAGAAGTTGGGCATGCAACATGTAGTTAAGTGAAGTAGAGAATGTCTAAAGTATTAGTTTTGGGTACTTCCTACTGCTCAAAAATCAGGCAGCAAAACATGACAGCTTCTGGAAACTTGATAAGAGAAACAATTACCTATAGAAACTATGAAGAAAAAAAACAAAAATAACATATCATAGTATGTAACATCACCATTTTAGGTACTTGGCAACACTCTGTGAGGGGCAGGGATTATAAAGGCAGGCACAGTGCCAAAGAAGATACCGGAACATATTGCTGCTCAGACATCATTTTCCTGTGCTTCACTCTGCACTGTACTCTACTAAACATGCTAGATTTTTTTTGCAAGCAAAAGTAATTTTTAAAAAAGGTCAAATATTCACCCTAAAGGAAAATATTAAAAACACAAACAAACAACAAAACCCAACATCTAGGAAAATATGCATGCTGAAAGAAATACTGGACATTGAGGTATTTCTTGCAAGCTTAGCAGTCACCTATAAAAGTAAGAGGTGTGAAGCCAGCAAAAGGGTTTTAGTTCCTCCTACACGCAACCCAGAAACTCAGAATTTTCCCAGCTCCTCAGAACAATTGCCTATATACCCTAAATTAAACCTAGTGAAACTGAGTACATCAGTCCCATGTATCACAGGACTACTCAAAATATCCAAAATGTATCTAGGATGCGGGAAAATAGTTCTTATTATTCATAACTTCTTGTGATAGAAGTTAATTTTCGTTAATTTCCACTAGTTATTACAAGAATTAGTACAATCAATTTTTTACAATTAGAATACAACATATTTTGTCAAAATATCAAGCAGTGCCAACAAAGACTCTTTGTCACCACATTAAACACATTTGGTCTTTCCCACGGGCCAGTTTACTAACTCCTTGACAATAAAGGTACTTTTTACCAGAGGAAAAGTGATGGGACTAAGTTAAACAGCAATGAAAAGAAGCATATTGCAATGTAGAAGATAATTCCTCAAGAATATTCTACACTGTTCCAAAATACTTACATCTCCATATTATTAAACCAATTTAGAACTGAGATTACTAGCTAATCTCTGAAAAAGCATTAAGAGAAATAATTTATTCACATGCAGAAAACAAACCAAAGAAATTTACGAGGCATCTTTCTTAGCAACTATAAATTAAATAATAATAAAAGCAAGCTCTGCATTGTAGTTACTGAATAATATATAACAAGGCACAATAAAAGTAAGAATGCATTTTGTCAGAGTTAATTGTCCAGGATTGATTCAAGTTAATGTGACAGTAACTATCAGAAGAAGATGTAGCTTCCTAAGTGGAAGGGAAAAGAAATGGCCATTACCAAAGTCATGAATAGCAGGGTCCGCATTCAATTGGAGATTCAGACATGTAAACATAGTGCTCACATGTTTGTTAGATACATTAACTCCTACATTTTAATCAACACTGTTGCAGTCAACAGAGTCAGTTGAACCTGCAGGGCTGCTCAGCTGGCCAACCACCAGCATTGCATTTTACCTGAGCCAAATCACTCCTCGTGCTCCACTGATTACTTAGACCGAATCTCCAGGGACTGTGATGGAAGTTTAGATATACACATAAAACCATTTCCTTTTGGGCACATCACTGTGAATAACCTGAAGCTGAACCCTACCCACATGTACAAGTTACACATCTATATCCAGCTAACAGGCACCTGCACAAGCACTGTCCTCCCTGGGAAAAGAGTCAATGTCCATTGCTTGACTAATGCTGTAATAGTTTCAAAATTTGCATGTTACTCCTTAAAACATATGTGGGAAGCTTCCCCATGTAGTCCAATCATCCCTCAAAATCTCTAGAAGAACCAAATATCAAAACGAACATGATTGAGAACAGAGTCTTTAGTACAAAGGTGGAGACTTAATTTTTTTAAAAAATGTTCTGCATAGCAGTAGTTTTCTCAAGAGGACCCACTCAAAGGCTATTCCCTCTAGATGCTATTTGCAGGTATTTGTAGGAATCCATGCAAGATGTTATAAGGCTCTCCTTATAGAGCATTCCCATGTCATCTTGAAGCTGCTACCAAATTTGATCTTCTGGTAAAGTTAGTTTATTGAATATCCTGAAATTCAAACTAGATTGTGCTTAAATACTTTGCATATTGAAAAATAATTCTGTGATTCTATGAATATTCAAAAATATAAAAAAAACATTCTTGTGAAATCAACAGCATAGCTCTGAGAGAATACAAGGCATGAGTATTACATGTGCATCTTTATTTCCTGCCAGCAAAAAGAAAGCAAAATAAGCATCGAGTCCAAGAAAAAGGTTCTTCTGATTAGTGCATGTTTCTGAACCACCACCTTGCCAAATACATGGCAGAATTAAAATACAGGAATAATAAAAAAGAGGCCAGATTTGTACACCAATTTAACAAAGTGTGTCTGATCATGACTGAATCAGGTCTCTTAGAGAAAGACACAAGTGACCCTCTTAATAGAAGTTCTTTCCTCATCCATATTAGTCAGAAGCTGCCTCACATACTCTGAATTTCATTCCCTTCCAAAACAGGAAGTAACCAGAGGTTTAAAAGATTTCTTACAGGTTATCAAGAGATTTTTAAAACTTTGTCTTTCACGGCAGTTGACAAATGTAAAGCACAACACTAACAAGCTCAAAAACAAAGAAAAGAGAAAAAGCTTCCAGTTCCCCTGATTTAAAAAAAGCACCACCTCCTAAATTTTCTAGGAACATCCAAGACATTTTCATTGCAGCTAAAGAAAGATGAAGCAAAGCAGACTTCCTGAATCAGAGAATATGCCTATTACTCACTTGGATGTGGGTCACTTTAAAGTTAACAGCCTGGACATTGAGAAAAATCTGTTGTTCAGCATGGATTCTTCATTAGTTTTCTTGATGCCCATAGGGTAACCAGACAGAACTCAACAGGACATTCTACTTCTGGTCATTCCTGGATATTCTGGTCAAGCTTCACTTCTGTTGTGAAGGAAATAACAATAATACCAAAGATCCAGGGCCCTTGCTTGTGCTACATCTTCGTCAGGATCATTTGGTTTTATTCTTAGACCAACCTTTAAAGACTACATACAGCAGCTACCCACCTTAATGCATTCTCTGTGCAGATATCAAAACCTTCAACTGAGAATTTGGGAGCACCAAAAAGAGAAATTAAAAACCCCAGCTCTGTACCAAGCTTCCCAGTTGTCATAATTTTCAAAGCTACTATATGTCTTCTGCAGACAAAATTTCTGAATTTCTGATTTGAATATTAACTATTCTTAGCCAATTACTTTATTAAGCATTGCATGTGGAGCCTACTACAATTGGTAAGTGGCATTATAAAGGCAGTATCAGTTACTTCTCCCTGCATTTAGTTATATCAGAAAAGAAGCTGTATTCCTGCAAAGAGCTTTCTTTCGAGAGGAAAACTTGACTTGCAACGTCTCACTTGAATAAAGGTTTTGGTTTTGCTTTATATCAAGAGAATTTATATTTCTGATCATTATTCTAATGTAGTAACATCTAGTACCAGCTTGCTTTAAAACACCATTATTTTTTCTGAAAAAAATTCTTCACTTATGAAGAATCATGGGAAACTACTAATCCTAAAGATGAATTGTAAGATTTCAAGGATGCATCCAAAAGTAATTCTGCTACTCAAAATAGCACCAAAAAAAGAACAAACTCATTTTTAACATACTTACAAGACCTATTAAGAATTACATTTAATTCCTAAATTAAGAAAGGAACATGTATGTTGTTTCAAACTAGGTACAAACAACTTATACTTTTTTTTTAATAAATCACTGCTAGAAACACCACGTTGTCCAGAACCCAGTCATCCTCAGCTACACAAAGTTTCTGTTCTAGCTATCAAAATCATACATCAAACAGAACTACTGCTTTCCAGATACTGAAAATTATGGGTGAGATTACTGAATACTTTATTTAGTCACTTGTATTTATGCAATAAGTACCAGCCAAAGTTTGACTTCAAATTCACTTCAGAATTCATGTGTAGAATTAGCATGCTGGCATCAAAGCTTTCTATTTATTTAGTGTAAATTTATTTCTGCAGATATAAATAAAAATAGCAAATCATAAAGCAACAATCATAAAAGTCTTTAATCAGATTATTAAATTATAAATACCAGTCTATAAAATCAAACAGTCTGCTTGTATATTTTAAAGAATGCTAGTTTGCATACCCATGAACAAAATGCAGTCTTATACTGTTCCCTGGGGCTCGCTCACGTCTCTTAGAAGCTGCACTTTTTCTTTTTTCTTTGCATTGCTCTTTAAGTTGAGGTAGATCTTCTTTGTAAACCTTTAAGAAAAAGCATACATAACTGAAAAACCCTCCAATACCTATAGCTGGTGACTATATAGTGCAACTTGGTTGTAAATTGCATTCTAGGATTACATGTAATAATTTTTCTCTCTGTTACTATTAATATTAATATCTTAGCTGTAATTTTTAATTCATCATTATATTTTAATAAGTTTGTTCTTTTGAATGCATCAGGTAACAAAAATTCTAAAGGTTTTGCTCAGTTCCCATGCAGTCTCCCCAGTTTTGAGATTTCAACAGTCTTCATAAATGACCAAGTTAAACGCTAGGAAGCTTCCATCTGCCATTAAAACTAAATCTTTACCTGTCGACGATAGGTGATCTGCGTCTCTTGTTCAATTTCAGAGTCCAGCTCTGGAACATCAGACTGATCTGAATCTGATTCATCACTATTAGAATCAACCAGACTCTCTGTCACCAAGAAAACAGAAATAAAAAATTAAGCAACCTAAATTACAAGCCAGAAAGTTTAAACTAACTGCTTAAAGTTTTTGATTTGATAATCAATACTTATGTTAATACAACATAAAATGCTAATAATTGACAGGAACAATTCTGCTGCTAGATAGGAAATAAGCCATAAATATAATAATTTTGAGTGCTGGAGTGAGTTAGTTTTCATTAACTAAAATAATTTCATGAGCTTCAATGTTAGGAAGAAAGGAAAAAAAAGATAATTAAATAATCAGTATAAAGCAGAAACTAAGACTTACACAAAATTAACAAAGGGTCCAAAGAGAAACTTATGTTAAAGCAAGCCACTGATGCAAGTAGAAATTCTTCAAATAGGTTAGGGGGAGGGAAAAAATTATAGATAGGAAGAGGAAAAATTTATTGTCACTGCAGAGAAAAAGGGTAGACACAAAGTTCGACATGTAGGAAGAGCCTATTATTGTTTCCTTGTGCATTTTTCACTGAGAAGTTCAGAACTGCATCTGTATTTATTTACCCGTATGCTAAATATACACTGATACATATTCATCTGATCTGAGCAATTAAATGGTGAAACAGCCTATTTTATTCTAACTATATTCTCATTTCCCCAAAGGATTCTCTAAAGTCCTTTAGGAATTTCCAAGGGAGGCACTCAGTTAACTGTTTTGATTTTAGGAACCTCATGAGAATAACTGTTTAATTAGTCACTAGTGGAAACATGATCTTCATTTTTTCCCAAACACTAAACATCTATATTCTGCTTTAAAAAAAAAAAAAACAGCTATAATTCTTACACTATCATCTAAATACTTCAAAATTTTAAACAATTAGTATAAAACCATATTTTTCCAGTCACACCTGAGCATGCAGTTGTTGTCAATTTAGTAAAGGGTGATATATACAGAACTCAGAAATTCCTATCTATGCTTGAACTTTTAAAATTTTTCTTTGCAAAAGAGTCACAGCAGTGAAGGTTTTTCATACCCTTGCTAGCCTGAACACACAGGTGTGATGGTTTGACAAATGCCAGTGCACAGATTTTTTAAATCCTCACCAAAGATCAATTAATGCCAAACCAGGACCACAGGGTACTGGCAAGTATTAGAAAACTCTATCTGGTGCTTCAGGCACCTACAAAATGTAAAGAACAACAACTGCTGTAATTGTGAAGACTGACAATTTTGAATATTTATTTCAATACCATCACCACAGAATTTTACTTCTCTTTTAGCCTTTTCTTGTGTTTTTTTCAGTTAGTTCCTTACCTTGGGGTGCTATATGAAGATTGTCCTTCAGCTTGCGGTCGGGGACAAACTTCCACTGAAAGACAGAGTGATCAGCTCCCCCAATGGAGACAACCCACTGGTGATCGTGCGACCATCTGACGTTCGTCACGTGAGCAGAATGACCAAGATATTTTTTAAACTTTGCTCCTAGAACAAGAATAAAAATATCCCTCAATATTTGTGAAAGAAATGTTTCAGAAGCACACCCCAGAAAATCATATTAAAGAATGCCTAGAAAAAGCAGTGTTTCATAAAGATATTTTAATTCCTACTGGTATTTTAATCACTAGAAACATCTTTTTGCAGTTTTCACAATTTTTAATGTGTATATAAGATACATTTTTTAATTTAGGTTCCAAAAGATAACAACTTAATCAAGTCAAACACAAGAACAGAAGACATATGACAATGCTGAATGAGGTGTACCAGAGATTTAAAAAATTTCACTGTAATAATTTTATTTTACTTTTTACAAAGTAAAATTATTAATTCTACTTTGAAAAAATACAGTTATTTAAATCATGCATATTTAAGTCTATGAAAACACCCCCATATACATGCTTGTATAGTTATAGCACAAGTTCCCAATGTACAATGGCAGTGCTAAGCACTTCTGACAATTCATCTCCTCCCACGTTTAGCAGTAGAACTGGTAGTAGTAGTACAGCTACATCCAGTCAACGTTTTCATGGCTACATAACCACAACACAGACACTGCATGAGTTACTGAAATTAAGTTCCTAACAGCACTCCATTATAAGTCATCTTTTTAGATCAAAAAGGCTTCATTGTTTCAGAGCTGTTTGAAGAACTTCATTCTACACACCATTCAATTTTAATGCTGGCAACAACTGCATGGATAGGTCTTAGGATAGGTCTTCAACCTTTATGTATTTAAATGAATGTTTTGGGTGTTGCTTTTAAAGACTGGTATTGCCCACATTTTGTTGAACTCTTTGTGAAAAAAAGTGATACTGAAAACCATTTCATTTTCCAGTCTTCTAGTACACTTTTCTTGAATAGTCACAATTTAGAAATATGCATATAATTGAATTTAAAAGGCACTACCTTTTCTTAGACATGGGTACCGAAAGAGCTTTACTATTCCATAATCATCAGCCGTAACCATAACTTGACCAATAAAATTCGCATCCACAGAATTTATATCATTTATATCTGAATATTTGGGCCAGATTCCATTAACTTCAAGGCCAGAAACACAGGTCCATGATGCCCACTGAATGCCTTTCAATTCCTCCTTGTTTGTTACTTCTTTTCCACCTAAGCAAAAAATAAAGAGCCTTTTCTCAATATTTGCTCACGCAATTTTAAAGAATGCAACATTTTTAAAAATTCTCTAAAAATTGAAACCAAGTACAACAGAATTAAAAACTGACTTCTGAAATGGCCCTGATCTAGTATTGCCTATTATGAACAACAGTATCAGTAAGAAGACTTCTCAAGACTATTTAACAGAAGATCACAGTTTTGGTATTCTACAGTTTTTATTATTTCTTGGTATCTGCTTGAGGCTGTGTTGTTTCTTAAATGTTTATCAAAAATACATGCAATTATTCTAAGATAAAGTTCATAAAAAATTCTGTTGCTGAATGATTGTAGAAACTTGGATTATTTAGAGCAAGAACTGAAGAACTCACATCCGGCCACTGCAAATTACTAAAACCACCTATTTTGTGCTTAGACCCTTGTTACATTATTTCACACCACAGCTCTATCTGCAGTGAGATTGATCCAAGGTAAGAGCTGAGGAACTGAGTGAGACCAAAGGCCCATCAAATAGTGACTGTGTGTTCTGGAAAGGCCAGAAGCCAAGGGCTGGAGCAATGCATGAACAGTGCAAGCAAATGTGAAAGCTTTGGTGAGTCAGACTGAACACACACCTACAGAAGGTGAGCAGGACACAATCCACTTCTCAGCCTTTCAGTCACTAATCCATGTAAACTATGATTAACAATAATGTTTATATCCATATCTAAGTCCTGCAGGTCTTGTGCCAGACAACTCTAAGTTCCTGAATTCATTGTGGAATTTCAAGTGTTACACAATTTGATCATTACTTTAAAGTACATGGGAGATTCCTCTAACTCCACTGCCTTTGATAAATTTTTTTTCATAAACAAGGTTTCACAATCCCACATTCTAACATATGAAGAAACTCCAGGTTGAAGGTTATCTTACAACTTCAAATTGCTCCTCCTGTGTCTGTTTGTTACTGTCTAATTAAATTCTCACAATCTTTTCTTACACATCTTCTGCTGCATTCAATGCACAGAATCAAAGTTGGGCATAGAATGAATGAAATGTTTCAGCAGAGAATCATAAAAAACTCCAAGAATCTGTGAATAATGTACCGTGCTAAGCACAAATCTTTATAAATCTGTAAAAGAATGAAGGGACAATATAAAAAGTGGTGATAACACACAGTTACTACAAATAAAAATACTACAAAGATGAGTGAGAAGAATACAGAATATTATGTAAAGAGTGTATACAATAGATAGAAGTCAAACCTTGTGATAAATACTGCCACTGACGTATTCTAAAAAGGACTACTTCAATTTCAAGCTTTAAGATAGCACTATGTGCACATCCTCTACAGAGGGAACTACCTTAATAGAAATTATTTCAAGACTGTGGGACACTTCAGTCAAGTTTTCAAGAAAACTGTCTTGAAAACACTTGCAATAATAGGGTTATCACAAAGTTCCTCACTGTAAAAGCTCTTTTAAGTTGAAATCCTCAGTCTGCTGCATAGTTTTAGACAACCAAATGTCTCTTCTCAGCTACAACATACCTATTATTCCACACACTTTAAAAACCATTCAGTGCAATAAAATAATAATTTATTTAATATCCAAGCACTATAAGAACAAAGCTATTAAGCTATTGCAAAATTTAATTTAAATGCTGCATTTTAATTCTTCTAAGAAAGTGGGAGCAAAAGTTTATTTTTGAGAAACAAAATAAATTATAAGGCAGCATCTCTAGTATAAAAATATATATTGGAAAGAAGACTAAACATATAAGGATAAAAGTATTTCAGGAATTTTGCCAGAAAAATGCTGTACTTACTCAAATGTGGCAAATAATCTTATGAACTTACAAAGCCCTTCATCTATACCCCCATGCTTCGAACCATGCTTTGAATTTGTTGGGGTTTTTTTTTAACAAAACCACTATATGTTATTTCTGTTTTAAGTAACAAATAGCATGATGGCAACCCAGAACCTTACCCGGCATTCTGTAAAAAAGTCTCCTTCCATTGCCATCATTGGTCTGTAAGTATTTACTGTCTGAAGACCAATCCATATGTGTGATGAAGCTTAAGGATCCAACACATTCCCCAACTTTCTTATATCGCTGAACAACACCATATATATCCACAGAGCTGTCATTGGAGCCAACAGCTAGGAAATTCCCATCTGGAGAATATTTGAGTTCATGAATAGCTTCTTTCCTGTCTTTGATATGAACAACCTCAGTCATATCTCTGTAGTATGAAAGAAAGCATGTCATAAGCAGAGAAGAGCCTCATCACACTGTCAACTTCCCAGTCCAAAAAACGAACAAGATTGTGAAATTATATATTGAACCTAACTGTCCTGTGTGCAAACACAACACTGCTGTTTTTAGAGTTGGTTAGGGCTTCATGGAGGAAAAAACAGAAGGAAACAGTGACACAAGAAGGTGCTTCACTGGGTTGAAGGACAGTGAACAAAAGGAACAGTTTGAGCTGGGTTCACAAGAAAATTTCATCAAGTGAATTATGAGATCTTTATTCACCCATGGAAGGAAACTTCACTGACATGAGACACAAATCTCATTTTCCCTTTAAAATTGTGGGATCACAGCAGCACAAGGCAGTACTTGTTTTGTATGCATGATGTGCTGACAGCAGAATTCCAACACATAGAAACAATTTACAAAGTAATGAAAATTTATTTCTTAGTAATTCAAGGATAATTTATAAATATAAAACCTAAAGTAAAACATTTCCTAGAACATTGCCATTCCCTGCAAATAGACCAGTATACTTCTTCAAATGGGTTGTTATAGAACAACACGAACATATGTAGCACACATTTAAAAAATCTGAATATGCTCCACAATTTAAAACAAAAACACAAGTGACCACATGCATGGCCGCAAGAGATCAAAACATTGATAACATATCTATATTTAAGTTCTGTAGCATACCTGACTCTGAGCACAGTGAAAGAGCCATCCTTCATGCCAAGGGCAAGATGGATTCCATCGGTGCTGACGGCGGCACAGCGAATGGGCTCCTCCATGTTGCACCGGGCAATCAGAGCGTGGTCTATTAAACTCCAGATTCTAAAACAAAGCCATTATTTCTCATGTAAAATGGGTGTGCAGCTTTGTCACACATAAGATGAAGCCCTCCATTTCTGCACAATGTTGGACATGTCCCTATTTTAAAATAAGTTTCCACAAGGAAAATCTAAAACATAAGTGTGAATTATGCATATAGCAAGAAATATTCTTATATTTTAATAGGCAGGAATATCTCTAATTAGAAAATGTGGGGATAATTAATTAATGTGGGGATAATTAATTTTGATTTTCTGAATATAAAAAATTATAGCAAATGACAATACATGCTTTTAGACCACTCCTGCAAAAATTCCATTATTTTGCTAATCATTTTTGACAGAAACATTAAATAACAATTAGAGACTTTGATCACTACAAACAACTTTTCCTATTATGAATTCATTACTGATAACTCCTAATAATATTCAAATATATGAGTCTTTATAACAAGGTAGATTACATCTATTATTTAGAATCATATCTGGAATTTGAGAGTAATAATAATATTAATAATTGAATTATTGATTTGCTTAACTGTGTTGCACTAAAGATATTCAGCAAAAATGCCAACACATTTAAATTTAAAGAAAGAAATGGCAGTTTTGAGTGAAAAAAAATAGAGATGAACATGTAGGAGGGAGTAATTTGGTGGGCTTTCCTGAGCATTTATATTCTGTTTACAATGCATGGACTGGGTTTGATGAAATTCACACATTAAAAGTTAATTTGCAGCATTTGGAAAAGTAAATATGGTAAGAGCAAAATGTGTAAGTTTTTATCCCAGTTTTTTTTCATTGCAAGCTGTGCATGCTTAACACAACTCCTGAAAAGGAAAGACTCAAAGGATACTTGTCTCTGAGTGCTCAGTTTAGCCCAAACAAAATGTTTTCAAATTTCATATATGGGGTGTTTTGGGAAATACATACTTCCACTGTATTTTATTACTGAAGAGCACTCATTTCCTGGGTAGCTTAACTGTAGGAGTGCATCAATGCCACATTTTACTAACTTTAAAATGCATACATTTCAATTAGGCTACCTACAAAATGAGTGGATTGCCTAAAATTGTATGCAGTTTAACAAAGAAACAAAATTTAACCTGACTGATCGATCATCGCTTCCAGTCATGGCCAGGGGTTTTGTAGGGTGGACAGCCAAAGCCCAGAGCTCTCCTTCACAGTGCCCCTGCATTAGCAGGAAAGGCTTGTTACGCTCATGCACCACTATTTCAAAAATTTCACTATCTTGTGTCCCAACGAGTATATGGTCTCCTCTCCAGCAAACACTTCTTACAGAGAGACCTGTAGAAGAGATTGTTACTGAGAGATACATCCTCAGAACTTGTAAAACAAAGGTAAAGTAGCAAAAGACAAAGCATAAAAGCAAGAAAATGTCAAGAAGTATCCATATCCCTTCTCTTATTCTTGGATTTACTTCTTTTACTCTTTTTATCTGTTTCATAGATATTGGCATACTTGCCTTTGGAACATGAACTTTTCATGACTGCTTGGAGGATATATATAGGCTATACCAAGCGCTAAGACAGTGGAGTAGCAGGAAATGCAATTAAGAAAATGAGCAAGAGGACAGGTCATAGAGACAATCCTCAGAAGTATATTTTTAAAAAAAAGAGTGAAGGGAAAAGAGTCAGAAAACTCATTTTATTCGATATAAGATTTTTTTTAAAACTACTTGCTCTGCCATGGGCATTTGACAAGCCAAAAGTTTATGGTAAGCATCTGTTATATCAGAAGTAAAGGAGGCAACTGGAGGTGAGAACAAGTCAGAAAGAATGAAACTGAATGAAACAGCTTTCAGCTACATGCATCAGAACTGAGAAGCAGCAGCTGAGTAAATTTAAATTTAAAACAGAGCCACTCTACTGCAGGGCATATTTAAAGTGAAATGCATTCCATCTTGTTGCAATACTTCACAATCTTGGCGGGAATGCCATGTCAATTATACCATACAAAGACTTCACTTGTAATCAGTTATGTATTGACCCTGAGTATCTCATTGCTATCAGACATTCTAACACATTTTCAAATTCTTGGCAAGATATTAGAAAATAACAAAAGTAACTGGGGGTGAAGAAAACCAAATGCCAACAAAAGCAATATTGTAAGTGACACTATTGCTTCAGTACATGTTTGTATTCTTATCCTAAATCATTACAGCAACTGTATCTGAAACACTCTATGTAAAGTTTTAGCATGACATGAACTGTAACTGAAGTCATATTTCCAAGTAAGCAGTGTTTTAAATTTCACAAAACTGTAGATAACATCCAAATAGTTTTAATGAATATTTGGATAACTAGCAAATGAAATTGTTGTACTCCATTGTTTTACACTGTAGATCTCACTGCCTCAAGTTCTCTTAAAGCATTACTGTTCCTTGTTAAAAACTGCTGTGCTCTAGAAACAATACGCATAAAAAAATTAAATCTGTGTCTACATCATCATCATATGTACTGTTTGTAAAAGTAACTGTGACCTTCATACTAGTGGGCATGATCTATTCTATTTCTAGCAAACAGTTCATAGTAACGTACACAAAACAACACTTTGGGTTTTAAAGTATTTTCTTGTACAAAACACTGACAAATTTCCTATGTTATTGGTATAATGACAGCAACAAACTCCTCCTTACCTTTATACCCCTGGTCTGTTTCCCTGAGATCAATCACAGTAATTGGTTTAAAATTTAAGTCCCACAAGCGGACGCAGCCATCCCTGCCACCAGTGGCAAACCCCTCTTCACATGCATTCATGCTGAAAATTCCTGCCTAAGGAGAGAAGAAAGTTACTTTTAACAACATACACAGATTGGAGAAAACCAGTACGCAACTAATACAAGCCTCAAATACAAGAAAGTCAGATATGGAAACTAACTCACAACAAGCAGAATTAACCACAAGTGATAAACAGAAAGTGAATTGCTGCAGGAATGTTTTCCTTCTGATGATCATCATCATGGTGATGCTGCTTCTCATCCCTAGGAAGAGCTTAGTTTCCTATACTCTTGCCTTAGGATCTGGTCCAACTCTGATAAATGTCAGCATGAAGATTTCCCATGATCCCTATTAGGCTTGCTTTAGGGCCTTTGTTGCTAGTACCCAGCTGCTATACAACAATGCAAAAAACATCTGGGATTTTTTTATTTTTTAAACCAAGGATGATTGATTTAAAATATAAGTTTAGAAATAAAACTTAAGAAAAACAATGATCATGCTACACCATTGAAAACTTAATAAAAATTCTTATTTTAAAGGCGAACATCATGAAACCAAACCGAACCCATTTTCTTCAACTCACTTGACACATGTTTTCTTCAGGATAACAAAGAGGCAAAGATGATACATGTAGTATTAAAATAAAGATACTATAGCCACATAGCCACTATATTTGATTTAACATGATACACATCTAAATGGCATACACACTACTGGGGTTTTTTTATTACCTACACAACTCACTAGCCTAATGTTCAGAAATAACTCACACATTTCAGTAAGCAAAGCTACTGAAAGGGCAACTTTAGCTGATAAGCCCATAAGAAGTTTAAAAAATTGCTCTATATTTATTTTAAGTATGTAGTATTCAACTATGACAAAAGTAAACAAGAGACCATTAGAAACAATGGAAGAGAAAATCTGACTCAATTCCTGTCCAAAAGAAAGTAGACCAGCCAATAATATACACGTATCTTCTAAAATATTGGTCTGAAATTTCAGTTTTGTAAAGAAGTAAAGTTCCACTAGTTCTTTAGGTAGCGTCTAGATTTTATAGTAATGAAGCCCATAAACTGCAAAGATCAAAGCAGTCTGCAAAGGAGAGATTGGCTTTTGGGGAAAAAATAGCTGTACACTCACAGAACAAATTAGGATACAATGTGACTTGTAAGAATTCTGGGGTATTCATGACTATTATCTCCTACCAAGATGCTTTTTCTTCTTAAATTACAACTAAGAAAAATATCATAACAGACTGGTCATAATGAAATATGGATTGTGTTTGCTTCTCTAGCATCAGGTTACAAGGACAAAATTTTTCATGTTACCAAAAAAGAAATCTCTCAGCTTTCACAAAAAAAAGAAGCCTACTAGACTGTCAAATGACAATAAAAACTGAAAGACTTGGGTGACAGAACTTCAAATTTTTTGGCATGTCATGGCCATTCTCAAGAAAGAGACTTTTATGACAAGCTACAAGTTCAGGAGCAGTGCGTGTATAAACAGAAATGTAGTGGAATTTTTAAATCATAAGCAGATTAGAAGTCTAACTCTCATTATCTCTAACATCTTGAAAAATCTTCTGTTTCTTTAGGAGCCTAGATGTTTTAGAATATACAGCACAAACTGTATTTGTTTCTCTGCATGTGTGTCTATCCGTTTTGCTGCATTAACCTTTACTATTGTGAGCAGAAGTCTTGTCAGGAGCAGCTGAGGGAGCTGAGGGTGTTTAGCCTGGAGAAAAGGAGGCTCAGGGGAGACCTCATCACCCCCTATAACAGCCTGATAGCCAGGTGTGGTTTGGTCTCTTCTTCCAGGTAACTGACAGGATGAGTGAAATGGCCTCAAGTTGAGAGAGAAGGTTTAGATTGGATACTAGCAAACATTTCTTCACTAAAAAGGTTGCCAGGTATTGGAACAGGCTGCCCAGGGAAGTCCTAGGGGGATAATCCCTGGAAGTGTCAAAAACAGGAGGAATGTGGCACTTGTGGGTAGGGTTTAGCGGTGAACACAGCAGTGCCAGGTTAACAATTGGACTGCAATCTTGGAGGCCTTTTCCAACCTTAGTGATTCTGTGACTCTAGGTGCCATGGAATAAATATAAGCCTAGAGGAATTTCAGCTCATTTTGTACCTTATGCTGAATTCTGTCCAAGTTTAAATCTTTTAAAGCTCTTTTTGGAATGCAATCTTGATAATAGAATTATTTTCTTTTCTCTAATTAACTCTTTCCAAAATCCATTATTTAATTAGTCAGTATTAAAAAAACAATCAGACATTTGGCAATGTGGGAGATGGCGGAATGCTCTGAAGACAAGATCAAGTGGATCCAGCATTAATCTGTTTTCCATTCCACAGAATATCCTTATCTTGAAAAGGACATAGTGGTTGTCAAGGAGATTTGGCAGATGTGCTAGCTCAGTCTCTTGAAATGCAATAGGACACTCTCATTGCAGTCTTTGTGCCACTGGAATAAGAGAACGAGATGAAAACTATAAAAATGCCCCTCATTAATGGGGACTGTAAGCATCTAATGGAAAAAGCTGAGCTTTGCTACATTTCATATAAACGTTAGGTTCACACTTAAAGGGGAAAAGACAGATTTTTTACTGGGGTAGCTGGCCAGTAAACCCTCCACTAAATCCTTCCTTTTAAAAACTGACCAGACTGTTAATGCAAATCAACTTTGGAGTCTTCGTGCTTCTTTAATCCTTCAGGGTGAAATTGTAATCAATATAATTTGATTATTGATGTTTAAAAATCCTCTAGCAGTAATGAAAGGCAAACAATTGCACTGAATTTCTTAGATGCAATTGAATGTAAGCCACAAAGACTGTGCTTCTGAATGAAAATGAAAGGTGTAAATCAAAGACTTCCATCTTTAAACTTATGAAACTCAACATACAGGCTGCATTCTTCTTTTACAAATTCTTCATTACACTTCCTAATGAATGTGAAAATTCTGGAAATAATATCTCAAATCTAGCAACATTTTCTCAGAATGCTATTTCCTGTTTTTCCAACATAACCAGCTGGTATCACATCTGTGTTCCCTCAAATTTAAGAAAAAAATAGTTGAATGAGAGCAAATAAAAAAATAAATGCCCAGATCTACCAGAAATTAGAGTGGAAAGCTAGAGAAGTACAAGAAGAATTTGACAAAAATTATTCCTCCTGCAAGAATACTTAGCCACTACTTGAATCCAAGAAGTTTCCAATACTGAAGCAGCTTATGGTTTCTTACTGCTGCTGAACCTATCTTGCAAAAATCAAGTGTCAGTTTATCTAAATGCAATTGTTTGTATAAAATCCACCACTCCGACTATGCAATTCCTAAAACACATGATGACTGCAGCTATTTGTCATTAGGACCAAGCTTGGAAGATCATATGAAAACTTAGGAGCAACTGACTACTAGTGAGCAACATGGAGAATAGAGACACTGCACCAACACAAAAACAACTCCACAGCCTCCTTTTTACTCCCAGGTACACTGCAGGACACCGAAATGTAAAGCAACACCCATGTTGGGGCACACACCACGAGACAGTGTCTCTCCCAGCACATACTGCACAGTAGGGAAATGGATTGCAAACATTTAAGGTACGTGTCAGTGAGTTTACAGAGGAGAGACACTGCTGTGAAATGTGATCTTCCTGTCTAACAAATCATCCAGAAAAGAGCTCAAAAATGTGCATACTATTATAAAAAATTAAAATAGTTGTCCCCATAGCTCCCATTGGCTAAAAAAAGTGGACATCTTCCTTTGAAGCCAATGACTGGTCTAAGGAGCAAAAGAATATACTGCATGACTTAATGGTCATGGTGTTGGTACATGATACCAGTTTAAAACCATTCATTTAAGTTCATTATATTGTTTCCATCTATATTTAATTAGTATCCAGCACACTGACATAGGCGTGCAATGGTTTTAACAGAGTGCCTGTTATTTAACCTCAAGCTTGTTATTTAACCTCAGTTTCTGACATCAATCCACACAACTTTAATGTGTACCTCTGAAAGACTATCTCAAAATTAATTATTCATCTCCTGAGAAAGCATCTTAGGTACATTTACTATGCAAGGCAAAAGCATAGCACACAAGAATCTTTAAAATATACAGTGTTTAAACTAAGCATACAATTTTAATATCCAAGTAACATCTTGTATATATCTTAATAGCCATGGACTACCTTGAATTTACCACTTATAAGGTGGTAAGTGGAAGTTTCTATAATCTGTTCTTTGCCCTGGTATACAAATAGACATACATATACATATAGATATACATATACAAGAGACAACTATCAATATTTTTTTTATTAGTCAAGGTATTTCTTAACTTCCCAGAGCCAGATCCATCACCTACAAATAACCTCATGGAGTATTACCATTGCCAGTGAATTTATACATGCTTTCATGTTATTGTTTCCTTTCTCTCCTTTAAAATTTTCATTACTAAGATTATAATTTAGGAGGCAAATCTAGAATTGAAGTTTCCATTGTTATCCATTGTTCCCTGCACATGAACTCTGCGCCTTTACTCCTAAACCCTGCTCATTTTCCATCTTTTCCTACTTTTCATTCCTATTTTTATTTTAAGTGAACTCCCTAATCCTCTTCCAACTCTTAACTTCTGTGCTTTCAACTTTTTGTTTCTACTCAAATTCAGATGGAAATCTGCAGGAAACTCTACTTTCCTCTCTGTTGGTATTGCTATGACAGAAAACAGATAATCTGTCTGAATTAAGAATTCTTATTTTGCTTGTTAGTGTTGAAGTTGCTATGTGTTTCTTTGGTTGCTCATACTGGGAGACCATGCCTTATTTTTCACATTGAATTATTTTTAAAATGAAAAATGTTTTTTCAGCTAAGGGAACCACAACAAAGAGAACCAACCTTTGAAAAGAACAGGTTTTCTGTATTAATGCAGACAATATCTTAATAATAACTAATAAATCTGGAGCTGGACTATTTCTCCACATCACTAACATGCTTTAGAAACTGTTTTCCAGTATCTCAGATATCTGCTGGTTATGCTGCAAGAAAAGAATGGTATTTATACAAATAATGAGACATCTTCCTTCAGTAAGATTACAGTTTATGTCACATCTGTTGAGGAGTCATGATGCAGGATGATGAACAGGTATGCAGGGATGACAATTCCAACACTACCACACTGAAGAGAAATTTCTATAAATTCCCTACTACAGTGCACACTGTCCCTTCAACAAAAGACATACACCATAAATCTTGTAGCTTGCACTTGCATTACCTTTGGGCAAGAAGGACACAATTTATAAAATTAAGTATACTAATTTATTAAATTAAGTAGCCACAAAATAGCATGATAATATTTTAGTACAGCTGAAGAGATATTGTCATTCCAAGTTTCCATATGTTGGGCTTAGAGTAGTCTGTCAATATTATCCTTTAAAGTAATTTTTAATTGAAAAACAAGGTTTCATTTTGTTGGAAAGAAGTTTCCATATTTTATTGGGGTTTTTCTTCCCCTGAAATCAGTGAGATTTGTAGTGATTCTAATCTCTTGTAAAAATGAATTTCAAAGACATGAACTAGTGTTCATAACTTAATTTCAGTACTGCAAAGTACAATTCCATTGAGCCTAGATGACAGAGCCAAAAATAGAAGGCTAGATGAGACCGACTCCAAGGTCACCTGAGCTCTGCCATTGATGTTACTGAAGATAAGGATGTTACTGCACTTCAAATTTGATCTTATGGTCAACTCAGAACTGATACAGCACATAAGGGAGTGGAGCAACAAGCTTTCATCATCTTATGTTTATCAGTAGTCATTTCACACTTAAACAGCTGAAAAGCACTGCATTATTCAGAGAAATAAACTGTTGCAAGTCTAAATAGTCCAAGTAACAAGTATGTTAATATGCAGGACAGCTGTCTCCTACAGCACCAACAGAATGGGAGAATATTTTGGCATCAGTTTTCAACAGGAGACTAAGTACACTTTTCCCTCTGGGAATTGAGATCTGCATAGGCAATAGCCAATCATGACAGGAAAACACAGAAAAGAACAATATTGAATACTTATTATGAAGACCGAAACCAGATCTGAAGTTATAGAGCAAGAATAACTCCATACTGTAAATACCCCCTCATATTTCCTGATTCATAATTTGGTCCCTCTTGAATACATTTTATATTTCTACAGATGCATACAGGACAGTATCATTGTCTGGGTTTATCCGTAATTTTTTTTTATTTTATATATACATACACTTTTATGTATATAAAGAAATCTTAAATGCAAAATGTAATCTGGGATACGTTTCACACACAGATATTCCTCAAAATTTATCTTTGTTCATAACAAGAGACAGTGTCATTATACAACTGACAGAATAAGCACTCCAACCACTTTTGAATTATTAGTTCACTCTACAAGCTGCAATCATCCTGAATGTGTATTTCTAAATCTCTGGTAAACCAAGAGTCTGCTTACCACAACTGACAGCAACCTCTCCCACTCACATAAAATTCATCACTTCATCCCCTCCACTCTACCTGATTAAATCAAGAGTGACTCTTGCTCTTCAGTTACAAACACCAGGCCACCCAGTCCAACAGGCCAGTTAAAACAAACATATTCCAACAAGCAAGAATCATTAACTGTTATTAATTTTTATCTAGAATTTTGAAGCTGCAATATCAGGACTCATATGCTTGTTTTTTCACACAATGTTAAATTGCTAAGATTGAAACTTCAAATATTATCAAGACGGTGCAATGCTTTTCAAAACAAAATTAACATTCAACCAGCAAATCATATAGCTTCATAAAGTGACCTTAGCAGTTCCATGCACCATAGGTTAAACCAAACAGAACCTGGTTGGCTTTGTTTTTAAGTCATACTTGCACAATTAGAAGTCAAATATTGCCTATTACCAAATGAGAGGTAATGAGGACTTTCACAGTTTAGTATGTACAAATCAGATTGCAAACCAAAAAGTGGGTTTTTTTGCTGCCTATTTTAATCACAAACCCAAATGCTTTAAAATAACACAGAAAATGTAATTAAAACCTACATAGCAAAATTATAATCACTTTTTATTCATATTAAACATTTCAATTAAAAGAAAGTATTACCAAGCACTTTGGAAAATTTTTGTTAAACTTTCACTGACATGTCTTCACTTTCCAAATCTGTATACTGTTCTCAAAAAATATTCCAATATGACATCATGAGTATCACTGAAACCATTTAGGAACACAGCCAAGGTGACCTTGCTTTGCTCTTTCTGGCTTTCCAGAAATCTACTTAGCATACAGCGTTAATTTAGAAAGGGGCACTTACAGCATGGGCTCCCTGTATTGTCCTGACGAGGTTGATTCCCTTCCACACATAAATATCTCCGTTCAGGGCACCCGAATACGTCACCTCGTCCCTTGCACAGGCCAGGCACAGGATGGTCTGGAGATCACCGGTCTTGCCAAAGACACCACGTTTTGGTGTCAAGGAATTGCCACACAAGCTCCAGAACTGCAACATGAAGTGATTTAGAAATGGTTATTTTGCTAATACCTTAAAATTTAATATGCAGATCTGAAAGAGAAGTACCTTGCCTGCAAAAGAAATCACCCCCTTTTCCATGTCTCAGTTCTCCAGTTTAACAGGGTTTTATGCTATTAACCAACTTTATCTTTCCATAAGATCATCATAACAGAGTAGTTGGGAAGGAATTTTGGGATAACAGTTTTAAATTAAACTAAAATTCTTTCAAATAATAATTTGTGAGTCAGTTGTATTTTCAGTTATTTTTGAAAAGTATTTCATAATAGAATTATCATATCTTTCTTTGATGTAAGACTTTTATGCTGAAAATGGTGCATTTGTACTTTATGTTACTTTATACATTTAAAGATGCCATCTAAGCATGCAGAATTCTGATGAGACTCTATTTGCTCTGTTTGAAGGCAGCTGGTTTTTTTGCAGATGTATTTCCCATCAGAACCACGGATCACACGCAGTAGCCATCTGAGGCAGAGATTTTTAAGAACTTTCTAATAAACCATTTGTGTGAAATTGCAGCAATCACACAAGTGTGAATTCCCTCCTAGGTCACCCAAGATGTATCAATGAATCCTGAACTAAAGACAGACAAAGTCTCTCGTCAGAGCACAATACTTGCCAACTAAGTCTCCAGATAAACCCTGTAGTTTCTGAGATCTTTGCAAAAAAGAAGCACTTGTATATTCCTTTCAAACCCTCCTGTCCAAACATGTAAATGTGCATTGGAAAGTGAAGCTGCTGAAGTAATCCAATGTAAAACATGAAAGCATCACCGCTGACAGGTTATTGTCTCAGCATACAGGAGTTCCTGCATATGTGTTTAGGGAACTGTATTTCACAGCAAGGTGCTCTGTTACCACTAATCAATTCAAAATTCTGAGCAGAGTTCAATAATTATGGGACAATGTAAAAAGTTAGCATGAATAGATTTCTGTACAGTATTTTTGCAATACTGTAATTCAGAAATAAGCAGAAATTACCATTACTGATTAGAGTAACTAGTACTGATTAGACAAATCCCAGTATCATAACTAGTTGTGCTGGTTTGGGCTGGGATAGTTAATTTTCTTCACAGTGGCTGGTATAGTGCTGTCTCTTGGATTTGGCTGAACACAGTGTTGATAATACAGAGATGGTTTTGCTATTGCTGGGCAGGGCTTGCACAGCCAGGGGCCCTTCTGCTTGCCTACTGCAACACTGGTGAGGAAGCTGGGGGTGCATGGGAGGTTGGGAAGAGACACAGCTGGGAGAGGTGACCCCAACTGCCCAAAGGGATATTCCAGATCAAATGGCATCATGCTCAGAACAAAGTGAGGGGAAGAACTGGGGGGAGTATTTGAGGGGATGGAGCTTGTCTTCCAAAGTCACCCTTATGTGTGCTCTTGTGGAGGCGGCTGAACACCTGCCTGTCCCTGGGAAGCAGTGAATTAATTCCTTGGTGGGCTTTGCTTGCATGTGCAGGTTTTGCTTTCTCTATTAAACTGTCTTTACCTCAACCCATGAGTTTTCCAGCTTTTACTCTTCAATTCTCTCCTTAGTCCTGCTAGTGGTGGAGTGAGTGAGCAGCTGGTTGGGGCTTAGCTGCTGGCTGGGGTGAAAACCCCTATGTAGGCTTTAATTTATATTTTTTTTAACTAAAAGACATAGACCATGTTGTTGCTTGAGAAGCAACTACAGTCACTGCATAAATGAAACACCTAGCTCCAATGTGAAAGTGGGTGATGTATCTAAGAAAATTCCTCAATATCAGTTCACATGGAATTATCTATATAACTTGATTAAGTACTGTTACAAGTTGCATAAAATATAATCTGAGAAAAAATACAGTGTTAAAAACATGAAAGTAATTCTTGATATCTGAAAGAACAGGAAGGTGTGGTTTAAAAAAAACACACATCAACAACAATCTCTTGCCTGATCTAAATGACTAAACACCTCTAGAATTCTGAGTTTCCATACTGGTTTCCCAGAGGAAACAGCAGTTATTTTTAAAATAATGTTTCTATTTAGAAAGGCTTTGTAGAGCTTTAAAAGTTGCTCACACATTTGCTTATCTAAATAGATATATTTTGATATCATAAAGACATCTTAAATATACTAAATCACCAATATTAACTTACTATTGGCATAAAGGTCCTCTTAGAGAAGTAGAAAAAAAAGATCATTATTAAACAAGTTATTGGAATTCTCTAACTGACACGCTAAACGCTTGCATGCCAAATCAGACTTATGCAATGTAGCCAACAGATTTAACACTTATTCCAGTAGGCCACTAATACATATTACTCTGCAAGTTCATTGTATAAAAAGCAACACATTTCCCCCACATGGGAACCTCCACACAACAGCAATACAGAACTTTCAAGGTGCCATCTACTGCTGTGATGTGGTAACACAGAAAACTGTGCATGGGAGAAGACAGTGACTTTTGACTGATGTGAAACACAGTTCCTAATCATTGATAATCCTGCTGCAAAGTTAAACCTGAAAAAAGTTCCTTCTGCACAAAATTTGCTACATGGATCAAACAGAGCATGCTTGAAAAATACATTAATTGTCCAAATTATGAATTCTGTAACAGGTACAGAATGCTCCAAATGACAAAGGTACTAACACAAGCAGAGAAAAGAATTGAAAGAAAGAAAAATGCTGCTTCTCTTCTTTTCTCTTTCACTGTCTCCCCATATCCTCTCTAAATGGTAAGAAATGGTTTTTCAGTTCATTTCAACTCTGCAGTGCAGCAATTAATTCATTGTCCAAGATTCAGAAACTTGAGTACCTGGAGTCACCTTAAACATGTGCATCCTGTCCTACACTACTTTGGATTTCAAACAGTGTATTTCAGAGAACCTAAATTTTCAATGATATTACAGCCATTACATACAATGCTACTGACAACTGTTTCATTCCTACTACAGTACTTCTGCCAGGGCATGAATTCTTTGAGCATGGAGGGTCTGTTTTTCAGTATACAGATCTTTTAACGTATCTAGTGTAGACAGGTGTGATTCATGATTGCAGTTCTAAGAACCAATATTGTTCTTACACAAAACCTTACATATTATCATTCTATATTACTTTTAGATTCTATTTTTATACATTTTATAGAGCATATAGTACTGCAGCTTAAATATTTTATAAATGAAGAGTAATTTCATTACCTTGATGTGTTTTACACCACAGCTGACAAGCTTGTTTGGCTGGTATAAATCCCAAGAAATATCAAATATCTGCACAAAAAACCCAAAGGATGTCAGCAGAGATGGTCTTTCTAGCACAGGACAGTTAAAACAGTAAAAACTTCTGGCAAATTAACACAGAGTCTGAAATGCTTCAAATGGATCTATTGGAAAGACTTTTTTATCCTCTCATTCCATATTGAAATTTCAATATACACCCAATATAGTTCTGGCTTTTTTTTTCCCTACAGTAATTAAAACACATGATAAAACAACATTAAAGTTCATTTACAGACTAGAAAAAATCAAGCAATTATTTGCATTTTGATTTCCCATATGGGGATTAGGGTCTAAGAAGTGCATTAATTATGCACTTCTCCTACATGTTTTCAGTCTCAACAAACCATATACAAATAAATATTGAGTTACCCATTTTATTCTAGAAATAAATGCACACATCTTAAATATCTTCACATCTTTTTGCATATCAACCTTTAGGCAAATTCAGTTTCTAAAACAAAATGGGTTTTGTTCAGAAACAGGTCTAGTACATATATACAAACACGGTTTAACAAACTAAAATTGACATTGATGCTCAGACTATTTAGTTGTACTTACTCTGTCTGTATGACCAGGAGCCATTGATAACAATTTTCCTTTTCTCCAGTCCCATACACAAACTGTGTTTTTCGAATCCAAACCAACCGAGACCAGACGCTAAAAGTGTCCAAATTAAACAAATAAAAATAACTCAATATATTCACGAAATCTAAAGCCATTATTTTGAGTGAGTTGCAAAAAATGTGTAACATATTTGAGACAGAAGCAATAGCTCCATTTTGATATAGAAGAAAACATTAACTATATCTTACACCAAAGCTCACATAGATGCATCTTTTCAGGTACAACATCATGACTATAAAGATCTTCTTAGATAACAACATATTTCTGATCTATAGAGTTTAATATATATATAATTCTGTATAGCACACAGGGCAAGCTGCAGTCAGGAGACATTTGCAAAAAAGGAATAATCACTGACCTTAATGAAACTGTATGTTTCATTACCTTTAATTGTATGTAACTTGCAGAATTTAGGATTTATTTTGTAAGTTCAAGAGACACAAAGAAAAAATATTTTCTTCAATCTTCTTGAAAACAAACAAAAGATCAAAAACAATTAAATGTTTTAAAAGTTTTTTGCTTGATTCTTCAAGACCTCTATGAGGAAATATTTCTTTCCAAATCCTTTCTCAAACAGAATTAAATATAATTTTATGAAGTCTTTATTATTCAGAAAGAGGTTGAAGCCATTTACACTGTAAAACTAGAATGGACAAAAAAGATTATTCAAAAAAAATCAAGAAAAATAAAATGTTGAGATCTTCCTGTGCTTTGCAGCTTGTCTTGTCTTGACTGTGAAGACACCTTGCACAGATTTCTTGACACAAATTATTTACTAAATCAGCCACTTGTATTGTATGTGTTAACCAGTCAAAATGCTATTTATCCTATAGAAATTCTCAACAGAAAGACTAATAGGATTCAATTATTAAAAAAAAAAAAAAAAAAAAGCTGAGTGATTTGGCTCAATTTTTAAAGAAAATTAGTATTGCTGTAACATTTTTGCATGAATTGTGCCCTCTTGATGTTGATAAATAAATTTTTTTTAAATCTTTTGGGCAAAGCTTTTTTCACTGTTCAGCAGTTAATACTTACACTCATCAAAGACAAATTTAGCTTCAATTTCTACATAGATTATCTAAGTGAGTTTAAAAAACCAAAACCAAACTCCAACCTTGAATTGTAATCTTTGTTCCTAAAGACAGAGACCAATTCCAAATAACATAATTCCTTTACTGTCTGAAAAGCTCCAGGATTATGAGAAGAAAAATAAACAAGTTAAATACAATTTCTATCCATGCTGCCTATGTATTAATACTACAAAATCTAACCTTTCTATTCCATCTTCGAAAAATCAGGGTATTTCAATCCTAATTTGATGTATCTTGACCTTAAATTAAGAAGGCCATTCAAGTGAGGGAGTAACACAACAAGAACAATGTAGAGAAAAGATATTGCTGTGAAGTAGAAATGAGATTCTAGAAAGAAGCTGACTCTAGAAGCTGACTGCCTGAACAGTGAGAGGTCATTTCAACAAACTCAGAACATTCCTACAACAATTACAACATGTTTTAACAGAGACAAGGCTTTCCTCTTTTGTTCAACACAGCTCCACTTGATACTCTCTTAAGGACAGCAACTGGTCTCTACAGTACATCCTCACTTGAGGGAACAGCAGTAACTAACAGACACTGACCTTTTTAGCAAGCAAAAGGAGCTGGGGATACCACTAAATCTGAGTATCACATTGCAAGGCTGAGTGGGAAGGAAAGAAGTGTTTCATAGACCAGGAAAGCACATCTCCAGAAAGGATTTTCTCAGCTAATACCTTTGCAGCTGCTACCTAACATGTAAATATAACCATTAAATTTTCCATTTCCAATACATCAGTCAAGAAAGTCTCTTTACTCAGAGGAGCTAGTGTCTGGTAAAAACAGTCTCCAATATAGGTAGCAGCTCTGAGGACCAATTTACTACTCAGAAAACGTTCAAAAGCAACAAAATTCCAATGAAACCTTTTTCTTGACTCTCAGATATAGAATACATGAGTCTGAACAAACAACCAAAACGTGGAGAGCCACCAGTGAATCCAAAATGCATGAAAGAGAAGGGGATACTGCCTGAAGGCGTCCAAGGTGAGCAACACAACAGAGCTACCATCACTATGGGCACAAGACATGTCCCTGCACAGGGGAGGGCCACTGTCTCCAGTCATTTGGTCTAACTCTGAACTGTGGCTCACAGACCACAAGAACCTCCCTACCACCTCATCTCCATTCAAAAAGCTTTTGAAGTTATACTTTTCTTGCCAAATGTAAATATTTGGCATTCATTAGTAATACAAATTGATCTTCCTCAACTTGAGAATAAGCACATAGAACCTGAGACAGTACACTGTCTTTTTTAAAGAAAAGCTATGCGACAAGATTTCTAATAGATAAACAATTTATTCAAGTGTTTGAAAAAAGAATATCAATTACATACCTGACCATCTAAATCAAAGGCCAAGCAAGCTATGCCATGTGTGTGAACGTCTTTCAGGACAGATACAGTCTGCACAGTGTATGAATCCCACACACAGATGTATGGTTCCTTCCCAACTTGACCTGTTGCCACCAACACACGTTCAGGGTGCAAAGCAAGGCTGCCAAAAAAAAAGAGATAAAAATATTTCTGCATGACACTTTGGTATTTGCCTAGTTAGTTGCATTACTTTTTTTTCCTTAAAAATTCTTTTACAATATTTTCCTATGGATACTAGATAATAAAAAGTCATTTTGTATCACAGATTCCACAGTAGCTGTGAAATTCTAAATATAGTACATACCATCATCTTTCTTGAATTTAGCCTTCAAAAGCCTTCTAAATTTAAATTAGTTGCAAAATAGTCAATAATTCTCTGTTCCAAAAGTGTTTCCTAAATTTGGTCAGATTTTCATGCACTGAGAGAAATACCTCTTTTCCTTTCTTTATATTTCTTAAAACTCAAAAACACAAACAATGGAAAACAGAAGTTGGTGTTTAACTATCTACACATCAATCGTCAATGGAGAGAGATGCACATCTCCAGAAGTTCTTTATTCCACACAGTATTTGATGTCCTTTTTATGAGAGGACAGCTTCCTGATTGTACAGGAATTGTGCTGATTGTACAGAAACCCAAAGCACACCTAGCTTGGACTAGAGGCAATGACTACACTTCAGATGACTGAACTTAAGAGCAATTAAGATTATCTTAAATGTCTTAAATTTAATATAGAACAATTGGAAATAGCTGGGTTTGAATAATTATTAACTCTCCACATTTCTAGTATTGTAGAGAATTTTGTTTGTATTTCAGTCTTTCAGAGTGCATTTGAGGTTCATCAGAACTGTTTTGCTAAATCTGGGACCAAGCTAGAAAACATTCTAGTCAGCAAGATATTTCTTTGTTTTGTTTATGGCAGCAATCTGTATGGGAGAACACGGGCTCTGAGGACTCAGATTTCATAATACAGAAAAGTAAGAATATATTCTGACAGAAACCCAAAGAAACTACTTGATCACACTCCAAATATACTAGGTAGAGCAGTCCAGAATGATGTAGAAATACCACACAGAAGCCAGGAAGACAAAATTTCCAAAGCTGGCTGTTTAATTTGGCTAAAAAAGTTTCCAACCCTGCTGAATGCCAGGGTAATGAATGATCTTGAGACACTGGTGGACAGAATCACTAACAACACACAGTAAGTATATTTATCTTCTCAAAATGATTTGGAAAGGAGAAAGGCTGAGCACTTTGCAAAGGTAAGATGATCTTTAACTTGAACACAGGCTTTGATAAATAAAGTTCAAAGGGTGGAGACAAGGGAAGTTATAAACAAAAACAGCAAGGTTAAAGCTAACCAGGAAATTACCAGAAAAATCTTCTGATTCAAAAGATGTACACATTTTCTATATACACAAAGAGCAAGAGGAAACCACATTAGAAGACACAATATTTTATGAAGTTAAACTACAGTACACAATACACTTCCATATTTTTCTGTTTTAAAATAGAAGTTCAGTTTGTTGATATTGCTTGATGAGTTCCACATGCAAAACTGAGCAGAATTCCTAACTTCAAAGGTGAAAAGGTAAAAAGCCCTGAACCTTTCCATTTTGCTATGGGAATTTGTACCCTTGGCTACTCCCCGGTTCCCTCAGCGCCAGGACAAAGTAACCAATATTTCCCCACTTGGCTTCACAGCACTTCCGGAGTCGTTTATCTGACAGAGCAACTTCACAATTAAAAAACATTGCAGAAAGGAACTGGCAGCAAAACCTAATCACATTTCAATTCAGTTCTGCCACCTAATCCTGACTAACACCTGCACATCTTCCAGAGCACACAGAGGCAGATGGTGAACTCACAGGACAAAGGAAAAACATCTGGAGGGAAAGAAAATGCTGCATCCAAAATGATCTATTTTTTTAGAATGGCACCACAGAAAGGGAGCAATTAGACCAAATGGACAATAAAGAAATGTAGAAAAGGAAGTTAAAAGAATAAGCAAGTAAAAAGAGACAGAAACTAAGAGGAAAATAGGAAAAACCCAGCAGTCTCATGTCTGATTCCGCACCTCTTCAATCCTGTCCTGATCTGTGCTACAAGTGCATAGTGCATTTTTAGACAAGGAAAAACCACACCACAAGTACAACAAAACACTCACTGTATGTGTATAGACACACATACATGCAAAAGCACCCCCACACCACACCTGAAAAAACAATTTACAGCAACCAAAAATTAGCTCTGCATGTTTTTAATTGAAGCTCAGAGTCTTTAGAGAAACACAATGCATCAGAGATGGAAGGGACAACACTAAAGGCACTACCAAGGGAAAGGAGAACATTGTCCTCAGGCCAAGCATTCCAACTAATTTCATTCAAAGAATATTAGGTGAATACAGAGAAGGCTTCCTTTATTTCTAATTAATAAATGGCAAATAACAACTAATAGCAGTATCACAGTATTAGTTCTTTCTACATCACAATACAAAATACTGGCTTAAACAACTGAGCTCAAATTCTGCCTTGATATGGGATATAGTAAACTGCTAACTTTTCTAGACATTCACTGAAAGAAGAAAATTAATCTACAATAAATATTTTAACACAGCAAGCCCTTTTAAAAAATGCACATATCGTGAATTTCAGGGAAACTATTTAGCAAAGCTGTTAGCAGTGGCTGAAGAAACACCTATTTAAAAACACCTTTCCACATCTTTTCTTAGAGACCAAGGAGTGAAGGACAACTTAAAGTATCACCTGCAGGTATTCTATCTCACAGGCTATCAGAGCAGATCAAAAAGAGAAGCATGGAAAAAGTCAAGGGACTATTTCTGTTACCAACACTAAACGAAGTAACTACTACACATATTTACATTATTTTGACATGAGACATGAATGATAAGACAATGTTTTTCCTTAATAATCAAATCTTGGCTATTATTAATCCCATGGGGAACCATGCAGAATTACAGATCTAAAAATTTTGTGTACTCATGAGAAGTCAAGGATTAGATTCGAATTTTACACAATATGGTGACTCTTTTCAGTTCCTTCATTGGACTGTGAGTGACCAAGAAATACCAATAAGCATAGCAATCAATACAAAAACACAGTGTCTTGATCTAACCTCGAGAGTAGAAGCATCAGTACCAGTCACATCCTTGAGAACATTCTCTGCTAGAACTGCCCTGAGCAAAACACTTTAAATTGCTTCCTAGTGCAGACAGAAAGAGCTTAACTGGAATGGGTGCCCAGAAACAAATAACAGTATACACTTTCCATGCATGGACTGTAGGAACTTGTAGTGTGATGCGGTTAACAGGATCAAACAATGAGTTTGAGCTCTCTCTGGATACTCTGGGTATGATCTTCAACACAACTCTACTGAGGTGTCAAAATCATGTTGGGATGGTATCTGCAATAGCTGCTTGCCATTCATCCACTCAGCTCCTGAGATCAGGCAGAAAAGTATGGCTGTGGTTCAGCTCTAAAGGCAGCTTTCAAATCTCTTAGTGCGGGACTTGTGGGCTTAGGTACCCTCCCTCAAAAATATTCTCTTGCATTTTCTTTCTTAGGGAGAGGAAAGAGATTGCTTAGTGGCATAAAAAGCTCTGCACTCAGAAGAAAAGGACACATATTCCCTTTACAGCACTCAGGAGAGAATTCCCTTTACTATCCTGGTAATGAGAGCTGGTATGACCTCTCTAGGTTAGACTGCTGGAACTGTGCTTGCATCTAGCCCACACTGCTAGACTGTAAACTGGAGCTTGGTTTCCTTCCTTGTCCTTGAAGGATGACTAAGCTGATGAACAAGATACTGCTGCTTGTCCAGAAAAGGAAACAGATATTCCTAATGAGAAGTTCCTCAGGCCTTCTTGTTTGCCTCTGGCCTTTCTGACCTGGGCTCTTCCACAACAGATGTTAGATCTACTCTAGTAACATGTAACATATGTAAGAACACATCCAAAAGGCAAATTTTATGATGAAAAAAAACAGCTATGATGCTAACAAATTGCTAAGTCAAAATAATTTTTAAATTTACTCTAGAACTTGGCACTTCTCAGAAGAGTTCAGAAATAGAAAATTTAAAAAATTGTCTGTCACAATTGCAACAAACCAAATAGCTGGACTTGTAGTGAGCTGAGGTTTCCACCACTGTGTCTGGAAGACAGGTCTTTTCCTAGCCAGATACTCAAACTGGGCTGAAATGCAGTAGTAGAGCTCTAACAGCCTACTGAAAGGCATGTGTTTCTCACTTTAGTACATTCAAGCTCCCCTTTTTAATGCATTCAGGAAAGGTTCCTTCTCCCTTTCAGAGCAATATGTAATCATTCCCCAACATTTTGACCAGATCCATGCACTGTACAAGACCAATGTTAGATTATTATATTAAATACTAATGGCAGCCAATGAAAAAAAATAAAACCTGTCCATGTTGTGTCTGCATGGGATGAGACTAGAGTCATGGACAAGACCCTCCAATTTGTGTGAGGTTTGAACTGGCAGGGAATCCTGGAGGAGAATAGTCAATAATAAACTACTTGATAATAAAAGAAATTAAGATTCTTTTTCATCTTTCCTTGATTTGTGCTGAGCATTAGTAGGCATTGATTAATACAGACAGGCTGCAGACAAGGATACAGTATTAAAGATGATGTTTCCTTAGCAACAATATTGGATGAAAATCCAAGAATATATTCATGTGACTACTCCTGAGCTTCATAAAACTAGGGCACCAGTAAAAATGCACAAAAGAATACTGCAGTAAAATAACAGCATCTTAGATATCTCTTAATTAAGACTTAATTTCAAGTGTGAAATTGTTTCTATGCTTAAATAAAGCAAAATATTTTCATGGTGTGTTTACAGACATTTTACATACACTCGAGAATATTTTCTTATTTGCTGTAATTTATCCATATCTTCCAGAAAGAAAAACAGGGGAAGCTACAAACCATTTCTGTCATACTATTTAAGATCTTAAAGCAGAAAGAGCTGCAATCAGCAAACATCTCTCATCAAAGTTTAAACAGATCAAGTCAGAGCACACTTATTTTCCATAGACCAAACAAAGCAGGGCTCATCATGGAGCACCACTGCCAGCCTTCCATA